GATACCGGAGCGCCGTGTCCGACCAATCTGGGATGCCATCGATTCTCGTCAGTTCAAAAACGCTCTCAAGCTCGTCACTTCGCTTCTCTCCAAGTACCCAAAATCACCTTATGCTTTAGTAAGTGTCATCCAATCATTGCTTTCGTTTTCGTCTTTTCTCTCCAATCCTTAATCTGATGGAATGCTGTTGCATTAACAGGCCCTTAAAGCTCTGATTCATGAGAGAATGGGGAAAACAGATGAGGCACTCTCTGTTTGCTTGGATGCCAAAGAGTTTTTGTACAAAGATGATTCATCGTTGATGGATGATCTCACTCTCAGCACATTGCAAATTGTATTGCAGAGACTCGATCACTGTAAGTGCACTTGTATAAAGCAGAATTGAAAGCTGGTGTATAGCTTCTTGGGTATATCTAATTCATTTGTTTTTTAATGTGACTAGTGGAATTGGCCACGAGTTGTTACGCTCATGCCTGTGGCAAATTCCCTAATAATTTGGAGCTTATGATGGGGCTCTTCAATTGCTATGTTCGTGAATATTCTTTTGTGAAGCAGCAGCAGGTTGGTCTTTGTGTTGGATATACAATTTTCTGTGTTCTGATATCACTCTGTATTTCCCTTTTCTTATGTCTTGCTTTGTGACAGACAGCCATCAAAATGTACAAACTTGCCGGAGAAGAAAGATTCCTACTTTGGGCAGTTTGTAGCATCCAATTACAAGTACTGGCACCGCTAATCCTCCTTCTTTGAGCAGTTTGTTATTCTGTTTCTTTCAACTGGAAATGTGTTTTTACAGGTTTTATGCGATAAGAGTGGGGATAAGCTGTTGCTTCTGGCTGAGGGTTTACTTAAGAAGCACATTGCCTCTCATAGTATGCATGAGCCAGAAGGTTAATTCACTTCTCCACCAATGTCTTCTCTTGTACAAGTTGTGGAACTATTTCAGATTTCTTCAGCTTCTCTTCTACTAATGAAAGTCTGGTCTTCTCAGCTCTCATGGTGTATATCTCTTTGCTGGAACAACAATCCAAATACAATGATGCTTTAGAAGTCCTTTCTGGAGATTTGGGTTCTCTTTTGATGATTGAAGTCGATAAACTACGGATACAGGTAGGTTACAAGGCTTTTTGGTCCGAAAGAGCTCTAAATTTCATGCTATTGCAATATATTTAACGTAGGCCGCACACATTCTGAAATAACTCACACAGTGTCTATTGCTGTATGCTCACACAAACACTCTCACTTTAAGCTGACAGGGGAGACTACTTGCTAGGGCGAATGACTATTCTGCTGCTGTTGATGTCTATAAAAAAATCTTAGAATTGAGGTACAATTTCAAGGCATGAGTACTCAACTCACTGTTTTTAGAGTTGGCACTGTTACAGAATAATTGCGGAGTTGTCTTTTGAATGGTTCTAATATCTTAGGCCTGTGCATATCTTGTCAGTATGCTGAAATTGTGTTCCTGTTTACTTGGCAGTCCAGATGATTGGGAGTGTTTCCTATACTATCTCGGCTGTCTGCTTGAGGATGACAGCATCTGGAAGTACTTTAACAATATTGATCAAATTCATCCAACAAAACACATAGAATGCAAGTTTTCTCACCTTACGGAAGAAATGGTAATTATATTAATCACTTGCCAGACTTTCTTAGTTCGTGTTTCTTTGCCTTTATCCTAACTTCTGGCATATATATAATCCAATTTCTTTTCCAACATGCAGTTTGATTTTCGTATATCGAGTGCTTCAGATTTGGTGCAGAAATTACAGAGAGAAACTGAGAATACCAACGTAAGGGGCCCACACTTGGCAGAAATTGAAATTGAAAAGAGAAAGTTGTTGTTCGGAAAGAAGAACGAAAACAAGTTACTAGAATCATTACGGCAATATTTTCTCAAGTATGTCTACATGAACCTTTTGGGTTGATATCTTATGTATCATGGATGCTATGTAGTCTGACTTGTATAAATAAAGCTTACTGGCTCTTATGTCGCTTTGCATGCAGATTTGGTCATTTAGCTTGTTATGCCTCCGACGTTGAAGCATGCCTACAAGTATTACCCACAAATAAAAAAGCAGAATTTGTTGAAATGTTAGTGAAAAGTTCAGACTCCGTTTCTACATCAGCAACTAAAGTGCTTGGTCAAACAACAACAATAGTCAAAGTTCAAGAACTGACGGGAAACATTTTTGAGCTCCCTCTCAGCGGTGTGTTCTCTTTGCTCACATACCCTTTTCTGCATTTTTCCTTGTTTTCTGCTTATAAAGAAATTTGGAATCTACAAGCTGTGTTACTCTTTTGTGTTTATGGCAACTCTCTGTTTTGGTGTGCAGTATGATGAATCTTTTTCCAGCATAGACTCATGTTGTTGTGGTTTTCCTTTTTTTGCAATATAGCTTCTCTGAATGTGTTCTTCTGAATCTATTTACAAGTTGATCTTTCTTTCCCATATGTAGAGGTTGAAGCCTCTGCTCTCAAACTGGCGAAGTTATACTGTCAAAATCTTCCTCTTTCTAAGGATTTGGATCCTCAAGAGAGCATGTTTGGGGAAGAACTTCTATCTTTGATTAGCAACATGCTGGTCCAGGTACTTTGGTTGTGTTAAACAAATGTGCTTCCCCCATACTGCATAACTCATTGTTATATGTTAATTAACTTTACTGTTGGTTCTAGTTATTCTGGCGAACTCGAGATTTTGGCTATCTTGCTGAGGCTATCATGGTTCTTGAGTTGGGATTGACCATCAGAGGGTAAGTAACTAATTGTTATAGCTAGGAAAGTGTCTATTTGAGTTCCCATCAGTGACACTTCTACATTTCAGGAAAATAAGATATTTTTGCTAGCTGCTTCTGTTTTAAATAGCGTTGATAGGTCTCAACTTGACAATTACTTTTTTTTGTTTCCACAGACATGTTTGGCAGTACAAAATCTTGCTGTTGCACATATATTCATATATCGGTGCTCTTCCGCTAGCATTTGAACGGTATCATAGCTCTCAGCTTTACTTGTTATTTCCTGGAAAAGAAAAATTCCCTCTTCTGCTCGTTTTGCTGAACCATCTGTTTATCTTATGTTAGGTATAGAGCTCTTGATGTGAAGAACATCTTGACAGAAACGGTTTCACACCATATTCTACGTCAAATGTTGGAATCTCCCATGTGGGTGAACTTAAATAACCTCCTAAAAGACTATCTCAAGTTTATGGATGATCATTTGAGAGAGTCCGCTGATCTGACATTTCTTGCTTACCGTCATAGAAATTACTCAAAAGTAAACAATTTGAATTCTCTCCTAGAATTGCCATGACCATCTTCATGTGGGCTACCGGTTACTGTCGTTACTAATCTGGATTTTACTTATCTCAGGTTATCGAATTTGTCCTATTCAAACAACGATTGCAATCCTCAAACCAGTACCACGCTGTGAGGGTTGAAGCGTCTCTCTTGCAATTGAAGCAGAACGCAGACAGCATCGAGGAAGAAGAGGTAATTCTTCCACACCCTTGTCGTGTAAATTACCTTCAGTGGATTTGATCCTTTCATATATGTAACGTTGTTTGTATTGTTGTTGTCTAGCGCATTCTTGAGAACCTGAAATCTGGAGTTCAACTTGTGGAGCTTTCGAACGAAATTGGATCCAAGACACTAACGTTCAATGAAGATATGCAAACACGACCATGGTGGACACCTTGTCCTGAGAAAAACTATCTACTAGGTCAGTATTAACCTTCACATTAGTACTTAGTGTATGATTGTGGTCTTATTATTAATATCATTCAATAACGCGTGTAGGTCCGTTTGAAGAAATTTCTTACTATCCCAGAGAGAATGTGGTACGTCTGTTTATATCAATACATCTTTTCTTAGGGACCAATGCAATCTAACACTGTTTGTTCTTACTGGCTTTGTTTAGAAGAAAGATCGTGAAGAAAACATGAAACGATCCATCCAGCGAAAATCCCTTCTACCTCGGATGATATATCTATCTATCCAGTGTTCGTCAACGGCATTGAAGGAGAGTGTTGAAACCAATGGGTCTGGAGGTGACTTCAAAATCTTTGAAGAACTTAAGTTTTTGCTGGAGGAGTATACAAAAATGCTGGGATACTCTCTCAGTGACGCCGTAGATATGATCACAGAGATCTCACAGGGTGCAAGGACTTCCGAGGTTAGCTTTTTAACTCCTTTCTCCTTCCACCACATGGCCACTGGTCTTACTAGTATTAACATTGTGGGAACATCTCTGCAGAGCCTCGGTTCAGATTTGGTGGAATGGTTGAATTTTGCGGTGTTTTGGAATGCTTGGAGCCTGAGTTCCCACGAGCATTGGCATGTGTTGAACTTGCTATTTGTGAGACTTATTCGGGACAGAATCAGATCAATGGGATCTTCAGACATGAGTTCTTGCTATTCTGATGTCCAGGTCTTGTTTCAGATCATCACTGAACCGTTGGCGTGGCACAGTCTTATAATTCAGGCCTGCACCCGCTCGTCTCTCCCATCTGGGAAAAAGAAGAAGAAGACTCAACATTCGGATCAATTATCTTCCTCCCCGATGTCTCAAACAATTAAAGATTCTATACAGTCCTTATGCAGCACAGTACAAGAAGTTTCCAACTGGCTTCTAAATCAAATGAACAACCCCGAAGATGACCAAGTGGAGAGATTTCTGTCAACTCTGAAAAGAAATGAAGACGCAGGAGGACCGGGACAGGTTCTCGGGGTTCTAGAGAGTTTCATCGCATCCAGCGATGAGTCAGAGGTTGGAAATCGCATCTTTGAAGCACTGAACTCATGGAGCACGGCAGATACAGCACGTAAAACAGTCATGGCACAACAGAGACTCCTCCTCGAGTTTCTCGAGATCTGTGAATCTAAGAGAAAGCTACTGGAGACGCTCAAACAACAGATGTCCCATCTTTAATCATAAGAACAATTTAGAGAAAGGTCGCTACTTTTCTTTGCTATTTTTTTATTTTCGAGGAACACATTGATGACAGAGAGAGAGGAAGATTGATGTTTCACTACATGTATGAAAAAAAGTTTACATTCTGGTCTTTTCTTACGCAACAAATTTCTGGCAACGAGTATCCTTGTGAATGTTTTGGCAACGAATAGAACAAAAGCGCATCCCACATAAGCAGCAATTGTAGCCAGCGATGTATCCACAAACTGTGCAGAAATGGCGACGAGAAGAAGAAATCGGAGGTCCAACGGCTGCTTTCAAGTAAGTGGGCACATGCGACGGCAAAGATTCCAAATTTGCCTGAAAAGAGAGATTTTTCTGTCTCTGTTAGAAACTCTTGATGGCTGAGCTTAGCAAAGAGTTAAGGGTAAATTTACCTCCTGCAAGAGCTCAAGGAAGGATTTAGGAGCTTTACGAGCTTCCAAAGCTTTTGCTTGTCGAGTTTTACGCTTTGATCCCTTGGGCTGCTTCTTCTGTGTGTATCCTGCAACAAACAAGACGTGATTAAACTAGAACTGCAGGTCACACAGAGAGAGAGATGTATTTCGTCAATGTATAAAAAGATTATTCACCGAGATCATCGTCTTCGTCAAGGGAGGCTTCTTCATCATCGTTCGCATCTACCACCTCAATGGCCCCATTGTCATTCTCTAAAGCCTCAAGCCGAGCTATAGCAGCCTATAGTTAAACCATTCGAAAGACAAATTCAAACTATTTTCAACCAAAAAAAAATTCAAAAATCAAAAATCGAAAATTGATTACCTGATTTCGATTGTCGGTGCTCGTAAGAGCCGCCGCCATCTTCGAAGCAACCTTACGAGTCCGACTCGACACTCTACGACTCGTCATCTCTTCCTCCATGCCGGAAAATATAATCAGTTTACCGGCGACGATGGAAGCGCTGCGACGGTAGAATGGAATCCGGCGAATTCGCGTGGAATCGCTCTTTTAGGTATCTCTCAGAAATAGTCTGATTTACTGGCCCATTGGGCCCTTTTATTTTAATAGCTATTTTTCATCTTCTTTGTTTTTTTGCGCGAAAGAACGAACGAATATGAAAGAAACGTGATGATGATGATAACCTAATTAAGCTGCTGCTTTGCTTCTTCTATATTGGAATTTATTAGCTCGTATATAGTAAAAAAAAAAGCAAAGCCATCCCAATGATACAGATTGTACAACTTGGACTGAATCAAGGAAAAAGAAACCTAATCAATTTAAGAAACCGTTACTTCTAATTAATCAATTATGAGACGACCAAGGAGACACTAAACTCTTGTACTCAAACTTGCCGTTCAAGAAACCATCACCACCCTTCTGATTCCTCACCTGTTGCTGCACAACCAACACCGAACCTTCCGAGGCAAAGACACTCGAAGCCACGGTGTCTCCGATGACTCCGAGCTGGTGGTTCTCGCTCCACGTGGCAAGCCCTTCTAGAATCTTTGGGTTGATCCCTTCTCTCCTCCCGGTTATCCACAGATCGTAGTCGTTGACGTTCATTGCTTGGATCGCAGCCAGAGTCTCCGCACCGTTCTTGACCACAACCTCTTTGTAACTAACCCTATCCTTGCCTTCGTTTTTGACCCAGAACCACGTCACCACCCCATCGTCCAGCTTCTTCTCCCTCTCGTCCTCTCCTTCGTGGTTGAAAGACAAGAACCTGATCACCGTCAAAATTATGTCCGGGTTCGCCGTCATCCTGTCGGCCAGATGCAGAGCTTCTCTGTTATCAGCTCCTCCTAGGAACAGAACCACGAAACGGTATGTTTCTTGCCTCATACGGCTCGAGTGACTTGAATGTTGCAGGTCAAACGAGGACCGAACCACAGGGTTTCTAAGCCGTCCTTTGTCGTAGTAGATACATACAGAGCAAGGTGTGTGTGCCAAGACGTCGGCGTTCACAGATAGCATGCCGGAGTCGCGTAGCTCGGTAGGTGCCTCGTCGTCAAGACGCTCTTGCTGATAAGGTAAGAGAATGAAAGCAGTTTTCTTGGTTAAGGCAAGCTCGCAAATGTCTTGGTACATTAGTGGCTTTGGAGAATGAGCAGTGTAGGCACGCAGCGTCACACACTCATCTCTTTTCTCCTGGTAGAGCCTAAAGGCACTCTGCACCTGGTCTACTCTCCCGCTCTGAGTACGTTCCTCTTCTTCTTCCTCCTCATCGTCTTCGTCTTCCTCCTCCTCCCTTCGCTTCTCATGGTCAATAAACAACGGCGTGGCTCGCCCCATTAGTTCCACCAGGTGGACGGCGTGTATAAAAAAGGGGCTGCTTGTAGTGGGATAGGCGAAGTCTAGGAAGGTGATCAAACCAGACAAGGCTTCGTGGTCGGAGACGGCGAGAACAAGTGACATCTCGGTGGACGGGGCAGTGTGTTGGATGGTTCGGTGCTTGCTTGTCCTGTAAGGGCGATTTGGATCGTAGAGGAAGCTTATGAGCGGTGTTAACACACCCGTAACCATAAGCGTATGCAAAACCAAGAGAGTGAAACCGGGTAAACCGATCATACGTTTGTCGATCCAATGCAAGTAGAGCAATATATCGATCTGGCCTCTCAAGTTCATCATGAGGCCAAGCGTTAGACTCTCTCTGGTGGGGACTTTGAAGAAGAGAGCAGCGGCGACGATGGAGACAAACTTGGTGATGAAGCCAACGGTGGTCATGTAGAAGAGAGGAGAGAGCTGCTGTGGCCAATTCTCGTCGTTAAGGAAGTTGACATTGGTGTTGAGTCCAACCAAACCATAGGAGAAAGGCATCAAGAACTCATGGATGAATGTCTCGCTCCGAACAGCCAACGTCGAACCCAACGGTGGACCTTGAGGGACAAGCAACCCTAGCCAGATGGGTCCTACGCCTATGGACAAACCGAGCATGTCCGTGAGGAAACAAGCGACAAGAACACCCATGAGAATCATGACAATGTAGTTTTGGTCAACAAGTTTTCCATCTGGAGTTTGGGAGACCACCCACTCAAGGCCACGTCTCACAACCAAAATCATAAAAGCAGCGAAGATTACGGCAGATACAAGGTACCAGACTACGGCTTGGGATCCTCCACCATCAGCCTGCATCATGGCCTCGAAAAAGATAAGCACGCATAGCGCAGCCATATCTCCAAGAAGAGCCACGGACATGGCGAACTTGCCAACCTCCGAGTTGAGAAGGTTCATGTCTCTTAAAATGGTGTAGATGACAGGGAACGAACTGAAAGCCAAGGCAAAGGCAACCCCACCAAGGGCAGATATCTTGCTCAGGTTTTTATCCATTTGGTCACGCATGGCCATCCCCACAGCTCCAACGCAGAGCATAGGGACGAGTACGCCGATGGTAGCAATGTACTTGTGCTTTCTTGGTGACTTAAAGATGGCCGCAACGTCCGTCTTGGCCGCAGTGAGGAAGAAGAAGTAAAAGAATCCCATCAGTCCCAAGTTTGCGCATATGTAATTCGCTATCGGTGGGAACAAGTAGTAATTGAAATTCCGGCTTCCTCCAAGCAGCGATGGTCCTATCATCATTCCACCCTTCAAACACATAAAGAAATTTTGTTTGCTTTAATATTTTCCAAATCAAGAACCAAATTAAAAAGGCATAATATGACTTACGAGGATCTCGCAGACGATACGAGGTTGGCGTAGAGGCCGAAGGAGGAAGCACAAAGTTTTGATGAAGAAAATGATGAGAACAGCTTCTAGCAAAAACGTGGAAAATGCGTAGTTCATAGCATTTTCGCCTCTGAACATTCCAAACGGCTGCTTACTGTGGATCTGCCTGCAAACAACCGGAAGTCTAGCCGAGAAGGCACGAGTGCTGACCGCATCGCCGGCGGTTGTGTTCCCCGGCCAGTACCCTAAATGGGTTGCCAGGGCACTTCGGTCATTGCTGGGGAAATACCTAACCATGCAAACTATTTTCTCAGACCAGGATTTGTTTGACCAAAAGCAAAACGATAATGATCATCGATAGAGAGAGAGAGAGAGAGAGAGAAGACCATAGATCCAAGATTGATGTTTTTCTTCAACAAATGTGGACGTGCGTCATTTCGGGAACAATTTTAGTTTGTAATTACGCTTCATTTTTTTTTTCTTCTCATTATGAGTGTTTTCACTTTAAAATACATACAGTATATATGTTTTGCGTTATCTAAGTCATGATCTATTTTTTTGTTCAGTCGGTAACTAGCCACAGTAGATCTCTTCTTATGAGAAAGTATATTTTTTACATAATTAAAACTTCATTGAAAATGTACAATTTATTTCTCATTCAAAAAAATTATTTTGTTTTGTTACACATATTATTAAGAATATTTAAACTTTTTTCTTAACAGAAAGATTTTTAATACTCCGCAAATTAAAGTATAAAGTAGTTTTTTATATGAAATACTCCGCTTCTTTTCCATTATAAAAGTATTCAGTTGAATAATTCAAAAAAAAAAAAAATGATGGATGAAGTTATAAGCAGTAAGTAACAAAAGGGACCGGGACGTGCAAGGTACGGCCGTGGTAGCTGGCTAACACAAATTCACATGCTTGGATTTCTTCATTCGTTTTATGAGATTGCTATTTTTTTCAATCATACATAACAAAATACCCAGGTTGTTGTTACTATTGATGATTTTTACTTTGCTAATTATAAGACATGCACCTTTTTCCACATTAAAACACTTCCCATGCAATAACATAAACTAATAGTAATATAATTTTCAAATTCCTGAATAACTTTACGTTTCTGAACCGTAATTTATGTAGAAAAAATAAATGATTTAAGTGAAAAAATATTTCTGGGCATACTGTATCTCTATTTCTCGTAAGGTGTAAATTATAGCATTACTCAATTGCCATAAATGATATTTTGAAATCAAAGAAAAATGAAGACCCACCTACATGGTATTGGCTACACTCAATATTGAATGCATCACCGCTTTTTGCGTTCTTCCACATACTCAATAATTTCATTTATCCGTTTATTGTCCTATACCTTCATTAATCAAGCATTAAACATTTGCTTCATTTATCTACATATATTAAGGTCTCGCGTTTCCTTTAATCTCAATGTCTTGTCGACTTGTGGCCATGCTGAGTTTCCACAGCAGAGAAAGTTAAACATTTATTTCATTTATCTACATGTATCGTATATTATACGATCTTACTTAGTCACACTACTCTAAATATAATGGACGTATTTCATTTATAGATAGTATTTCATAATCCGACAAAGTGTAATATGGTCCAACTCCAACACTAACCTATAAATCATATATGGTCCGAGAAAGAGTATCGTATATAGTGTTTATTAAATGTAATTTTCACGGGGATGAAAATTCACAAATCTTAGAATAACGCTCCCCACCACTCGCCATATAAATATTGCATGTATGTATGTATACAATTAAAAAATACATTTATCGTGGGTATGGGTATGGGAATGCATTAAAAGTGCTGGTTATTATAAAATTGGTAAATGGTACACTCTTGGGGACGCTTGGGACTATAAATGCAGCAATGTGATAAACCTCCTCTCTTACATCTTCCTCTACATATATATAACATATGAGAACATATATATGCATATACACGCAAATCTCAGGTGGAGTAGTAGAGAAGTAGCTGTAAAGCTCAGGAGGGATAGCGCCATGACACACCGATGCTATATTATTGGCGCTATCCATCCTGAGTTCCATGGCTTCTTCTTGCTTTTATGTGTATGTCTGACCTCATTTCCAGCTTCGTTGAACATTTATAAAAGAAGATGATAACGAGTAAGTTTTATCATTCGTGTGTAATTTCTTAGGCTTCTCTTTTTTTTTTCTGATAAATCATATTTATTCACAGAACTTGTTCACATGTTGTGTAGAAATAATAAATGGATGACAAAAATTGAAGGTGTATACAAGTTAGGTTCAAAGTGAGAAAAAACACAGGTTGGGTCTTACAGAAATTTGGATGTTAACTTGTCATGCCTGTTTGCCCAAAAAATTAAAAAGGAATACATGATCGGTTTCTCATAACAAAAAAGAAAGGAAGAAACAAGAAAAGAGAATAATATCTCTACGAATTGTATAGGGTAGTGTGGTTTGCAAGTCAATGCCTATTACAAGATGAAACATATGAGTGCTGTCGAAAGGGGAAGTGAAAGGTGAATGCACTCACCTGAAATGATCATGAACCCTACTTTACCCACCAATTTCCAATGCATTTTGGAGTTAATTTTCCACTTCCTTCTATAAAACAAAAGACAAAAATTTCACATTGTGAAAAAACACGAACCACACATGCAATAAAATCATAGATCCCAAAAAAAACAGACAAAAGCGAGAGAAGGAAAGTAAGAAGAAAAAAAGGATAATTTTGCTCAAAGTCAAAATGAGCAAAAAAAACCTACCTCTTTTTTTATCCTCAATATATGATGATGATTCATAGAACAATTCCCCTCATCAACGCAACATTTTACTAAAATCCCCCACCCTCTTAACATACACAAACTCTTTGAACACATAACAGCTGATTCATTGTTTCCTCTCTTTCTCTCAATATGGACGAGACCGGTTTCCACCATGGTAGTTTCTGTCTGGCCCTGACCCATAGTTATCTCTTCTTCTGTCTCCCCCACCATAGCCACCCCCTCCTCCACCTCCTCCTCCTCTACCACCGCCACCTCTGCACCAACCACAAGTTTTGCAAGACAACATTATTATCAACTGATTTAAACCAGGTTACTGCTGAAGTCTTATAACAAGGTTGACCCAAACACAACAAGGTTGAGTCTTATAAAAACATGAAAGGCCAGCTGAACAAGCAAGCAACTTATATAGGGAATTGAGCATCAAAAAATGAATCCTTCTTTCACATACCAAAATCAGCCACAGCTAAAAGTTACAAGATCAGTTTAACTACGTCGATATTTCCTATGGAAATAACATAGACCTAAGTTTGATGGCATAAACAACTCCGTACCATTTCTGTCATACGCAGATGGGTGTAACAAGTAGGCTCCTAGAATGCCCATACAGTTTATAGAGACAAGTAACATACAGCCAGCATAGCAAAACAAGCATATGCCCAATCAAAATTATAAGGCTCAAGGTCTAAAACAACTAGAGGACAGAAACCTATAAGATGGCGTACTAGTGGTAGCAGCTAAATGGTCACGAAAAATAAAATGTAAAGTACTGATGGAGAATAAGGACAGCTACCTCTGGTCAAACGCAGGAGCACGGGGTGCAGACTTCGCTGCCATAGATACACCAATTTTGTGCCCCCTCATTTCATAATCTACAAAACAATCCACCATCACACATTAGAGAGAGCTATAATAGATGATTTGATATACTAGACAACAGTTCAATGGTACATACTGTTGAAAAAGCCGCCTGCAGAGTGTGCGGCGCTAGGATCTTCATAAGTCAGACAGGCGTCACCTTTATTTTTTCCCTTCTCATCAGTGTATATCTTGATGTTATAGGGCCACTGATCTTTATAACCCCGCTTTTGCTTCTGTCTTCCAACCTATTATAGATCCAAGATGAAGCACACTCTCAATCAGCACACCAATAAACAATTTAAGAAACAAGAATCCATAGCAAAGGGAAAAGCTTATTCGAATAGTAAAAACACAACAGAAGTAAAAAGACCAGTGTTATTACTTGGCCAATGCCACCAAAGAGATCCTTGAGTTCATCAGTTGTCACATCCAGAGGTAAATTAGTGATGTATATTCTGGTATTATCACAAGTATCATCACAATCCGCATCGCACTGCTTGACTTTTTCAGCACCTTCTTCTCCATAACTAGCTTCCTGGCGTCGAGGAGCATTACCACCATCATAGCCACCACCTCTACCACCCCGACCACCGATGCTCGGTGCATCACCGCCATAACCCCCTGTAGGACCACCATATGACGGGGGCCCACCAGCATAGCTTGAAGGCGGAGGAACCGCTTCCATTCCATACCCCGAGGGTGGAGGGTAACTGCCAGAACCATCGTAAGATGGAATCGCTGCAGCAGGAGGTGGAGGAGGAGCCTGGCCATAAGAGCCATTATCCCTATGTTGACTATTACTACCATAAGAGCCACCACCGCTCCTACTGCCACCATCATATCTACTACTCTCATAGCTCCTACCACTATCATTTCTACCTCCACGACCACCTCCACGGTCACTGGCACCTCCACCTCGGCTATACCCACCACCTCCTCGATCACCAGTTCCAGAAGGAGCAGGTGCACCACACTTGTTACATTCAACTCTCCTTGCAAAGTTCACGTTCCCACAACTATATACAAACAGTTTCGATGGTAAACTACTTCAAAACATGCTTCCAGAGAGGAAATTCAACACAGAATCGGATTTCATTACACAGCCAGAAGCAATGAATTCCAGATAAACTAAAGAACAATGCAATCATTACCTCGGATTAGGGCAACGCCAATCTCCATCTCTGCCGCCACCATCTCTGCCACCACCACCTCTGCCGCCGCCACCACCGCCTTGATATCCGCCACCGCCTGAATCAAATCAAATCAATAACAGGTGCTGAGAAACTAAAGATTCAACAAAAGAAACCAAGCAAGGAACGGAGATATCTAAAGATTCGTTCAGATCTGGAACAATCGAAATCACATACCTCGATTTCCTCTACCCCCGCCACCGCCGTAGCCACCGCGTCCGCCATATCCACCTCCGCCAGACGAACCGCGTCCTCCATATCCAGCATCACCGCCTCCATAACCTCCACCTCCGCCGTATCCATCACCACCGTAGGAAGGAAGAGGCGCACCTCCGCCGCCGTCTTGATTGTACATCCCAGCCATGACCTAGGGTTTGCGATAGACAATAGACCAAACTCTTACAGCTAATTTTGAGCCTTTTCTTTAGAAGAAGGAAAAAAAATTGTCGCGTGCTGCTATTTATATTTCTGTCGTGAATAGAGGACCAACATAACTCTCTTTTAATTGCATTCATCTTAAATTCGTATTTATCTTATCTTTACTGACCAGTTTCCAAAACAACTGGATTTGCCTTTTTATCATACTAAAAACGACGCCGTCTCCAAGGCCCATAATCACCCAGCCCAATAACAGTTTTAATGAGGCTATTTGTTAGGTTGAGAAAATTTGGAGAGTTTCATTAGTACATCAAAACCTGTTTTAACTGAGTCCAGACAGTAGAAAGAATAGAAGGAGAGACCAACACTGAAAGAAAATAGGAATGTGAGAAGATGAATGAGAAGTGTCAAGTTGAATCCAGAACCTGCAATTATCCTCAGAAGGATCAACGGTTGTGATCAAACCAAGCCCACCAAAGTCACAGCTATCTGCTCTGTGATCGTTTTGCTGATACAAGCTATTGAACGCATACGACACATTGCCTGGCCATCTGATACCTGAACACGACCCACCGGGAAGTACTGATGTGCAGTCAGCAACAGAACATGCCTCTAACGCTTTTGCCGACGCGTTTGACAAGTCCATGTTATTGTTCACGACACACCACTTGGGAGAAAGGTACTGAACGTTCTGCGCGTTAACCAGTTTCTTTGAGTTATGGTTGAAACTGAAACTGTATTTGGCCTGACCATCGAATGTGAACACTCCCCAATGCCTCTCAAAGTTCCCAAAAGACACGCTCCTCTGATCCTCGTCCAAGAGGCTTTCAATGTAGGTTTCAACTGGAGGGCGCAGCATAGAGCCCGTCTTTTTCTCCAGATGACCCATCAGTCCTTTCAAGAACGCCTCGGAAGTTGGTGACGTGGCATTGGCTGCTCCATCAGTAGGCCAACCAATCTTTGACACGACGATATCCATCCCTGGGAACCCAATACTGGACAATGCAGAGACAAGTGTGTCGTAGCTCAGATCAAAGCTGTTTCTGTAGTTTTTACGACCGTCTTTGTGAGCTTGTGCACTTTCTTTGAAGAGGCTAAAGTCGAGAGAAAAGTTCTTGTTCTGGTGAAAGCTTAGAAAAGGAGAGAGTGTCACAAAGAAGGGAGAGTGGTGCTTTGTAAGAAAGGAGAGGAGTTCGATCATTGTCTTGTTGAGGTCAGCCCTGAAGTGTCCTGAAGAAGGTCGACCAGATTCAGAAATAAAGGAGTCAAAGCTGGAGGGAACTACGACCTTCACTTCACTTGCCAAGCTCGCTTTAGCTAAAGCATTTTGGATGTTCATAGCTGCTCCAATGACAAAAGGCCTATACTGATTGCCATAGCTCTGTAGAAATGGCTCATCTCCAACTGCTACGTACCTGAAAACCAATCCAAGTGAGGAACCCTCCATAATCTCGAAACTTTAAACCATAATTCAATGATAAGCCCACAACAAGAAGAAAGATTGGCAGTGAAAGAAATCCAAGTGAGCAATTTCTATGTGTGAGTTTGAAAACCATACAACAAGATTGTCATTTACACAAGAATGTTTCAACATTAGGAGCTCTTTTGTGCAGATGCGTTTAATTTCCCTCAGCTCAAAAAGTAGAGGAGCATCAAGCATATATTCTTCTGAAACCAAACAAACTTTGAATCAAAAAATTATCCATTTCATGTCCGTTTGCGACTATGTTATTCCAACATTATCGTTGCACGACCGAAAATGAAGCTAAAAGATTATAAACTTCGACAAATTCCCAGAAGATACAAAGCAATTATGGGAAACTGGTCTAAAAAGGAAATTTCCCAGCTTGAAACTCACAAAATCTAGCTATATCTTTTGAAAAAATAAATCTAACAAGAGTAGCTATTTGGAAAAGCGGAAGAGAAGGAGAAAGAAGATACTCGATTCGAACTCTGTTTCCGCCGTCGAAGTAACGAGTGACATTGTCATGGACCCAGCTCTCTGCTGCTTTTCTGGACGCATTCAAGCTCTTGATCATGGAATTAGGGATTCCAACAGTGACACCAATATTGGAACCAGAGAGTGCTCCGAGAACTTTTGGGTCGGCATCGAAGAGCTTCACTTTGGCAATGCCGTTGGATTTCAAAAGCTCTACAACCTTGGAAGGCGGAAGAGGGTGCGAGGCATCTGTACCCCAGTTCACGCCGACCGCTCCGGCGGTGAATCTCGTCAGACTCAACTCCGCCGTGACGGCGAGGAGGAGGAGAAACAGTCGACGAGCCATCAATTCAGTGAAGCTCCTCGATTGGCGATAATAATGCCAGGCCAAGAAGTTCCATGTTAGCACTACGTGCCGTTTTATGACTGAGCCAGCCCACTTGACACTGTTATTTATCTATCAAAATGGCATGACGTTTACACGCTGGGCTTTACACTAATACTACTTGGGCTTTACATGACGTTTAAAGCTAATGGGTGATCTGTTTTTGCATTAAGAGGTATTATTTGATTTTCGTTGATTGACGACTGATTTATGTATTTCTTGAATTTTCCTACGAAATTTTTGTTTTTCTTGGAACAATGTATCAGAGACTATCGCTTTGTAACTAGAATTTTACTATATATGTATTGTCAAAGTGTCAGAGACATGGCAATAAAAAACGTTTTTAATGTTCCTATATAATAAGAAACGTTTCTAAACTTCCAACTTCTTCTTTTGATTATTTTAATCAAAAATATTGTTAAGAAATCCTTTAAAAACTAGCGTTAATGATGGTCTAAGGGTTTAAAAAAAAAAAAAAAGATTAGTTTTGTTACTACGTTTTTTTTATTAGTTTTGTTGCTTTTGCAATATAATGTGCAATCATGTGATGCTATCTTTCTAGAAGCATTAATTAGATTGAGTGGTGTTTCTAATTATTTTTGCACAAAATTGCAAAAGGAAGAAGATAATGTATTTTGTTAAGCTATACAAACAAACTGAATTACGTTTGTATTGCTTAAGATGAGGTCGATCTCTTTTTTTGTTTGTTTTTCTTTTGTCAACGGATGAGACCTTATTATGGTACTTATTATGGTACACCATTATGACTATTGTATGATTGTTTTGTATGTTCAAATGAGATTTTGAAGAAATCAAGTCATGCAACTAAGGTGGTGAATTAAATCTATTTGTTTATTAAACTGATGATATATATTACTGGTAAGGTGTGACGTTTATATTCTTGATTCTAAATTTGATGATTGGATGAATAAAATTGAAGAATGAATATATATATATAGTTGTTGTGGTAGGGTACTTTTATTTAAATGATTGCCACATGATCCTGATAAATAATAACCATGCGTCTCTACAACCTAATAAAAAAATCGATCAGTGATGAAATTTCGTGGGTTAGACTATTTGGAAATTAATGGCCAATACCTTTCTTCATTGATTCTTGACCCACTACCAACTCCTCGCCATTTCTTCTCTTTTTCATTTGTTTTTCTATTTTATCAAATCCATCTCCATAAGTCTTAATTTGCATACGATGAACCAATTCATATTGCGATTGCATGATTTCCTCAAATTATATATGGACATTGTAAAATTGTATAATTATTAACTCTAAGAAATATCTTTATATACAAGAATGCCTAGTTAAAATTCTGACAAACATAATTTGAGAGTTTGATTAGCTACCTGAATTTATATTGTATCATTAAGACTTAAGTCTTTTAATATGATAGTTGACTAGTTGGTGATCCGATTACTATGGGCTTCAATTCTTATATTTTTAATAAGTGTATACCAAAGTGTTAATATTGATACTCTTCAGATTAAGACACAACGAAAACGAGAAATCATTCATGGCCTTTATAAATAAAGAAAAACAAGAAATTATCTATGCCGTCAATATAAGACTAATTCAGCAGCATGCATATTTAGTTACAACCTTTGATACTAACAGCTACTAATCAGCGAACTATTAACTACGATGAGTAAACATGATAATAATATTCAGTATAGTGACAAAAAGTGGATAAAGGGACAAAAGTTGCAATTCCTACAATAGTATAAACATTGGACAGACGATCTATTGATATGATTTGATGTGTCAACAAGATATATAAAGTTATATCCTAAACGATTAAATCAAATGAACCAAGGAAGGTATCGACTATAGAGCTTAAATTTAGATGATAATGATGAAATATGTCAAAAATCATTCATATGTTAATTTTTGGTTGCACATTAGAAAAGTCAATATCGAAATTACATAAATAACATTTTTTTCAATGTAGGTGATGAAATATATATATGAAAACGTAATATGATGATAATTACTTTAATATTTTAATTTATCTTTAAAATGTCAGAAATTTGAATATGAATGTCTGAGATATAGGTACATATATAACCAAGATTTATATGTAATCCCTTAATTAACGCCGTGATTAATATCATTCATATGTTACATTCTTTTTGGGTGTACTGTGTACATTAGAAGTCAATTTTGGAAATCATTACATAACTTTTTTCAATGGAAGTGATGAAATATACGTAAGCAAAACATGTCGGGTACTATATTAATAATTACTTTGCATTTTTTGTTTGGAGTAGAAATAACATATATTAAAAAAATTTGATGTGAGATCATATAACTAAGATTTAGGGTCATACACTTACATGTAAATCTCTTTATTGTCAATTTGTTTTAGTTTTAGATGTACACGCAACATGTATGTCGTATGATATTTTAACAAACATCGATCTAAACGGGCACCCATTGCAAAGATTATACTATAATCTTGTAAATTGCTATTATTATGCTTATAACTTATAAGCCTGAATCCTTAAGTTTTACACTTGTACTCATTTGTAATCTTGATGCAAATGTAATAGATGTGATTCCTTAATCCAAATATTCATTTGTTTTCTTAGTCCAAATATAAAATAGATGTGATTCCTAGCTTATTTAACAAGTCGACCCATAAGAAAAAACTAAATTATCAAAGGAATCAAAGTGAAAGCTAAAACAGGTATATAAATTGGATGTATCTTCAATTTCCATTTTCTCCTTTTTCTTTTTTCTTTTGGTTCCCAGAGAAAGAAATGTGATGATGGGACGTAAATAAAGGTGAGAAACTACAATATGAATAATCAAATCCAACTTGTGAGTTGTGACTGAACATAAAACTGTTCCTCCCTCTCTTTTCTCTCTCTCTCTCTCCTCACTCTCAAGCACACGACCCACACGCACACACATACTCGAAAACAAAATCAAGAACCCTAATATCTAAACAACGTCCTGACTTAGGATCATAGATGGAGGGAGAAACCGCAGCGAAGGCAGCCGCGAGTTCCTCCTCCTCACCAAGCCGTTACGAGTCGCAGAAGAGACGAGACTGGAACACTTTCCTTCAGTATCTAAAGAACCACAAGCCACCTCTGAGTCTGTCTCGTTGCAGTGGCGCACACGTCATCGAGTTCCTTAAGTACCTCGACCAGTTTGGTAAGACCAAAGTCCACGTCGTGGCTTGTCCCTTCTTCGGAGAGCCTAACCCACCGGCTCAGTGCACCTGCCCTCTCAAGCAAGCTTGGGGAAGCCTGGACGCTCTCATCGGCCGTCTAAGGGCTGCGTTCGAAGAAATCGGCGGTGGTCTTCCTGAGTCTAACCCTTTCGCTGCCAAGGCCGTTAGGATCTATCTTAAGGAAGTCCGTGAATCTCAGGCTAAGGCTCGAGGGATTCCCTACGACAAGAAAAAGCGGAAACGGCCTCCTACGTCCACGGCAGCTCCAACCGCCGGTGATGGAGACGACGCCGGAGGAAGTGGTGGTGGTGCTGCTTTGGTCGTTAGTGCTGCAACTACGGCATAGTTGGGCGATTCGGAAAAAAATTCCACATACCTAATGCTATATCTAAGAGAAAACTATGGTGTAGTGATTCTTGAGTTCTTTACTTTCTAATTTTTTACTTATAGATGATATATTTTGTTTATTTGATGATTCAAGATATATATGTAAATTTCAATTGTATAGATGGAAGAGACGATCAACGATTATTAATAAGAACTTATTATGATTAGCTATCTACAATGATCACTTATTTTTCACCGTGATTGATTGATCAGTATAATTGTGATGTGTGCACATGCGAAGTCTCGGGTCTCACGTGAGCTGTGATTTCTTTCACAAGTCACAAATCTTCAGGTGCTTACTTTTTAAAAGCCTTGATGATCATCATCATCATCTTGTTACTCACTTTATTTTATTTTCTTCTTTACAAATTCAACGACTCAATAATATATGAGTTCCTTGATTCAGAAAATAATTTAGAATTGGTAAGCATATATAGAAATGCGGACTATTTTTTTATTTCACACTTTTCATGGAATTCACAGGAGACTCAATATATTAGGTATGAGTGCATTAATATCTAGCCTATATACACGGTATATACTTGTTAACAGAGACATGATCATAACAAAAGAGGAAATGATGGTACAAGCTCAAGATCTATATATATCTTAGAAATAGCAAAAATAAAAAATTATAGTGGGTGGTCTTAATTATTTGAAAAGGACTAGTGGCCAACCTAGCATTATTTCTCTTGGTAAGTAATATACAAATCTTCATCGTTTCATAATTCTCAAACTCAAAGCACTTTGATCTCAACACCCAAAAAAAAAAACAGTAATAGGCTAATAGCCTAGTTATATAACTAGAGGGCTAGTGCTTCGGAACTTGCCAATTAGTAAGATGGTAGACTGAAGAAGAAAGTGAGAGTCTAGTTTTGAAAATCAATTATTATAGTTTGATAGTTGTTTTTAAAATTATAATAGAAAAGAAGATAAATCCTATTGCCCGAATAAAAAAAAAAGAAGGAATCACATTAAACTTGTCAGTTGTCACTCAGGTTGGTAACCTCGTTATGGACATAGACGTGTGTATTTGGAAAAAGAGGAAAATTGGTAAATAAAAATATAAAAAGAAACGTCGACAGCAGGATTCGAACCTGCGCGGGCAAAGCCCAATTGATTTCGAGTCAATCTCCTTAACCGCTCGGACATATCGACATTGCGTTTAAACAACAACAAGAGATTAATATAGACAAAATTAATCGCTTAAAAACAGCGACAAACAGAAAGCCAGTTCTCTGAAGTTTCTCAGAGCTGAGCTATTCAGATTCACACACGATATTATTAATGATAAAATTAGTTGGATCACCATAACAATGTGTAGCTTATTTATTATGAACTGCAAAATCTTATATCATATTACATGATAGTTCTGCTGCCTCCAGATTTTGTTTTTAATTCCCAATTAAGGAGATGCGTTAAGAGATAAACCCTTTGCTTTTAAGACTCTCCACACCTTCCTTGATGATTTCGTCCATGCACCTGAACTCTAACCCCAATTCCATCAGCTTCGTTGCAGCGTTCTTGGCTCGGAGTAAACCCGGTTGAGTCTCTCTCGGTAACCTAAGACAGAGTTTCCAGTACATGTTACTGAAAGCTACGTATATAGAAACACAACGAGTGTTTGAAAGAGAGGTTGTGACTTACTTGGGGACATTGTAGTTGGGATAGAGGTCAGCCACTTTGGCTACAAAATCACCGTAGTGAGAGATGGCCTCGACGCACAAGTGTCTTCCTTTTGCAGATGGGTTCTCGTAGACAAGAATATGGGCTAAGGCCACGTCCTTGAAATGCACCGACCCCATGAAGAAGTTCTCGTACGTCTCTGTGCACCCTGTTGCATCATTGGATAATAAAGAGACTTTTGTCACTCAAGACCCAATTCAAAATATGTGATATATAGAATCAAAAGAGAATACCCTGAAGAAGGCGTAGAAGCATGAGCATGCTTGCGTTAAGGGATGGAGAAATCATAGGACCCATGACAGTGCCTGGATTCACCACAACCACATCCAATCCTTTCTCCTCTGCAAACTCCCAAGCTGCCTTCTCGGCGAGCGTCTTCGACAGTGGATACCACAACTACCAAACCAAACCAAACCAACACAAGAACTACGCTCATTTCAAAGAAACCTATACCATCTACAAGATAAATCAAGAAAGATGTGGAATCAGTAGATCTTAATTAGAGACACGTACTCCATTTTGGTTGCAGTAGTCTTGGTCAGCCCAACATTCCTCGTTCTTGATCTTATCGGCAGGCCAGTTGGGGCTTGGGGTTATCGCCGATATGGATGACGTCACCACAACCCTCTTAACGCCGGCTTCTTTCGCCGCCGTCAGTACATTTATGGTTCCCTTAACCGCCGGGTCAAGTAGTTGCTTCTGTGTACACATATATACACATGAAGTGACGAACTTCTCTAATCATTAAAAGCTTAGAATTGGGAGTGAGTATAGAACCTGGGGATCTTGGACCTCATCGACGATACAGGGCGATGCAAGGTGGAATACGCCGGAACATCCTTTGACGGCGGCGGAAACAGTGTCGTACTGCAGGAGATCCATCTCGAATAGATGGAGGCGCGTGGCCGCACCTTCGAGAGCTTCCAGATGTTTTGTCTCTTTCTCATCCTCTGCAACACAGATTTGACAAAATCCATGACAATTAGGCGGAGAATACGGTTACTGGAGGGTGGAGGCGTAATCGACGAGAGGAATTCGTAGAGATTACGGAGGTTTTTCACGGTGGCGTGGACGGAGTAGCCGCGTTGGAGGAGCAGATGGACGAGCCACGAGCCGATGCCGCCACTGGCGCCGGTGACGCAAACTACTTCTCGTTCCGTCGACATTGATGAATTTGACTGATTAAAGCGTTTTCTCTCAGTTTCAGACAGACAAAACTCTTTTTCAGACACTCTCACTCTCTCTCTTTCTCTGGCTGTTTGAGACTCGAGAGTAGAGTAATGGTGCCACGTGGCCACAACAGAATAATTAAGCACATAAATCTATGATCTATGAGATAGCTTTATTTATCGTCTGAATTAATACACATCAAGCAAAAAAATTGTTGCTTACAGAAATTTGTTCATTTGTTAATTTTCTGTTAGAGAACAAATGCGTTATATCGTACGGTTAAATCAAAATGAAAAAGAATCAATCGCAGGAAGTAACAGAGAGCGCAACGCGGAGATCGTTCGATGTTCCAGAGACGTACATTCGGTGCGTCTCGATTTCTTCTCTCCTCCGGTCACTGGTGGCCGCCACGTCAGCAGCCGCCGCGTAATGGATTCCGTTGTTGACATCGTCTCCGGTGGAGAAAATGATCTCCCTGAGAATGGGTTCGTGTCCGTTTAGAAGATTTCCCATGCTCAACACTTTTCTCCATGACTGGTTCGCTGATGGCGGCGAGAACAGATTCGACACCACTTGTCTCTCTCTCGGAGTCACTTCCTGTCTACCTACTTCCATCTCCTGTGTTTCAGTGACCAGACACGTTAGATCATTCAATTATAACATTCTCATTAGCGAGATTCTCGTTAGTGTAACGATGACTCACCGTCCTGCTTTTGTTCTCTTCGTCATTTGAGTTTATTCCCATCAATGGAACATAAATGCCGTAGAAGTCGCTGAATATAACTTGAGCAAGGCGTGATGCATCCAGGAACTTTCTGTGAAGAGACGCTGCGACCGTTACCAACTTCTCGACGTGTTCAAAGACCACACAGAGACGTCTCAGGTCTTTGATGGTCTCTGCTCTATCCGGAAGATTATTTCCTGCATCCGAACATCTGTTATTATAGAGACAAGACGGCCACGACGAAGATTTATATAATTATGGAAAAAAATAACAAATATTTGTACGTTGTAGAGCCCCCAAAGTAGATTTGGTGATGAGGTAGAGTTGCTCCAATTTAGAGGTCATTTGTTTCATGTCCCCGAAGTTTGTCTGGTTAAGAGTGTCGGCTGATCCTCTGAAGGCTGTACAGACCATTTGCTCAAGAAGCTGATGAGGCCGCACTGTTTCCAGGTAATGAAGAATCTGAGAAATTTTCCAACACAACGAGGTTAAACCTTGCTCTCGCAAGAGGTTATCGAATAATCTCAAAAAGACACTCACTCACCTTTTCTCCCTCTCGGTTTGGGTCTAGGAGGGGCTTTTGGTCATCGGCTGGCAAAGCAGGTGCATCGTTCCAACTTTTCCTCCAGAGGTTTCCTTGATCAGACATCCGTTGAGAAAGGCGGCCACGAGGAGGCCATTTATCCTTCGAGCCTTCAGTGATGGAGCCTCCCGATGGTTCAGCGGCTTCAGGCTCAGAACTGTCCCAATCTCCAGGTGAATGCCATCTTATAAAGTCCTCAAACACGGCATCCGGGTTTGCTGCTTTGAATGCTGACATGTCTGCAATCACCTTCGTGAGATCAGAAAAATAGAAAGAAGAAATGAAGTGTGGGGATCTATGATAGATTTCCGAAACATATGCTCCTATAGTTCCCTTTCAATAGACTCAAACTTAGAAATAGATGACAAAGAAAAAGTTTAATGAACATTCTTCTCCGATATCTAGACAACAGAGAGAATTTTAAATCTCACCAGATAATAAGATGTCTTTCTCCAACTGGCCAGGAACGTTCTGAAGTTCAAAGGGCAAAAAAAGTTCTTCAATAGTCAAACAACGAAATGACCTTAAAAGAAGCTATCAACTTCTCTAATGTCAAGATATAACACAAACATGTAGAAAAAAATCCATATTATAGCAAGGAAACGCATATACACATTTGTCAAGAAACATTTTTTTCTTTTCTTCACTCGTTAAGAAACATTAAGCTTAGAGAAACGTTCTTAGTAGATAATCAAACCAAATTCACTTCTACTGGGAAAGATGTTGAGCTTACAAGGGAATCACCAAACGCCTCAACAGCCTGGAGTCTTTCTTCATGCATGTCTTCAGTCATAAGAGGTGGATCCTGTAATAACTCAGGAAATATGAGATTGTTAACGACATCATAGGAAACGGACTAGGTCAAGTCGAATACCAACCTGTGTAAATGGGGCATGGAGTCGCTGATGTGACTTCAGGAGCATCATGGTCCCCGCTGGTCCAGCTGAACCCCTTCTGATGGCATGTGTTGGGCTTTGGTTCACAGAATTTGTGCTTTCAGTTTTCCTCTCAAATCTGAGTCGATTAGATGTATCTTCTGCGATTGAACTGTATCCACGCAAAAGAGATTTAAACACTTAGCTTTGGTCAAGATTTCCTCTCAATGAGCTTTAACATTCAATCAAGGGTCATCATCATTTAAAATGGAAATGGAAGAAACGGAGAAAGAGAATGAGTACTTAACAATAATAATAATCAGGGTTTCATCAGTTTTAATAATAACGAGAACCTAAGAGCTCTCACTTGCTAAGTTCACCTGTCACGTTTCCTCTGCAGATCTGCTTCTGAGGATGTATTTCTTCTCTTGTCGACCTTCTGGTGTTCCTGAGGATTGATTTAAAGAAATGTTTCAAGCCAACAGCAGAGAAGCAATACAGGAATTAGGATCTGTTTGTTGTAGGTGTTTGGAATCCCTACATCTTTTATATTTGTATCGGTTGCATTTGTTAATTTAATAAAACATCTACTGGCAGTACATAACAACAGATGCACAAATACAGAAAGTCTTAGCCACTCACCTCCACAGAAACAGAAGCGTCTGAACTGTCTTCACTTCCTATACAGTCTAGGAACTCTTCATTCATTTCACGCTTTTTTTCAATGCAAATTGCAAGCTGATCAACAAAGAAGAAAATTGTTAGTGTCTAAAATAAATTTAACATTTCCAATTAAGGATATATGGGGGATCACCAGGTGCAACTTCTGGTAGATTAAACAAGTGGACAAATCAATAGAACCATCAACTGGCATTTTTGGCAACGGCTGTGACTCTTCCCAACACCAACGAACTTCGCGGACAAACTCTATCCAGAGAGAGGCAATGGCTAGAGATGGGATGCAGAAAAAAAAAAAACAATACGTCTATTAATCAGTTTATTCCTCATATTACGCCATTGGCAATTTAATCCATTTTGGCTGATTGGTCTACCAGCACGTACCACGGATATTGCAGTTGCCAAACCACAGTGAGTGCAAACAGAATTGTGTAAAAAGAGACTCAAGCGGTGCAGCCTTAAGAGCTCGAGAAAGCCTGTGTTCGCCTTTAGTAAAATCTGGGAGCTTAGATCCTGCGAGATTAGATTGGAAAAGGTGAAACAATACCACATAGCTGGATTCTAACAAATGTCTGGGACATAAGGGGTGGACTTTCAAATGATTATGGCTGCAAAATTAAAATTCATTCTAAAAATTTAGAATATATGGTAACTTGAATTCATGACCCAGCAATGATAATTAATGTTCAGTGTTGTGTAACAGAAACATAAGCTTATATTGAGCTACCATAGAGACAGGTGGTACACATGCATCTATATGTCCACACATAATATAGTGGAAGAATACCCTCATGAAAGAGATCTTTAATCACCCGATCAAGAACTGTTGGAGGAGGTATGACCACTGAGGTCTTCAAATTTTCGGAGCCTGGATTTTCCCCTGCGAGAGATTTAAAAAACATTAGACAGTGGAAATGTCGGTGAAAGCTAATGCTGTAAAAATAAATTTGAGACATAAGGGAAACTAATCATATGCTATAACTCAATCCCTTGCTAGTGGAAGTTTCTACATGTGTTTAAAAACATGACAAAAATACACGAGCATACAAAATTGCACAGACCTGACACGAAATCCTCCATAAACTGAGCTGTGAATGACATATCCAATGCTTCAACCACGCAAAGTAGTTGGGAAGAGAAATCAATTCTATTCCCATGTGAAGGATCACCCCTGGTAAAACATGATTTGTTATAAAACTGAAAGGGAAGAAAAACACACCATAACACATGCAAACTACTACTCTACCCTAGAATGGGAAACTATAAGAAGCATTTCTTACAGATATGGTGAGAGGATTGGGTGTAAAATCCACTTCTCAGCTTCATGGGGTGAAGCATTTTCAAGTTCAGCCATTTCAAGTGTGTTTTCTACAGTCTTGTCAGCGCATGTGACCACCAATTCGAATCCTGTCCATATCAGCCACAAAGTTAGATAATGAACTCCTTGAATCACATATACCAACACCAAAGACCAGCCTATGCTTTTGACGAACGATACAGGATTGTAATCACACATCTATTATATATCTGTGTGTGCTAAAATACAGAGGTATAAAGACCAGCTAGTAAATTAGAAAACTTGTGATGTACAATCACAGAAAAACACACATCCTTAACTAATATGTAAGACAGAGATGTAAAATACTTATAAGTACCGTATTGTGTTAGACTATAGTCCAATTTTTTTTTTTCCATACGGATGTACCTCTAAGTGGATCTTCAGCAGAGTACCACTCACTCCAAGGACAATCATCGTCCCAGTGCAATTTGTTACGTGACTCAGAACCATAGTGTTCTGCAGTGTCTGTTTTGTCACCCATAAGTTCATCCATATCATTTTCCTCATCCTCCTCATATGGGAAGGTCTGGTATGTTAGCCTCATCATAAAATGGACTTTGAAATTATGCATCGAGAAATCCACTCCTGAATAAACCTTTAAGTAATGAACTGTTTTCAATAAATATAATATCTAGCAAAATAACAAATTAATCACGTGACAGAGTAAGCCAAGTTGGACCGGATCTCACGTCAAGATTAAAAAATTGCCTCCCCTTCTAATATCCAGCTTGAAACATTTTGTATAAAGTACATATTGCAATACAGTATGTGAAGAAAAGAAAAGAACTTAAGAACAACTAAGTTGAAAAACCAGCTTTTCATCAGTGATGGCTGATGCTTAGAAAGTTTTCAAGTCCGCTTTGAGCAATTATCGTACCAATGAACATAACTAAGTAGGAGCCACGAAGACTTACAAACTTAGAAACAAACAACTCATATAGTCCTTCTAGGTGCATGAGTTTCACAGGGACTTGACTATTAATACGATCTGCTTCAAATCTTCTAGTAAAAACAGTACCCATATTCTGGATTCCAATATATGCTTTGCGTGAAGGGTCATGCACAGGGACAAAGGCTGGCCACAAGCTGCATACCAAAGTCGCATAATAGTTAGTGACTAGCTCAACCAAATATGCACCTCACTGTTATCTCCTTAGCAAAGATCCTCAGGGATACACATTTCTATCGACTTTGATTTCCAAGACTCCGGAGTAATTGGTAGGCGATTTGTTATCAACTCAAAGAAATAGTGTATTGTAAGAGTTACACTTTACGATGCTAAAGCTAAAGTGGTGTTACGGGCTAAGACATTGTACCTGGCACAGTTAGACAAAGCAATAGCAACCGAACTCAGAAGCTTGCTAGACTCTGGTGAATCAAGAAGCACCCCACTGGCACTTTGTGGAGCAATCAACTATAAGATGCAGGAATAGTAATCAAATATCGAATATGTAGAAGGGCAGGAACCATTTCAAGTAAAAATTTTAGACTTAAAGCGTACCAGAAAATCCTTCACCCCAAAGCAAAGCTGGAGATCATGTGAATTACTGTTCCAATTACCAATTCCAGCTGCATCAGTCAGATACCGAATCAAGAAACAGAAAATGCAGTTTCTCAAAGATAAAACGTATTACCCTGAAAATTATATACCTTGTTGGCTACCATTATTGTCAATTTGAAAGTAGAACTCCATACAATAGCTCTTTGCGACATTTTTTAGATCGTACTTGACCTTAAACAGATTCTTGGAATCCTCCACTGCAACAGCCCCCTTTTCCTGCACTCACAGGACGCAGGCAACGTAAGAGATATAGCAAGTAGATTTTAAAATAAACATCCAAGTCCATATGTGTACATCAAAAGCACATTCATGTGATTCTAACGAGTTCAGAAAGTCCCATTTACAGCTATAGAACTCGATCGGAATGGGATGAAATAATTTGGAAACGCAAACGTACCACCAGGTTTTTGGGACCATCGGCTAACCATTGACGACAAGTTGCTTCAATGTCTGAAATGAATCTAAAAAGCAACGGGATCAGTGGTGACTTTCCGCTCGTTAAAGAACAACGTAGTATTGATTATTGAATCCAAGCATTCAAATCGTGAAGATGAGCTACCTTTCCCAGGAAGAAGCTAGAGTAAAATCATCGAAATGTTGCACCTGCAATTTAATTTCTGATTCATGAATACAAAAAGAAAAACAGAAGAGCACATGAAGAACAAGGGGATAGCAACTGGCATACCTCTTCTTCGGCATCATCATCTTCTTCGAGAGGATTCGGTCTGCTTGTAGAAGCCATATAAATTGGGGAGCGATTTTCTCCCGCTCTCTTTTTCTGGATGAGAAACTCTTGGAGATCCTCCGATCAAGAGATCCGCTTCGGGAAAGAGCAACGACGATTGTGTAAAGTTAAAGAAGACGGTACAATGAGAAGGAACGTCGTCGTTCGAGGCTGACTTGGGACTTTGACAAACGGTGATAACAACGCGTGCCGTTTCGTTTAATTAGAAACGAGTTGTATTTTATTATCCTTTTAACTTAAGTTTCTAAATCTGATCCGACGGTCACAAAAAGGCAAATACCAGTGGGCCTAACAGTAGTAGCCCAGTACAAAGCTTATTTGTGCCCATTGCAATTTCTCAAGTAGTCCACAAAATATAATCTCAGTGATGTATAGGGGGAAAACAAAAATTTACCTCTATTACAAGACTTCAAATGTGAATACTAATCTTCTTTTTTTTTTTCTCAAATCAATAATCGAAATTCTCTTCAGCTTTAATAATTTCGGAATTTTTGTATTTATATGGGATTGGTGATCATTTTAGGTGAACACAATTATGTTTGCAGGGACCACAATGCACAACTAAGATTTAATTATCTGAAAGAAATTAAGTAAAAACAATTGTTATGTCCCAAAATAACAAAATATACATTAATTTGAAAAAACAATTAATAAAAATAGAAATACGGGAGCGTAGTAGATCGAGGAGGAGACAGACAGTCTGAGAAATCGTACTGCTTTACATAAATGAAGCCGTCCTCTCCTCACTAACGTTTGTTAACGAAGATGAAATCTCAAATCCCTTGAAATCTGAAGCACACTCCATTTTTCCATCTCTCCCAGCTCACTCATAGTCATTTTCCACGACGACGACCTATAAATGGCTGCAGCTTTGGAGTGCTGGTCGAGCCGTGCCGGAGGTGGCGCTCCCGACGACGATCTGGTGGATCAGGTCCTCATGCGCACGCACGACAGGTCCGAGTCTCTTATTACGTCTCAGCCTGAGTCGGCTTTGGAGGTCGAGGGATCCACGCCGCTTTTCGATCAGAGCACATCGGCTATGCAGAAGCGGTTTCAGCGTCTCAGCCGCAACGTCTCCGAGGCGATTTCGTCGCTCAAAAACTCGCTCAATCTCGATTCCGCGCGGGACAACCAGAGCGTCGGCGGAAATCCGTCGCCTAAGAGCGAAACCGGCGGCGGCGGCGGCGGCAGGAAGCTCCTGTGGGCTACTGTAGTGAGGAACCTCGCTAAGATGTATCCTGGTAGCCAGTTACCGGAGAAGCTCGTATCGAATCTCAAGAAGCATTACGATTCCTTGCCCTTCAGGTAAACCAGATTCATCAGTTTCTTTCTATTTAGGGACACTTTAAAGATATTTTGCGAGTTTTCGCTGTTTCGATTTTCTAAACTCCGAAGCAGCTCAAGTTTAGCTGCTTAAGCAATGTTCCATTTCTCTCTCTCGGTTTCACTTTCACTAGACTATTAATATATTCTTGTATGTATGTTGCACTTATTTCCCACTAGAACTATCGTATTTTAGTGTTTCTCTGGGAGATGAAAAGTTCGATTCTGGATATATTGATATATTTTGGTAAATCATGGACCAATCAAGATAATTTGGTTTTGTTTTAACAGTTACAGTCAGGCTGGATTCGATATGAAAGAAGTCTTTCTACACGTAAAGTTGATAGAGCAAGCTTTTGGAGATGACAATCCTGTGTTTATGATTCAAGAAGTGTCTGCTGAGGAAGCTCGGGGTTCACTCCTCAGATTTACATTCGCCTGTAACTCTTCTCTTTCATGGTCCACCATGTCAGGCGCTCTTGATGGTGCTTCGATTTGTTGCAAGAAGATACAAATCTTTGAGAAGAAGGGTTTGACTCTCGGTGTTGTTCTTCTTCTGGATCAGTCTGGGCAAGTGAATTTGTTCAAAACCCGGGTAGAAAATGCCCTCAAGTCTGCAACCAGAAAGCCAAGACCGACTTCTGTTAAGCTCCCTTTTGGACTTTGTGGCTGTCAAGAACAGAACGGCGGTGTTGGGGAACTTGGGGGTGTCGAAGAAGAGTCCATTCAGCATAGTAATAGGCTAGGGATAGAAAACTTGAATAGTATGATCCAACTTCAAATTCCACTATCGAGTTCCTCATTTGCAGTATCAGTAGATGAATGGCAGACCATCCAATCAGGTGGCAATGAGATTGGAAAATGGCTATTGAATTCCGATAATGTTGAGTTTGGTGATCAGATTGGACCAAATTCTTTCAAAGGAGTTTTCCGAGGGAAACGGGTGGGAATCGAGAAACTAAAAGGTTGTGATAAAGGGAATTCATATGAGTTTGAGCTCCGAAAAGATTTCTTGGAGCTGATGACTTGTGGACACAAGAGCATTCTGCAATTTTATGGCGTTTGCATTGATGAGAACCACGGATTATGCGTTGTGACAAAACTGATGGAAGGCGGGTCACTCCATGAACTAATGTTAAAGAACAAGAAGCTTCAGACCAAGCAGATACTGCGAATTGCTATTGACATAGCTGAAGGGCTGAAGTTTGTTAATGATCATGGTGTTGCTTATAGGGACCTTAACACACAAAGAATACTTCTAGATAAGCATGGTAATGCCTGTTTGGGGGATATTGGAATAGTCACCGCTTGTAAGAACTTTGGTGAGGCCGTGGAATACGAAACTGATGGCTATCGATGGCTTGCACCTGAGGTTTGTATTCTCCTACTCTTGTCTTTGTTCAGCACATTACTTGAGAATTAGATTGTAAGCGTCACCATACTTGCCACTTCGAGATCGTTTCTTTCTTCTAAAGCCAAGTGATACAAAAAATTCGGCACCTGAAAGCTTGCTCACAGAGCTCTCTGGTCCATTATCATAATTCCCATAGAAACCAGTCGCAGACCTTATATGCATCATCTCTACTATCCGTCTATCCCCAAATGACCCACCTCATCTTGTTTTCTTTTTGTTTTTTTTTTGGATAAAAAAAGTTTCGTTGCTTTTGGCCATATCTGCTTTACCTTTTTCTGTTTGTCTGAGCAGTAATTGGATCGTCACTTTTGGTCACATATATCGTAAACAAAAGTGGGTCTTATTAAGTTCTGTCTATCTTCACAAAAGCACCTTAGACTAGCTTACGCCTTCCAATTTTATTACTTCATTGATTCAGCGTACCTAACTTCTTCTTCTTTTTTTTTGGTTATATGAGTTTATTCCGATTGCAATTGCAAATGGTCCACTGAACATAAGGTTACTTGATTTCATCTGATGAAACTTACTATTATGATTATTTTTTCTTATGACATGGTTGAAATCAGATAATAGCTGGTGACCCGGAGAACACAACAGAGACTTGGATGAGCAATGCTTATAGTTTTGGGATGGTACTGTGGGAGATGGTGACGGGAGAGGCGGCTTATGCGTCTTGCTCGCCGGTGCAGGCGGCTGTTGGGATTGCGGCTTGTGGCCTAAGACCGGAGATCCCAAAGGAATGCCCTCAAACCCTGAGAACTCTGATGATCAATTGCTGGAACAACTCCCCCACTAAACGCCCCAACTTCTCTGATATCCACTGCACGTTGCTCCGTGCCGTTTCACGCTAAGTTTGGTTTTTATTTGGTAAGGATCATATTGTACATTGAGATTGTAACACTGAATGTATTGATCATAATGGTTATATGAATTGAGTTGGAAATATATAAGGACATAGAGAGGAAGGTGTTCGTGTAGGTTTGGTTCGACCCTTGTATTGTGGCTAACCTTGAGGACCCGCCTCTTTTGTCTACGTTAGGCCGAAACTAATGCCTTAAACTAATGCTAATATTTCAGGTTCTCACTGCAAACAATGACATTGTGGTGTGTAATAGGAACAAACAGATTTTTGTTGCTGTTGCCACTTAAGGATAAACTGATAAGTAAGATTTGACCCTACTACATTGCATATGAATGAGTAGAATGTAGAATGTAGAATGGTACTTTTCTATCTTTCATTTATCTCTCTCCTTCTTTATTCAATTGGGCCATAGTACCAAAATTACTTAGTTTTAGATATCTGAAATGGACAGCCTAGTTTAAGGTTATTGACTACTCGTAGCCGTAGCCATCTTTGAACTCACAAATAGCAGTACGACAACATTAAACAAACAAATCACTAATTCAAAATCAAAGGCCTAGCCCAAAAATGAAATCGAATCACTAATGAGTCCATAGGCCGACGCCCCACCAGTACAAATATAATACAACACATTACACATTTACGTATATACACACGCATGAGTGCATGACACATGCATGTGTGAAAACGAACATAATTGAGAGGCATATATTGGATTTGGGTTTTTGGGGGAAGAGGGAGACATTTCATCTTTATCTTTCGTCAAAGTGGTGACACGTGATGCTTTTCAGAATCCACCACTCCACGTGCCCATTTTATTGCACCCTTTAATCCACAATTATTGATTTTCAACTAGATATTAACTTTTTAGTTATGTGCCTTTTTGGTTCTCCCCTGTTTCTTTTTTCCAAATAAATCTCAGTTTTTAAATATTTTAGGCTGCCTGTGTAATTTCGTAGGGGAAAACTTGATATACATCAAAATTGGCCAAGAAGAATAAAATAAGCTGGAGTATTATTTTTTATCGTCATCAAAAGTTGTCAAATATACGTTTTTCTCCGTTTTTCTTAGCAGTTGGCACTAAACTCTGTGTCTACAGATATAATAATATAACTTTATTTCTTTCTTACAATGTTACAGTAATCATTTTGTCCTATGGTCCCGCCTCACGTGATTATTCCTCTTTACTCTTACCTCTCTCAATCTTAATTTATCTGATATATTTTTTTTCTTAACATTAAATTATCTTATATGTATTCATTTATTTGAAATTTACATAGTTACTAGTATTATTTGAGTACTATAGTTCTCCTTTTGTTAAACTTCATAGTGTGACATAAACCAACGGATGATTGTAAATCTAAAAACATTAGTAGTACCATGTAACAATTATTTTTACTTAAATTATTTTTGTATTGGTAAATGAATATATTTCATGTAACCGCAAAAAAAACCGTATAATTAATTATTTTTTACACTTTTATCCTATTAAAAACGCGAGAGATAATACCTTATAGGATAGTGTAAATGTTTTTTTGACATTATAGAATTATAGTATCGCAATTACTACCATTCAAAATTTGTGTCTTATATTCGTCACACCTACTTTTTGTGCGACCATCACTCAAACAGTAAGCTTAATTATTTTACATTTAAATATAAAGTCGTCAAAAAAATTTTGGCGACTCTTGTGCACTTGTTAGTCGTCACGTATTTTATATACCAGAACATGAATTGTTATTTTTAACTTCTTTATCACACTACTGTAACACGGAAACAGGTGTGTTATACTATTATATGAACAAAATTAATACTGTGCAAAATGATATGATATATGCAAAATTTAATACAGGTGTGTTATACTTCAAAATTATTTGATGTTTAAGGTTTTTGCACACAGTTTAAGGATTCATTTAATTTTTATTTTCCATATATTAAAAATATTATTTAAAATCTATTTAAATATCATTCAGCCAATAAGAAGACAATCTGCAAAATATAAAAGGTCAAAAACTATAAAAAATCATTAAATTTTACATTGAAAAATGAGAACATCAAATAATTCTGAACAAAAAAACCTTCTAAAACATCAAATAATTCTGAACAGAGGAAGTATTATTACATGAACAAAATTCTCATTAACCATCGCCAGCTTCCTCTTTGACTTCTGCATTTATGTATATCTATAAAAAAAAATCGATTTAGCACAGAATAACAAAAAGTTTAGTTTGAATGATTTCATTTTGTTCTATTTTCGTTTTGGTAAGATGAAGATTGAACGACACCCTTTCCATACTTTTTGTTGTCACCAAGAGTCTTTATTATTCGATACTATTAAAAGTTAGGAAATGTAGGAACTAAAAAGTATCGATAGCTTAACATACAGTCAAGAAAATCAAGTGTTATATAGTTTATACTCTTTGTTTCAATAAGAATGTTGTTTTAGAATTCCAATGTAATTTTTAACATAAAATATTATTTTTAACCTCAATAAATTCAGAAAATTAATTATAAATATAATTCCAAAAATCATTTTCTGCAAATTAACCTTTTATCTTATTTCTTAATTTGTGTGAAGAATGTAACATTTTTTGTAAAATGGAGGGAGTACTTTTATAGTAGTTTTGTAGCTAAAAACAAACTTTACCTAAAAAATTTGTAATTCTAACAATTTCTGTTTTCCAAAAAAATATAAAATCTTATCCTATAATTTAAGTCGAAAGATTTGTTTAGGTTTCCTCGTTATTACTTATTGCTTTTTTCCTGGTCAACAGTTTCCTCGTTATCACTAAAACGCAGAGATACTAATCGGGACCAAACTCACTTGTAACTAATAGACACTGGTACAAAAAAAAGTTATCAATTTATCATCAAATTCCTGATTTCTTTTAATATGTGTGATCAAACTTCACATTTTGGAAATGAAGATAGCATTAAACAGAATACCAGCTATAAATAGCATCTATTTTTTACCTAATTATAATTGGTAACGTAAAATCACCTGTTTTTATCACACAACCAATGCTGTTTTAACTCCCAAGCAAATGTTAGATTAACAAAAGGAAAATAAGTAAAAAGAACCAAAACCAAAAAAAAAAAAAACAAAAAGGAGAGAGATTAATAATTCCACAATCCTTCAACCACTTTTTTAACCAGCCCCTCCTCTCTCTCTCTCTCTCTCTCTCTCCCCCAAAACTCCATTTCTCTGCAAATCCAATCCCTCACAAACCCTAAATTATCCCCCCAAATTTCAACTTCTCCGCCGTTCTACACCGTAAATGTGGCGGCCGTGGCGCAAATCGTCGGTTAAAATTCACGACACCTACTCTCCCACCGCCTCCTTCTCCTTCAAAGACATCCACCACCTCTGCACCACCGACGATTCATCATCTCCCTTCCCTTCTTCTCCTTCCCCTTCTCCTAAAAACGTATCCAGAGTCTTCCACCGAGTCTGCGCCGCCAATCTAATCTTCCGATCCTGGCCAACTCGTCCGTCAAATCAGCTCCTCCGCGCAGACTCCGAGCCCGCCAATCCAAAATCAGATTCGCGACAACAATCAAAGCCCGAACCAGATGTACGGATTTCTCTCCCCGGCGCAGAGACCAGCATCGTCGTCTACTTCACCAGCCTCCGCGTCGTCCGTCCCACGTTCGAAGACTGCCGAGCTGTCACGACGATCCTCCGTAGCTTCCCCGTGCGAATCGACGAACGAGATCTCTCGATGGACGCGTCGTTCGCTTCCGAGCTGCAGCGGATCTTCCAGGACCAGAGCCAGACGAAGACGCCGAAGCTGCCGCGCGTATTTATCGGCGGCCGGTACGTCGGAGGAGCGGAGGAGGTTAAGCAGCTTCACGAGATCGGAGAGCTGAAGGTGCTCGTGAAGGAGTTGCCGAGGATTGAACGAGGCGTGTGTGAGATTTGCGGCGGTCACAGGTTCGTACCGTGCGACGTGTGTCACGGTAGCCATAAGGTGTACACGGAGAAGCTAGGTTTCAGAACTTGCTCTGCCTGCAACGAGAATGGTATCGTCAGGTGTTCGTCTTGTTCATTTCCGCATCTCTCGCCTAATTCCTAGATTTTCTTTTTTTTTTTTGATTTTTTGTTATAATTAATTCTACACGAAAAAATCGAATAATTAATATTTTGTTTTTTTATTCTAATTCAGAAGTTTCCAATCTGTAAAATTCGAAATGGAAAGAGGTAGCTTCAGCTTGTTTTGGATATAATTAGATTCGTCGAAATAATCATGAGATCAGTGTGTGATGTGAACGTGATTAGCAGCTAACATTTGTTTTTTTTTAATTATGTTATTTGCTGTCAAAGAGCAAGCCAAAGTGTTATTTTTTCTAATTTTTAAACTATAGATCTAAATGCGGTATGGATGAAGGAAAAAATTCTCTAAGTGGTTGATGAATAAGAGATGGATGGGTGAATTGTTATTTTAGCACGATGCTAACTGCAAAAAATAGCATAAGGAAAACAAACTGTGCAAATATAGCAAAGATAAATAATACATTTCTGGCTTAAGAAAGAAAATACAGTTATGTGCATACTTATTCGGTGTCACTTTTCAAATAATGACATTATCATTTCGCTAATTAAAATAGCGGTTTATAAATGAGCGATTGATTGTCTATGTAACATGCAAAATAGTACTATTGGTTATTTTTTTTAAAAAAAGGTGTGGTTCAATCATATAACACAATCGTCCATGATGTGGTATGTGTCTATTGTCTAACAAACATCTTCATAGTGTTGATAACATCTTTATAGAAAAGACGAAATCATGAGTTCTGAATTCATAATGTGGTGACTAGTGAATTAGCTATCAATCGGATGTCAGAAGGAAGCAACGTTAGGTTCGGTAAAGTGCATTTGGTATGGGCTAACTCCTCTCTTTGGTCCATTTGCAACTCACTTGTAGACATGTCCGATCTCTTCATATGGGCCGACGATATCCGTATATATACATTATCCAAGACTTGGAACTAATAAATTAACAGACATTAATATGTGCTTTTGTAGTAGTTTAGGAAACTAATGAATATTTAACGTTATTTTCAAGTTATTACACACATGTTAATTGTTATATATTTTTCCAAGAAATATTCAGTAAAATTGTATCGTACTAAAATTAAAAGGTATTTTATAATACCTCGTTTGTCAATTAATAATTTATAGAGATTGTGTCTGTGTAGTGTGTACAGCTACTCGAAGACTGATGGTATAGTGCAGCTTCTGACCCTTTTACCACCAAGCCAATCATGTAGCCGTGTATAGTATTTGTAAACATTTCAATATGTACCCCCAAACAATATATTATAATAATAATAAAACAATGTATTTATAGAAAGAAAAGAACAATGTATTCCCTATTAAAGAAGAGAGGATAATTATCCTCATCAAATATCACCGCCATTGACCGATTTACCATGTCGGTAACTTCTCTTATTATATTCATAATGTTTGCTATAAATATGTTGTTACCTCCCCTTATAAACTAGAAGTTACACGAGTGAATAAACTCTCCTTCCTTCTCTCCCTTACATCTCTTTTCTTCTCTCTCAAACAAAATAATATAATATAATATAATATATATACATACGCATATATATTTATATGAAAAATATATATCCTCACTTATATCATATATAATACATAAAACGTTATCAGCACGAGCCGTTTTTATACCGTTCCTATACCAAAAAGGTGAGGTTTAATTTATGTTCAATCCGTCTACTTTTATGTTTATATTCTATGGTCGGGATGATAGGCGCTGCCTTCTCCGAACCGATCGTTATGGAGGCTATGCCTTTACGATCATGATCATATGGTAGACTATGTCTCCTCAGATCAAATATATGGTTGGTTTATGATCATATGGTAGTTGACTCCTCAGATCATTACCTCCATATAATAAATGCCCAGAAGACATTTAAGAAAAGTTCCTAAAGAACTAAGAATAACATACTATATGTCCAGAAGACATATGAAAAAGAATAGTTCCAGAAGAACTATATAAAAAATATATATCCAGAAGATATATAAAAGCGTTCCTGAAGAACTGCATAATTAATTTCGTCCAGAAGACGAATATTTATTTTAATTATTGTTCTTTAAATTCTGTTAATTACTATTATTTAATTTCTGTTTATTATTACTTTAAATTCAGTATTTTAAATTCAGTTTTTATTACGTTTATGAATTCTAAAATTTTATCATGTTTTATTAAAATCAGAATTTTTGAAACTGAATTATGACCAAATTTATAAATTGTTGTATTGATAACAGTTATCATGTCGAATTTGACAAAACTCGAGATTACTGCCCTTGATATTTCTGGAAGAAATTATATGAGATGGGCAGTAGCTGCAAGGATGCATTTAAAAGGAAATGAGCTCCTTGATACCATCGATAAAACAAAAACAGTTCCTGAAGAGAAAAAGGCGAAAGCCATGATCTTTTTATTCCACCATATCCATAATGGTTTAAAAGATGAATATATCACGAAAGAAGATCCTGCAGATCTTTGGCAATCACTCCAAGATAGGTTCGATCACCAGAAATATGTGATCTTACCAAAGGCTAGACATGAGTGGTTGAACCTCTGGTTCCAGGACTATAAGAGCGTTAGTGAGTATAACTCCGCTCTATTTGGAATCACTTCCAGGATAATGTTGTGTGGAGAAAATATAAGTGATCATGATATGATTGAGAAAACTCTCTCAACATTTCATCCTGGAAACGTAGTCCTGCAGCAACAATACCGGGCAAACGGATACAAGAAGTATTCGGAGTTAATGCAAGTTCTCTTGGTGGCAGAACAAAATAATGAACTCGTGATTTTAAACCATCAATCTCGTCCAACTGGATCAGCTTCATTCCCAGAGGTGAATGTTGCATCGTCAAGCCATGAAAATTGGCAAAGTGGACGTGGACGCGGTCGCGAAAATGATCGTGGTCGTGGACGAGGTTTTGGACGTGGTCGAGGTCATGGACGAGGAAAAAGATTCTGTCCTGCTAATTTAAACGATGAAAGAAATAACAAAAAGTTCAAAGGTAATGAAGTTGGTCGCAAGCAACATGAGAATGCTTGCTACAGATGCGGCATGAAAGGACATTGGGTCCGTACCTGTCGTACGCCAAGACATTTAGCCGATCTGTACCAAGAATCGCAAAAGGCGAAAGGAAAAGAAAGTGAAACCAACTTCATCCATGGTGAATCCAGTTTTTCGTTTGATGGTATAAACGATGATACAAATCTCGATATATCTGATTTCATCGTTGATCCCGAAGATATCAACGAAAAACAAAACGAGTAAAATCTTCTCGAAGAAGAAGATGTGACATGATGTATACATAGTGTGAAAAATAAAAATGTAAAATATAATGTTTAAAAATGTATCTTTTGTTGTAAAAAGGTTTTTATTATAATATAAACTCTTTTGTTTTGCTATATTAATTTATCTTTTATGAATATCTTGAATTCAGAAAATGTCAAAGATTAAGATCGAGGATGGAGATATATGTCTGGCAGACAGTGCGACAACGCACACAATATTAAAAGATAAAAAGTATTTCTCCTCTCTAAATATGAAAGATTCCGCTGGAAGCGTGAATACAATATCTGGTAATGCAAAAATTATTATGGGCTCTGGAAGAGTCAGTTTTTCAATGCCAAGGGGAACAAAGTTTGAAATAAATGATGCGTTATATTCCCCTGGATCTTACAGAAATTTGTTAAGTTTCAAAGATATCCGCAGAAATGGATATCACATAGAAACTATGAATAAGAACGGCATTGAATATCTTTGCATTACTTCAGTTATTTCGGAGAGAAAAGTTGTACTGGAAATATTACCAGCATTATCCTCCGGAATATATTCCACAAAGATAAATATGACTGAATTATATGTTACTGTAAACCCGAAGTTTACAAGTACATTTAAAATCTGGCATGAACGATTAGGGCATCCTGGTTCAGTCATGATGCGGAGAATTGTGGAAAATTCTAATGGCCATCCGTTGAAAAACCAGAAGATTTTTCAATCGAGAGAATTTATATGTAATGCTTGTTCTCAAGGAAAACTAATAACTCGGCCATCACCAGCTAAAATCGGGAATGAATCTCTAGTATTCCTAGAGAGAATACATAGTGATATATGTGGGCCTATTCACCCACAATGCGGGCCATTTCGATATTTTATGGTATTAATTGACGCATCCAGTAGATGGTCACATGTGTGTTTATTGACAACACGTAATACGGCTTTCGCAAGATTCATTGCCCAGATAATCAGGTTGAGAGCACAGTTCCCTGATTATATGATAAAGAAAGTAAGACTTGATAACGCTGGTGAATTCACTTCCCAAGCTTTTAATGATTATTGTATGTCATTGGGAATTGATGTTGAACATCCTGTTGCACATGTTCACACACAAAACGGCATGGCTGAGTCATTGATTAAACGGTTACAACTCATTGCTACACCGTTAATATTGAGAACAAAGCTCCCAATTTCAGTATGGGGTCATGCTATCTTGCATGCAGCGGCATTGCTTCAGATAAGACCGAGTTCATATAATAAATATTCCCCAATACAATTAGCATCTGGCCAGGAGTCAAATGTATCCCACCTGCGTGTGTTCGGGTGTGCGGTTTATGTTCCGATAGCCCCGCCACAAAGATTAAAAATGGGGCCGCAAAGAAGATTGGGAATATATATCGGTTATACGTCACCGAGTATAATTAGGTATCTTGAACCGCAAACTGGTGATATGTTTACGGCACGTTTTGCCGATTGCCATTTTAATGAAGATGAATTTCCAGCGTTAGGGAGAGGAATTAAAGAAGTTCCAAAAGATGTTACATGGTGCACACCATCTTTGTTGCACCTTGATCCCCCTACGAAACAACGTGAATTCGAAGTTCAGAAAATTGTTCATTTACAAAATATGGCAAATGAAATACCAGATGCGTTCACAGATACGAAAAGAGTGACAAAGTCATATATATCCGCGGCAAATGTTCCATCGAGAATTAATGTTCCGGAAGAACAAAATGATGAAAAAAATAGAGAATGAACCCAAAGTTCAGTTAAAGAGGGGGAGGCCGATTGGCTCAAAGGATAAAAATCCCCGAAAGAAAAAGAAATTGGGAAAACAAAATGAAAATAGTCCAGAAGAACCACATACAGAGAAAGGTCTTGAAGACGAAAATGACGAAGAAAATCATGAGATTTCCATCAATTATGCCCAAGATGGGATATTATGGGCTAGAAATGAAATAGAAGATAATAATGGAATATTTTCATTCTCTGTATGCAAAGAAATTGAATATGAAATTGATGATCCAGATCCAAGGTCCATATTAGAATGCCAGAAAAGATCTGATTGGGAGAAATGGAAAATGGCCATAGAAACTGAATTGATCTCCCTTAATAAAAGGAAAGTTTTTGGACCGATTGTTACAACACCTAAAGATGTACAGCCGGTTGGGTACAAATGGGTTTTTGTGAGAAAAAGAAATGAGAAAAATGAGGTGACAAGATATAAAGCCCGACTTGTCGCCCAAGGATTTTCTCAAAGACCAGGAATTGATTATGAAGAAACTTATTCTCTGGTTATGGATGCAATTACATTCAGATTCTTAATGAGTCTTGCGGCATCCAAAAATCTTGAAATGTATCTTATGGATGTTGTGACAGCATATTTATATGGATCACTTGATAATGATATCTATATGAAAATCCCTGAAGGATTGAAAATTCCTGAAGCATTAAGTTCCAAATCGAAAGAAATATGTTCAGTCAAGTTACAGCGATCACTTTACGGATTAAAACAATCCGGACGCATGTGGTATAATCGCTTAAGCGAATATTTACTAAAGAAAGGGTATGTGAATAATGCAATCTGCCCTTGCGTCTTTATTAAGAAATCTTCGTCAGGATTCGTGATCATTGCTGTTTATGTGGATGACCTGAACATTATTGGAACTCAAAAAGAGATTGATAATGCAAAAACTCATACGAAAGAAGAGTTCGAAATGAAAGATCTCGGAAAGACAAAGTTTTGTCTTGGATTACAAATAGAGCATTTCCGAGATGGAGTATTCATACATCAATCAAATTATACTAAAAGGATATTAAAACGCTTTTGTATGTATAAAGCGACTCCTTTGAGTACTCCAATGGTTAATCGATCTCTCGATACGGAAAAAGATCCGTTTCGACCTTGTGAAGATAACGAAGAAATATTAGGTCCTGAAGTACCTTATATGAGCGTTATTGGTGGACTTATGTATCTTGCAAATTGTACCCGACCGGATATAGCATTTGCTACAAATTTACTGGCAAGATATAGTTCGTCTCCTACGCGCAGACATTGGAATGGAATAAAACATATATTCCGTTATCTTCAAGGAACAATTGACTTGGGATTGTTTTACCCTAGAAACTCCAAACTTGGTTTAGTCGGTTTTGCAGATGCAGGTTATTTATCAGATCCTCATAAAGCTAGATCGCAAACTGGATATGTTTTTACGTTTGGAGGAACTGCAATCTCTTGGCGTTCTCAAAAGCAGACATTAGTCGCCACTTCTTCAAATTATGCAGAAACTATTGCGCTTCATGAAGCATGTAGAGAATGTGTATGGCTCAGATCTATGACTCATCATATACAAGAAGCAAGTGGAATAGCCATTAACAAAGAACCGATAAGATTGTTCGAAGATAATGCTGCATGTGTTGCTCAACTAAAAGAAGGCTATATCAAGAGTGATAGAACGAAACATATTCCTCCAAGATTTTTCTCTTATACTCAAGAGCTCGAGAAGAATCAAGAAGTCGATATCCAGTATGTTCGTTCATGTGAAAATGCGGCGGACCTCTTTACAAAGGCGCTTCCTACTACAGTATTCAGAAAGCATATTCAAAGTATCGGAATGCGTCATTTGCGGGATTTATGAAAAGAACGTTATATCCATCATTCCAGGGGGAGATTACGTTACTGTACTCTTTTTTCCTTGTCATGGTTTTTATCCCATTAGGTTTTTCCATAATAAAGTTTTTAACGAGGCAGTACGTAATACATTAAAGATGATGGATAATTAAGGGGGAGTGTTAAAGAAGAGAGGATAATTATCCTCATCAAATATCACCGCCATTGACCGACTTACCATGTCGGTAACTTCTCTTATTATATTCATAATGTTTGCTATAAATATGTTGTTACCTCTCCTTGTAAACTAGAAGTTACACGAGTGAATAAACTCTCCTTCCTTCTTTCCCTTACATCTCTTTTCTTCTCTCTCAAACAAAATAATATAATATAATATAATATATATACATACACATATATATATATATGAAAAATATATATCCTCACTTATATCATATATAATACATAAAATTCCCTTATTATTTAACAAAACAAACAAACAAAGAACGTATTTATTGACGGGCAATGATTAAAAAAACCAAAATATTTAGTTGATTTATGTTTTTGTTTTGTAAGATAAAAATAATATGTCTATCTGTTGCTTTTTTAATATAAGTAAAGAGTTTTTGAAAATTACATATATGTATACTAAAGGATTATTCTGCGCTTTGCGAAAATGTTTACATAGAAGAATAAATAATATTAAGGTTTTTCAGTACTCAAATTGGTAATAAAATAAACTTGGAATTGCTTCTCTTTTTCTTAAACAAAAATCTTAAGAAAGTAAGGCAATTTGGTCGTGGGTTTATATCATAATAAGAAAATTAAGAAAAAAAGTTGAAAAAGTAGCAACCGTTGATTAGTCTACGTTGTCGTGAAAGACGACTTCAATCTTCAACTGCTCCTCCAACATTCTCTTCCTTCTACCTTCTTTCAGGAAAAAGCAACAGAAACGAAGAAATCATTCTCCTATGAGTTCCGATGGACGGTGGAGATTCAATCTCCGAACAGCATTCACAATCGTTTTCCTCACTTTTCTTCCTCTAAAACTCAACACCCAAGGTACTTTCTTCCATCCTCATCTCTCTTTCTCTCTATACATTCTTTGGCGTGTGTCTTTTTGATTATGAAAATTCATTTCCTGAAGAGATTGCAGAAGTCTTTGATTCTTCTCAAGATCACTTCTTGATCCAATCCGAAGCTTATGTGAACCATCGCAGCCTGGTCGAGACACCTCTTCCAGGGAAAGATCCTGCTTTGAGTGCCTTCCCGCCATCTCCTGATCAACCGACAACTTTCAGAAAACCATCTTCACCACCAGAAACTCAAACACCACCAGGAGGAGATGGAATCCCGAGTCCTCCTCCTAGTAGTGTTGTGCCAACACAAATACCCCTATTCCTGCCTTCGCCTCAGCCTCAGCCTCCACCTCTACCTCAGCCTCAGCATCAGCCTCAGTCTCCTCCTCCAGGAACTAAAAAGAAATCTCTCAATCCTTATATGATCGTAGGCATAGTCGTTGGCGTATTCACACTCTCGGTGGCATTAATCATCTTCTTTCTTGTCCTCAGCCGAAATATTCCAATCAAGCCTTGGACCAGCAGTGGCCAGCTTCAAGATGCTCTTATCACAGGCAAACACTCTCCTCAGTCTTCACACTCTCTCCTTCTTCTCTCTTCATAACTTAAACTCTCTCTTACTCTTATAGTTTTGCATTGAAGCAGATGTTCCGAGGCTGCAGCTATCAGAGCTACAAGCAGCCTGTGAAGATTTCAGTAACATCATTGGCTCTGTCTCAGACGGCACTATATATAAAGGCACTTTGTCCACTGGTGCTGAAGTCGCCGTTCTGTCTGTCGCGGCTAGTTCTCGCGCTGACTGGTCTACCGCCATGGAAAAACAGTTCCTAGAAAAGGTATCGGAACCTCGTTTGCGCTTGTTGAACAGAGAACAGAGATTGGCGTTGCCATTGAAGAATATTTCTGCTCTGTTTCTGCAGGTTCATAACTTCTCAAAAGTGGATCACAAGAACTTTTTGCAGGTGATTGGGTATTGCCATGAAGACGAGCCCTTCAACCGAATGCTTGTTTTCGAATACGCTCCCAATGGATCCCTCTCCGACCATCTGCACTGTGAGGACTCCACCCCCCGCAAGAAATCCTTCTAACATAACTCAATCCAATCTTTTAACTGTTGACCTAATCTTTCATGACAGCTCAACACGCAGAGCACTTGGACTGGCCTACCAGACTCAGAATCGCCATGGGAATAGCCTACTGTCTAGAGCACATGCACAATCTCAACCCACCCATCTTGCACACCAATTTGGACTCCACTTCTGTCTACTTGGCTGAAGACAATGCTGCCAAAGTCTCTGACTTTTCTGTCCTCAACTGCATCTCTCCCTCTAAGGAATGCTCCTCAAGCAAGAACCTTTTAGAAAACTCACTGCTTAATTCCCAGACCAACGTCTTAAACTTTGGCGCTCTTGTGTTCGAAATCATCAGTCGGAAGTTGCCTGACCCGGATTTTTTGTTACTCGAATCCAAGCCCGAAAGAGATCTTGTGGACCCAACTCTGAAAACGTTTCAGGAGGATGTGGTTGAGAGATTGTTGGAGGTGGTTAGGCAGTGTATGAATCCATATTCAGCTCAACGGCCAACAATGAGAGAGGTTGTGGTGAAGTTGAGAGAGATCACCGGAATAACAGCCGACGCAGCAATGCCGAGGCCATCTCCACAGTGGTGGACGGAGCTGGAGATCATAACCACAGAAGGAACCTAAAGAGAAAGGAGCCGTAATTTAGGTGTCCCCTGTAGATACAAATAACACTGAAGTGATGATCACCTTTTTCTTCCTCTGCATTAAAAGACTATATACTGTATATATACGAACAAATGGATTTGCATAGAAACTATTGGTAAGATTAATAATGGCAGTTTCTTTACAGCATTGATGTATAAAAGAAGTAAATAAAAGGTATAAATATCCAAATGAAATGTACAAAGGGGAAAACATGGTTGATACCTTAGAACTAATCTAAGCCAATAATGGTGTTGTCAATAGAAGACGCTTGATCCTTGGATCTGCTGTAGAGATTAAGCGTCTCGGTGTGGTTAGGGTCCAAACAGAGAGCAGCTTCACAGTCTTGAGCGGCCAATGATAGCTTTCCCGTGGCCTCGTGAAATGCTGCTCTGAGATGCAGCGTTTGGAGTTCCGGTCTGAAAGCTATAGCCTTTGACAGCTCTTCCACTGCTTCTGTCTCTCTCTGATCATCCATCAGCACTGCCACACAGACAATCGCTTCTTTAACTACTAGAATTGACAAGAAGTTAATAGGGAGCTAGAGGAGATAGTTACCGGCAGCTCGGTATCTGTAGGGATAGGTTCGCAGAGGGTCAAGTTTTGAGGACATGTCAAGATCCTCTTTAGCTTTTTCACGTTCACAGTACTCAGACCGTTTCTCGTAGGCTGCTGCTTTGCTAAACGCCTTCTCAATCAGCTTTGTCATCTCCTCACATGCTTCTTTACGTTGATTCTTCAGGAAATAAACTCGGGCAAGCCCTTGATGGGCACGAGTGTGTTTGATCTCTAGAGCGCTCTTATATGCAGTTTCAGCTTTATCTAGCTTACCACAATCGATGTAGATGCTGCCAAGATTGTTCAGAGCCTGCAGAGATATAGCAAAAAATATTAATGAGAAACAATGCGATTAAGAGAAATTAAAATGAGAAATATCGAAAGGTCAACCTGTCCTTTGCGTAGCCCATCTGAAGGACACTTGAGGGCTTCCTCTAGAACCTGAACAACACAAGACGTCTCATCCGGATCGAGATTCTTATCAGCTAGAACATATGCTTTGAGGAAAAATGCTTCAAAGGAGCGCTGAATGGAGATTGCTTTCTCAGCTTTAGTAAGAGCTTCGTCCACATAGCCCATGTCGTATAAAAGCCACCCTTGGTAAACCAACCTCTCTGTCTCAGATGCAGCCAAGTTCCATGCCATTCGCAAACACCTCATTGCAGCTCCTTGACAATTTAATCTGTCAAATATCACAACACAGTCTAGCTTTTGTCAATTCCTGAAAAAATCATCAATCACAGTTTTGCCTGAGAAACTGAAAAGAATTTCTTACCTTAAGAGAAGAAGAGATTGTCTAAACCTCAAAAAGTTTTTGCTGGGATCATTCTGAAGCATCTGATGAACAACACCCAACGATCCAACATCATCCACGGCTGACCATCTCTCGTAAAGCCTCACCCAACAATCCGCTTCGCTCTCTACTTCAGTACATTGCCTGGTCAGAGCCTCCACCAAATCATCTCTCATTCTCCCACCAAACACAACATAATTTGGCTCTAAACACAGCACTGCTCTGACATCTCTCAAACAACTCTCACGGTCACCAATGGCTAAAAACAGCCAAGCCCTCAGTTCGAGACATGCTGGAGTAAGCTTAAATTGAATTAATCTATCAACCTCTTCGAAAGCTTCTTTGATCTGCTTCTGTTCGAATTTCATCACGGCTCTGTACTTGTACGGAAAAGTTAGTGTCGGGTCAAGTTCAGTGGCAGTTGCTAGATCTTTGAGTTTCTCAACCCCGATATTGTACAGAGACCTCTCCTGGTACATCCATCCATGTGGCTTGTGGTTAGAGATGAGATAGGTCATGAGCTTGTACGCCGAGTACCTCTGCCCTTGTTTATATTCAGTTCTTGATACCCCAGCCAATGAGTAGACATGCCCTAAGCTTGAAGCTAATCTGAAATGAAACTGAGCTACCTTGTAATCCTTTCTCTCAAACAGAACACATCCCATTTGATGCAAAGACACAGCCTTTTGCCAGTTTGTGCGAGCAAACTCTCGAGTTCTCTCTAGCAAAATCAGCATAGGCTCTGTGGTGAGTTTCTCTTCCATCCCTACTTGGCTGAGGAAGTAGTACAAGAGGAACAAACACTCGGAACCCAGAAAAGCTAATTGTGCTTTTGCTTCAGAACTGCAGAAGAATCTCATCACTTTGGAATTGTGGAGAGACTGGGGAAGCTCTCTCAGAAACACCTGCAAGCAAGCAGATAAGATAAGCTTCGTCCGTTCCTCCAACGCGTACTCTACAAAGGTTAGAGCTTTATCGATGTCAGTGATAGATGAAGCCAAGCGAGACTCACACGCAGACTTCAGATCGTCACAACAGAACTTGCTAGCTAATCTAAGTAGCTCAAAGACGGTTTCAATACGAAACAAATCAACTCTTTTGATCCTGCTGTATATGTTTAACGCCAACATTGCCTCGATTGAGATGCCATTCTCCGTGAAATCTATCTCGGAAGTTCTTGATTCCAGAAAAGAACCATATAACATCGCCTCAAAAGGCCGTGAAAGCGCTGCGATTTGGGACCTGACACACTTAGCCTTCTCAGAACCAACGCAGAAGGAAAAATCGCTAACCTCGTCTAGACCCGAAAACTCATCAGCCCTAGAGATTTTAGTGTCATCACCACCAAACTCTTCCTCACATAGCGTAGAGCATTTACAGTGTTCGTTGACTAGATTCAAATCATAACCATGACTCAAACAAGTCTTTGGACATTCAATAGCAAACCCATTACAATCCATGGAATCAACACCTACGAGTTCGTGCTCTCTCCTCTCGAATCTCAACCAAGCAGACAAAACAACCTTACACGGGACATCAATGGCGTGCCTCCTGGCGTTGAGCAGGCACCTGCGCAAGAGCTTGCCGTCGCCGAGGCTGCGGAGGACAGTGTACTGCTCAAGGTAGAGCATAGACGTCTCTGACTCCGAACTTGACTCGATTCTCCGGTATAGATTGGATAGTGACTCAACCAAGTCGATGGGTTTGAGGTAAGAGTCCAAGGGGGGCTCCAGGAGCTCCGTCGTGGGAAACCCATGAGGGAGAAGCGAACGAGAGATCGATTTGGAACAGGATTTGGGATTCCCTAAGAACTTCATTCGAGGGCTACCATTGTTGCTTGTAGAGGGAGAGTCTTGTGAGTTAAAGGCGTGGATTTGGGTGCTCTTAAATCTCTCAAATAGTTTTAGATTGCGCATTCTGTAATCACATAGGAATTGGAGAAATGGGTTTGGAGAAGAAACAAATCGAGACGATAGGAATAAAGATCGAAATGGATTCAAAGAAGGAAATGAGAGAGTTGAATACACACGCTCTGTCTAGTGTCTACGGTGCCAACACAGTGCAGAGGCAAAAGGAGAGAGAACAAGAAGAAGACGATGAAGTGTGATTGTGAATAAAATTAATTTAAAAAAAGGTCAATAATTTGGGGGAGAAAAAAGGATGCTTCTTTTCAAGAAATGGCGTCGATTCTCAAAAAAGGCTGAGCATTTTCTCTCCCTCCATTCTACATAGCGAAGCCAAAAACCATTTATATGGTTTATATAGTAGTAATGAAAATGGTGGACTCATCTCATCTGTCTTTCTTTCTTTCTTCTTTTTGCGTTTTTTGGGGAACAGTTTGCGAACTTCACTGATTGATTAGTTGGTGGGTTCTAACCAGACCACTTTCGTTACCTTTTCATTGATTTTTCTTTGTTCAAATGTTTTTTTTTCCACAAATTTGAAGATACAGTAACAATAATAATATTCGAATGCTGGAAGCATTTTTTTGCGCAACTTTAGTAAATATAGCTACGACTGTTAATTTTGTGAATATTCGGTTTATTGAAATATGTCATACATATGTAACACATTCTACAACCAGTCAACCACCAATAATACCAAATATATTAAGCAACTCGAGTATCAAAGGATCAATGCATAGTAATCATCGTTGTTCTATATTCTCATGATCAGTGTACATCTAAGTATTTAATAGAATGATTTGATTCCGATCCATTTTTTTGTGAACCACAGATGTCAAATCATCATCATTCTATAATTGACGTAAATATGTTAGAAATGAATCAAATACAAAACAATACTAATAATTAAAGAAAAATAGTTTAAAAATATGGTTGGTTCGTTTAGATGAGATTAAAATAAGGCTATCTGAATATCCAACGCCATGGTTCATGTGATGCCAAAATTGGTTGGTTAACTAGTTATGTGGTCCTTATCGGTTATCTCCTATATTCATTTATCATCAATTCAAAGTAAATTTAATTAGTGTTAACTATATTTAATTAATCAATGGGATAACTCGGTTTTATTGGTAGATTAGTTGTGAATGAAATGTCAAGCAAAGAAGTGGTTCTTTGTCTCTTGAATTGTGTACTTAAATCATTACTACATAACACGATTTACAAAGTAATATAAACTCGTGCAATATCTTTTTTTTTAACTGATGAGTACTCATTTGTTAATATGGATTTCCTCAGTAACGTGTGCGTGTTTGTTTGTATTTACAAAAGAAAACTCGGATATAATTATAAATACTTTTAACTTATTGATACTCTCTCGATATGGATTTGGACCAACAAATCTCATCAAACGATTAAAAACAATAAAACCAAAAAAAAAAAAGTTGAAAGAGGTACAGATGCAGTTCTGATGTTATTCGCCCGCACACCTGGAAAACACATGCCAGTGTACTTTCAAAATATGTATATGAATAGGAAAATAATTGAGGATTGTTTTTTCTTTTGTCAACAGAGAAATAATTGAGGATTAGGTTGGCATTATTTGATACCAAAAAAACTAAAAAAAAAAAAGAAAAACTCAAACATTGAAAGCAATTAAACTAAAACTGGTTGATGCCAACAAATATTGAATTAATAAATCTCAAACATTGAAATCAATTTAAATTAAAATTGGTATGAGCCACATATTACTACTCTATATTTTTAGAATAGTTGTAAAATAGAAATATAACAATTAAACAAGACAAGAAGAGACGTGTGGTCATGTGTCTCGGCAACCCATGTGAGGGGAATCTGAATCACTTTTATATGCTTTTTAAAGCTGCGTATTTTCAGAATAACGTATTGTGTTTTCATAGTTTAAATATTTGTTCCTGGAAAATGATTTGATAGAAAACTATAATAATGAAAGTTTGACTTTCTGACTCTAAAAGTCTTTACTAACCAGCCCGACTTATTTAGCAAACATAAGCCCAAAATGGACCCGTCATTGTGATATCTGCTTTTTTCAACAACAAAAAAACGAAATATTTATCACATAATTTGGGTAGGAGAAGGGTTTATAACGCTGTGGGAGAAGGAAGGTCAAAAATCAAAACCTAAGAAAATTTATATGACTTTGATCAATTGAGTAAATTGTGGATTGTGAATTATTTTGAATTACTCACGACGAATTCCATGTCCAATAAAAATGGATTAAATTAAATACTCCAGATTAAATGTTTTTTCAAATCCATGATCCAAGAACAAAATAAAACTGATTAGGAAAAAAATATCCAGATTTCATCCTTTGAGTTTGAGGAAGAAAATATAAGCAAACCAAACTTTTTGTGCTTTAGCAACCAACAACTAACTAGTACCATTCAGTTCTGGACAGTAAGTAACAAAATGGTGTCAAAAATTTAATACGAATTAAATTATTTGATGAAAGGTTATTCGTTGGGTTGCAGAAAATGGCTACTAGTAAGCTCTCTTCCTTCATTTCATATCCTCTTGTTGACTCTTCTTCGTCTCTCGTCGTGCCTTGCTTCTTCTCTCCGATTCCACGACTCCTGCCTCTTCGAATCGCGACTAGCCTTAGATCAAGCTCCACGATCCCGGCGACTGATTTCCGCAGGTCTCCTCGGAGTCTAACGTCTTCACTCGCCGTGATGTTGCCGGGAAACTCGGTGCTCTCAGATCTCTGCGCGACTGGAATCAGCAGCGTCGTCGCGTTCTCGTGCCTCAGTTTCTGGGGAGAGATTGGCAAGCGCGGCATCTTCGACCAGGTCGAAAAATTCAATTCACATACGTACATTCATACGTAGAATACAGGCGTAGATTTCAGTGAATCTGTATAAACTTTTTTTTTTTATAATTTTGCTCAAATCTGCTATTCCTGGTAGAAGCAGATATAAACTCTGAGTAGTTGCCTTTTGTGCTTTATCGAGAATAATGCCATTAATGGCGTGAAGATTCTGATGTGAATGGATACACATTTGGGTAGAATACATTGATAAGCTTACAGTGAAGAAAAAGGGAAAGTAACACCAAATCTGGTAATTTAGAGGGGAAAAGGTTCTCTACTGCTCAGAAACCGAATTGGGGATGATATTTTTTGAAATCCGTGCGCATAATCACAATATCTTCGTAACTTGAAAATTCTTCCATATTACTGAAATACTATGAACTTCTATAGGTTTGAATTTTAAAATGTTGCACGATTTGTTCACTATACTTTAAAGGGATAATTGATAGGTATGATTATTCTTTACATATAGGACATGGCTTGATTGATTTTCTCTCTATTATGTATACAAATTCTCTTCAGTGACTTGTTAAGAGTAGAGGAAGAATAGTTAGCTTCTTTATTATGCTGGTGGACATTGGAGTGTGAATGTGAAGCAGGAATTGCTGGAATACGATTAGCATTTTTTGCCAGTGATTTGCAAATACTCTATAAAACATTTTTGGTGGGAGAAAAGTTCTATGCTTCGGCTATTGGATTGTGTTTCTCTGACCTTCATGCTATCTAGCAAGACACAAAATTTGTATTGTCTGATTCACGACTGACACCATTTTCATGGCTTTCTGAGTAAGGAATTGGTTTAGCATATGTGATGACTGACTGACTTAAAATCATTGGTGTCTTCTCTTGTTTTTCAGAAACTCATCCGGAAGCTCGTGCATATAAATATTGGGCTAGTTTTTATGCTTTGTTGGCCACTGTTCAGGTAATACCTATTAAAAGGATGGAACTTGACGGAGCAATTTTGTCTCTGCTGCTTCACCGGTTAACCCAAATCACAATTATGTCAGTTCTGGACTCCAAGGAGCGCTTTTCGCTTCTCTTGTACCTGGACTCAATATAATAAGGATGCTGCTCCTGGGGCTTGGAGTCTACAAAGACGAAGGAACGATCAAGTCAATGAGCAGACACGGAGATCGCAGGTAGCTGAACTGGACAAAATACCTGTCACATGCTTAGTATTTGACCTAAAGTTGATCACAATATTTATCCATCTCTTATTTATATTGGTTTCTACTATCAAGATATGGTTCCTCTCTGTAATACCGCTTTTTGTCACTTCACAAAATGTCTATAGTTGCTCTCTGCATCAGGGAGCTACTTAAGGGACCGCTTTATTATGCACTGTCAATCACATCGGCCTGTATCTTCTATTGGAAAACATCCCCAATCGCAATTGCAGTGATATGCAACCTCTGCGCAGGAGATGGTACGTACAGTTAGCTTTGGTTTGATACAATAATACTAGCAACTTTTGTATTGGCAATTTATATACTTTCATGTTTCCTCACATCATGGTAATAGGCATGGCTGACATAGTGGGGAGGCGGCTCGGAACAGAGAAGCTTCCTTACAACAGAAACAAATCAGTAGCTGGTAGCATTGGGATGGCAATCGCCGGGTTCTTAGCATCTGTTGGGTATATGTACTACTTTGCTTCATTTGGTTACATCGAGAATAGTGGGGGAGCTATGATTCTTCGCTTCTTCATCATCTCTATAGCATCGACTATTGTCGAATCACTCCCTATAAGCACCGACATTGACGACAATCTCACAATTTCCTTAACCTCTGCCTTGGTCGGTACTATACTCTTCTAAATAATAGCACCGACTCTCTTTGTCCTGTATCATCAAAATACAGAGTCGAGCTTGATTGCCTCTACGGAGTAAAACTACATTATTAGTTCTGAACTTCTACTTGTATATGTACTTGTTAGTGAAAAATGTCATATTGTTGTTGTTGTCGTTCCTGTCCAAGATATTTATTCTTCAACTGCAATTGCAGTTAGGTACAATGTTGTAATGTAGTGAGAGGTATGATTACCAAGTTACTAACAGACGCTTCTACAATTTGTACTAGAAACTCAATAAAATGCTAGTTAGTTTTGTTGTATGGGACTGTGGCTATTTCGAAATCGATGGTTTGCTTACAACAGGTGAGGGCTTGACTCTTCCGCTCGAGGGATCTTCTTCTGAGAGGTCGGAATGGTGAGTGTAACGGCGTTTCAGACAAGGAAGCAACACGAGGAACAAGAGGAAGACGGCGAAGCTAATCACGAGAACTACCATTAAAATCTCACCATGCATCGCGTAGTGTCTGTCTCTTGTGAAGGGAAGTTGCTCGCCGTCTTCAGGGCTCAAGGCGTCATCCGTCGAAGTTACCATTACAGGTTTATCTCCAATATTCTCAACTCTTTTCTGCTCCATTACAGATTCGTCATCTATCTATGAGTTTTTTTTTTTTTTTTTTTCTCTCTCTCTCTGAAAGATAATATAAATTCAACTTGGGAGGATATTTAATTTTAACGAAAAACTATGTCGCCAGAGAAGAAAAGAGAAGTTTTAAATCTATATCTTTGGAGATAATCTACTAGTTGGATTTTTGCATAAAGGTTGGTGTAGAAAGTGAGCGAGACTGCGACGTTCGTGATTGCGCTACGTATGGGCATGGGAATGATCTCAATGATATGTTAGACGCGACGTCGTTTTCGTCTTTTGAATAAAAATCCTTCTCGGGTGGCTCCCATCACTCTGCTCCGTGACTTTCCCGGAAATTTCCTTAAGAGAGACCCCGTGTTCTCACGTTCTTTGCTTCTTCTTCCACTCTTATCTCCAAATAAAAACAGAAATTATCTACTATGATATTCGGTCCATTTAAATTTAGTGTTTTTTCTCACGCAATCTCGAAGTAGAAAACGTTGTATACCTTTACTCAATCATCTCTTGATTGAATGATTCTGAAAGAGATATTCAGAAAAAATTATGCAGACTGTGTGGTGTGTGCCAAACCAAGTAGAACAAGTCGAGTGAGATTTGAATGGGCTCTGAGATGGGCTTTGTATGTATTTCCTAGCGACGTGGACTACAATTTTACAACCTTCACAATGAAACGAAAACCGTGACGTTTTGTCGTAAGAGAAGAAAGGCTTGCTATTCAACGGAATCAGCTGCCTCGGTGCCGTGGCAAGTCCTGATTGGTCGTTTCTCCGCCGTGTGTATAGCTTTACATATCCACTGAGGGAAAACAAAACTTTCTCTCCGTCCTCCGTTCACCGCCGCGACTCGGCTGTATATTGTAAGCTTTCTGATTCTACGGCGATTTCGTTTCTGTAAATTGATTTCGAACCTACAAAGCGACTCTACTGGATAGTGATCGCCTTTGTTGACCTCCTCTCGATTATCGGTTCGGATTTCTTCATCTCTGAGGAAACACGGTTTTCTAAGGCTCGTGATAGCGATGAAGTCTCTAATTGTAATCGTCATATTACGATCTGGTATTCATTTTCGTTTTGTTTTGGTTTTTCGCAGACATTTTGGGCATCTCATGTGTTTAGAGGACTCAATGTCTGGGGCAGAGGATGATAGATCTTCCCATGCTCAGGTATATTTCTTGATTCGGTCTCATCTCATAATGAATTCATCTGCTAGTGAGCACAGTTTCAACATTTGACATCGTTACAAAAATATGAATTGAAGTCCGTGGGTGACAATCTCACTCGGTATTTTGTTTGCGTTCTTACGTTGCTGTCTCATCTTTCATGGATCTTTGCTATGAGTTCCATTATACAGCGATTAGAAACTTTGATCGATTAGTAAGATCGGAGACCAGTAGCTTTTGATCAACTAGTCTCGGGTAGTGAAGAAGGTATACTAATGTTGTGAGCAGCATTTCTGTCAGAATCTTGATACCAATTTAAAAGATAAAGATAGGGAAATTATTTGTTGAATCCACACTTTCGTTTGATATAGCTAGAAGATTTCTCCTCCTTTTCGAAGTAACTTCCTGGTTGAAACTAGAGTTTGAGTTATGTTTCTTGGCCGTGTGCAGCTTTCGTCCCAGGTTTTCCTTGATCTTGTGGATTCAGTGATTGCCGATGTAGCATCCGAGTGTCACCGTATAGCGCGACTAGGGCTTGACCGTGATTTGGAGGTAGTAGAAGAAGAGTTGAGGTTATCAGTGGAAGCGCGTGCTAAGGTCGCTGATCCAAGCAACAACCTAGAAACCAACAGCAAATATGTTGTTGATATATTTGGTCAGACTCACCCTCCCGTAGCTAGTGAAGTGTTCAACTGCATGAACTGTGGACGGCAAATCGTTGCAGGAAGGTTTGCTCCTCATCTGGAAAAATGCATGGGGAAGGTGATCTACTCTATTGCATGCCTCCTTGTGGCCTTGGTCTAGACTATACTATTTCCATATGTTGTTTAGTTGAGCCTCTGGTTCTTATTTTTGTATTCTTTGGAAATCACCTAACAGGGAAGAAAGGCTCGTGCCAAGGCGACCAGGAGCACAACGGCTGCCCAGAACCGGAACTCACGACGCAGCCCAAATCAACGATATTCTCCTCATCCCAATCTTGGTAGCGAGAACCAGTTAGCAAGTGAGGACTGCTCAAATGGCACAGTTCGAGAAAACGGGAAAGGGGAATGAAGCACATTCTATATCAGAGGCTTATCCTAAACTGCAATATCCTAAACTGCAATATCCTAAACTGCAATGTGGCTAGTAACTGACTCGACCAGACTGGTATAAATCGTATTGCTAGGTTTGTATTCAGTTTGCAAAAAGAGAGGAAGAAATCGAAAAGTAAGTTGCTGAGGTTCATAATGTAGCTTTTTTACCAGGTTAACAGCCTTGGCATGTCAATCTACAGATTGAAATGAAATAGTTTTTTGGGTATCAATATATTATTACATGCATTATCATGCTGAAATTACGAAATAGTATCAGAGAAACTTTGTAGTATATATCCTCAATCAAACAGTTCCCACTGTTGTGTTATGATTGTTGAAGTCGTTGGAGCTTGGCAAAGGCAAACCCTGCGAGGTTGCACTGCAGTTCATGTCCTGGTTTCTCACCCTCATTATTTCCAACGACTCCACAAAGCTCTGGACACGGCAGACCTGAAAAGAGAAACTCAAAGACATCATTTGACTGTTTGATTTCACAAAAGAAGCAGAGAGAAAACAGAGAGGATGGTAACAGAATTTCCATTTTCCTCTGCACTCTAAGCTCTCCCTCGGCTTCAATCTCATCTAATTTAAGCATTTGCATCATAAGCAACTCCATCACTACTACAAACTCCTTATCTTCAACTCTGATTCCTCCTTGAACGTTATTCTCTCCAATGCAACCACCTAAACACCCGCTTTTCAAAAGATTAAGCAAAAGTTAATATACCCTTAACCAAATGGGATGTGGTTTTGGTGACACCTTATTGTAAAGCTAAGCAACCTCTCATCACTGACTCTATCTATTCTTGCCTCTTCTTAGTTTCCCATCGTGTGACCACTTGTCTCTTCACCTTATCCCCTCTGGCATAGAGTGAATAGTTCAGCTTTTGTCATTGGGGATAATTGGACTGAAGAAATGTGAGGTTTCAGGGTTATGTCTGGAAATACAAAGAATGATTGAGTAAGCAAGCAATCAAAAAGTAGACTTTGAAAACAACCTCTCAGCTTAGTGGATGTGGAATTGATACGTTGATTGAACACTAAAATATCATAAGGTTTCTATATCTTGTGGTCATTACAAAGTTCACGTTTCTTCTAAATTCATCGTCACTCGTTTTCTGCATCTCGTAGTTCTCTGTACGTACAATATGAAAATGACTAGTCTTTATGAAACTGCAAAGAATGGTGCCCTACTGAATATGAAATGATATGGAAACTATAGAAGAAGAGGCCAAGAATAATGGCAAATACAAAAGCGTAGTTTAAAGTGTTTTTGCAACAATAAGTAAAACAGTAGATGCTTTGACCCGTAATGAGAAGTTAGTGATGTAGCCCTCTGAGATTCTCTATCACATTTTATTGTCGCTTTCTACGCTTTTTTTAATTTTTATTTAAAATTCCTTTAATTTCTTCACAGCTATATAGATTTTACATGGAAAATGAAATCCCCAATTGAAAATGATAAGATAATTAAGATACATGAACTTCGATTTTGCATTTTATAGTTGCAGAAGTCTTTGATGACATCGACAAAAGTCACGTCGTAATCATGATCATGAGCTTCAACCAAAGCTTAATCAAAATAGATTACCTCTTTTGGTTATTCATATTCCATTTCCAAAATTGTTCACAAGATTTTTTATTTATTTATATATTAAGTTCTTACGAAGACGAATCTTGCGTCGCCGACGGGAACACTTTGCTACACTCCGATCTACTTCTACTACTCAACATCCTCTTCAACGAACTCGATGCTGATGACGTCACTGATGACGTTGATCTCCGATCACCTCCGCCGTTGATCTCCTCATCAAACACTTCAATTCTAACCTCTCCTTCTCCGACGCCGTTTCCGTCTCCGTCGTCAACCTCTGTTTTCAAATTATCTTCCGTCACAGCAAGAGACTGTGAAAATCCTCTGAGGTTCTCGGCGGCGACGTTCTCATATTCTCCCGCTTGAAACAGTGCAAGTCTAACCTCTGCTTCTTCTTCTTCTTCTTCTTCCGCCGGCTTGAGGTTGTCTTCATCAGAGGAGGCGGCGAGAACAGGGGATCGACAGAGAGGGCAAGTAGAATGAGAAGACAACCACATATCTATACACTCCACGTGAAACCCATGACCGCAATTTCTCAACTTTCTTCCGAAATCTCCCACTTCCCACAAACCCAGACATATCACACACTCCTCTTCTTCTTCTTCTTCCTCTTCTTTACCTTTCTCTTCGTCTTCGTAAACGAACAGAGGAATCGAAGAAATCACTGAAGAATCCAAACCTTTGTCATCGCTTGTTGCAGAAACTCCACCATCGAAACCTCCCAGAGGAACAGAAGGTATGATTCTTGTCGTTGTGACGGATCGTCTCCGGTTTCTTCTTCTTCTACGGCGGCGTCGAGCGGCGGAGAATTCTAATTCGTCGGAGTGTGACCAGAAAAAGCGAGCGTAGAAATGGAGGAGCAAGACGAAGAGGACGACTAAGAGAAGGAAGACGAGAGCAGCTAAGAGGACATTGGAGTTGTAAGAAGATACGATTTTTAGGAAACTTGATAGATTCCTTCTCACACTCATTGAGCTTTCTTCTTCTTCTTCTTGTTGTTGTTCGCTCATAATCTTGATGGGTTTCGGAGAGCTCCCTTTTTCTCTCGAATCAGCTCATGATTTTTTTATTCCTTGGAGTGTTAATTATATATACTATGTCTATGTGTGTAAAGTGAAGTGTATAGGGAAAATCAAAATTACTTTTAAACGCCTACAAAAAATATGCGATTAAAAGACGAATATAATAAACAAATTAGACCCAAAAAACAAAAATAAATAAAATAGAGTAATATACTAGTCATTTTGATTGATTTGTATACAAAATCCCACATAATCAGGATATTTGGTCAAGAATATAATTTCTGAATTCTTAAAATATTCAAAGGAATTTAACCCATTCTCGAGCCAATAGTCTTTTCATTTGTCGTCTTTAAATTATATTGAAGAAAAAAAAAGATCCTTGTGAAAAGTATGTCTTATTATATTATTATGGATTACATGCCATAATCTTGGTTTGGAATGTTGATGAAATGTGATGTGTTGAAGTACTTGCAGGGAAGGTTGTGGGCCTTCGTCTTTTAGTGTGTTGTGGTTGCAACCAAATAATAGAGTGGAGGTTATAAGTTTAATTGACGGGTGGGGTTTGTTTTGGTGTGCATATCTCTATTACTATATAACTTATGAATCAGTCTCTAAATTCTAAATATTACATGATTTCCAATAAGTATTTATATAGTATTTAATAGACACTCACATTTTAGGTTCAAGTGTTCAACACATCCATTATCATTAAACAGGATACAAAATAGTCTCAATACATCAGCAAATCTTACGTTCCAATAACATATCTCTTATATCGTCATTTAGTAGAAAAAAAATAAATTAAATAGATACTGCATAATAATAGACACTCACATCTTACATCTAGATGCTAGTTTAATTTTCGCTGACTGACTTTTATTTACTCGTGATTGTTTTAAAGAGATGGTTAATATTGTTTCTCATCACTTATATTTTCATATATAAAATGGAAGCATCAACATGGAAGACTCAGAAATTTATAGTCGCAAGGATCAATTATACGGTTTTTTTTTATTTATTTGAAAAATAAGCATACATTATACGTAAGATGAAGAAATAACCAACTCAAATAACAGAAGAGAAGTAGGTAATGGAGGTCACATGAAGGATAGCTTAGAAAAGAAGGCAAGTAGGGAGAGATAGGAAGATTTTACGTGAACATAAAGCAAAAGCAGAAGACGAGGGACGCTATGCAATTACATCTAAATGTCTTTACACGTTTCTCTATTAATCAATCATGTATATTTTCTCTTTCAATATTTAGAAAAGCATATAATATAAAATATGATATTCATATTTACCTGCCAAATATATATTCGATGTTCACAGGACCTAACCACGAGGAGCCGAGGAGTGTATTTGACGAAACTTGTTGAGTCTTTAAAATTAAACGACTCGTCAAGACTCAAGAGAACGGAGTTTATTCCAACAAAAAGAACAAATCCCCATGAATTTGTAATTGATTTTTCTTTTTACTTCTCAGTGTTATAGTACTACATAATTATGCTTCCTAATTTTCGGTTCAATAATGGTTAAAACCTGTTTCCATTGAATATCATTTCTTTTTTTTCTTTTGCATTATTTCACATGTAAAACGTATGTATAGTACTTGAGTGGCATAATAATTGTTTGTCAATAGTTGTAAGAAAATGACAATCCTTGAAAATGGCAGTCATGAAAATAATAAGATAGATATAAATGTAGATAGGTGAGGGATTATTAGAGTCTAAGGACTTTGTTGACCAAAAGTCACTCTTGTTCCCATAAAATAAGGGTTGCAGTTGCAGTTGCAAACAGCACCTACTCCTTATTTTGAGCATTTTCTTTTTCCAACTTCTAAGCCTCTTAGCCTTCTTTCCTTCTTCTTTCTTTTTGACCTATTTCATGTTTTCTTTTCTCATGTTAATAGTTAGATATCAATACATAGTTAGCTATAGGCATTCAATTATTCATTTCGGTTCACATCAACTATTTTAGATTTTGAGTTATAGACCCAAATCATAATGATGTAAAAAAATAAAATAAAAGACCCAAACTATAACCAAGTTTACTTTCAGTTCCGTTTAGTTAAGTCTGATTTTCACATTCAAGGGAGGAACAGCTCAAAAGTGGCCTCCTATTAATACTTTCGTAGGGTCGAGATAGAGATGGGCTTATAAAAATATGGTGTTATCACTTACTTGTGGAGCCGGTCGAATTTTGGGTTTATGGTCCATTTAATCTGCTGGGCCCTAAATTAACTAACAAGTATTTACAATGATAGAAAGATCACCACATTATCCCTATTTGACTATGGAAATATGATGTTTGGAAGACAAAAATGAGTATAAAGGTGAGAATAGATTTTTGAGAAGCATATTTGACATGCATCACACTAGGTGAGAACATTCTCCCCATGACAAATGGTTATTTCTACCAATATTATTTGACATTCAAATCAACAGAAAATTTATATAATTTATAAGAGAAAACAGAGTGTAACTATCCGATGAAGTGGACTAATGGTTAAGTACATGAGTTAGTCTCATATGATCTTAGTTCGATTCTTGATGGAAAGAATGTTTTACGCCATGTCATAAGGTATTAGTAAAGGCTGGTTCCAAGTCATACGGGGATTAAAACCCCTCTTTTAAAAAAAAACAGAATGTAGAAAGATGTAAAAGAGAAAATGGTTTAGTAATGAGTTGAAAATCAATATACTTTCTAATTTTTTAAATGTGAGTAAAGAAAAAGTAAAAAAAAATTGTCGAGAAATGTAGCTTGGAAATAACTATAAAATTAGTTGTAAAAAGTATCAAAAGATAATGATTAAAAAGTTCAGAAATATCGAAAATGTATACAAATACGTTTACATAGATTGAAAAGGTATAAATATAGGGCAATTTATGCTGACAGTTATTTAGAATAAATAATCTCGCGCAAGGCATGGATTGGAAATCTAGTATATTAAGTTAGTAACATTTACTCTGGTTTCACACTAGTACAGTGTTCAGCACAAGTCATGCCTGTGGGTCACCAATTTTCTGTGTTATGCTCGCTGCAGTGAACAACATTGAACCACAAATTATAAGAGGGAGCGTCTCAGAACCACCAGAATGAGGATCAAGGTCACGATCGGATCAAGTAAACGAAGAAGCGCAAGTAAATTTGTGAAAAGGTTGTAGTTCAAAAATCGTCCAATGAACCGATTTTAAACCGAAAACGTCGGTTATATTCGGTTCGGATAAAAACCGAAAAAGACATGACCTTAAAAAACATGTCTCCAATTTTTTTTTTTTTTTTTTTTTTTTACATGTCTCCAATTTAATGAACATGGACTGAGTGGATTGAGCTTCTGTTCGGTCGTAATCGAATCCTTTTCCCATAGGGTCACGGACTCACACCGTCTTCAAATTGGTATATAACCAGAGGCGGAAGAAATCTCAAAGGACAGAACTCAGAAGAAAAGCAAAGTGTGTTTTGTCCCTTTTTTTTTAAGGGTTTATCTCTAATTTTGTTTTTCGTTACATCGACCCTCCTCGAACGAAGATGTCCAATCTTCCAATTAATTTGACGGATCTCCCAACGGAATTGGCGGAGGAGATACTCTCTAAGGTTCCGGTGACTTCTATGAGAAGTGTCCGATCAACTTGCAAAAAGTGGAACACTTAAACCAAATGTGAGAGCTTTGCAAAGAAGCACCTTGGTCGTCAAGCAACACTAGCGTCAGCGAGGGAGTTTGTGGTGGTGATGATGATGGATTTTAGGGTATATTTAATGCGCGTAAATCTCCACAACGAGGTTGAATCATGCATGAACCGTGAAAGTAAACTTAGTAGCCTAGATGGTTCGGATCAAATCCATGTATCTCAAGTCTTTCACTGTGAAGGTATATTGTTATGCATCGCGGAAGACAACACGAGGATCTTGGTTTGTAACCCGTTTTCGGGGCAAAGCCGGTTGATCGAGGCTACACACAATTTCTACAGATTGGACCGTTATTTGTACGCTCTGGGATACGACAAGAGCACCAGCAACCAGTCCCTCAAAGTCTTGAGATTTATTGATTATCCCGGCATCGACAGTTTTCTTGAGTTCAAAATCTACGACTTTAGCTCTGACTCATGGAGGGTTCTTGATGTGGCCAATACAGACTTTAAAATATATTATTATAGCCGTGGCGACTCTCTCAAGGGAGACACGTATTGGTTTGCTGAAGACAAGTATTCGGACACACCTGAAGAAGGAAGAGACCCGTTTTTCTTAGTCTGTTTTGATTTCACAAGAGAGTGTTTTGGGCCGCGTTTGCCTCTGCCTTTTGATTGGTTTCTTGAAGATATTGTGAGTCTATCTAGTGTTAGAGAAGAGCAGCTTGCCGTTTTATTTCAGCGAGAGGATACATTACAGATGGAGATATGGGTTACGTCTAAGATTGAGCCCAACACGGTGTCCTGGAGCAGCAAGGTGTTTTTACAAGTGAATATGAAAACACTCCTTCCCTGTTGCTTATTGTTTCTGGTTACACATGCGAGTTTCTTCATTGACGAGGAGAAGAAAGTCGCCGTGGTTTTTGACAAAGACATATACTCAGCTACTCGAAACAAAGCTTACATCGTTGAGAAGGATGGATCCTTGAAACAAGAGGATCTCGGAGAATCTCCATACGCATTATCCATACCACTTGTGTGCTCTTATGTTCCAAGTTTACGCCAACTTAATTAGTCTATTTTACAGTATAATCTGTTTTCTTGTTTGTTCCCTGGTTCTTGATCTATATAGAGAACAGAGCAGGCTGCTATCCAACACGAATTGGACAGTGGTGGTCAATCCAATTCAAATGATTAATTTGCAAAACAAAGTGGATATTTTTTTTTCATGAAAATCTACCACTTGATCAGATTAAAATAAGATATATCATGGTCTGAAACAAAGTTGAAAGCTACAATAATTATAATCTGATGACGAATACTAATATCTTGAGCCAAAACAACACAGTAAAGAGACCGCACAAGTCGAACACTTGCAACAACAACAAAGAAAACAAATCATAAGATTCTCTTCTCTTTTAACACGGGGAAAAGACTCAAACTTTGAGAGATGACAAAGGAATGACTGCTTTCGAAGCAACAACCATCATGTTCAGTGCCAAGTAATATATATTATAAGAATAAAGCAACTCATTGTGATGCCAACAGCCAAAAAAATCCATGACCAAATTTAATCTGATCCAGTGCTCACCTCCGTTTTCTTCTCTACTTCCTTCTCCTTCTTTTCCTTTGCAGGGCTTTCTTCTTCTTCCTTGGCTTTGGCTTTCTCTTCACTTTTTTTATCTTCAACTGAAAGATTCTCAAGTAAACCAGCAGCCTCGTCGCCTTCCGTGCTCTCTTTCCCTACTTGCTGGCTTTCAGCTATTTCAGTGAACTTCTCCATAAACGTTTTGCAATCTGTTTATGCAACACTATCATCAGTTAGCCATTTGAAAATCTAGAACGAAATAAAAAAAAAACTCAGACAGCACAACACTTAAAGGAGATTCTTCTTCTCTCATAGATTTTCAATCATCACAGCTAACAAAGAGTGCGTTTAGTGATAAGACCTACGACCTCAGACACCGACCCAGTCTTGGGAAATGGCCTGCTATGAGCTCATAAAGCTGATCAAGAGTTAACACTTTCACTAGTCATAGCAACATTCCAAGTACAGCCTCTACAAAAGCAGCACTATCGTTTTCATATTAGCCACTAGCTCTATAAAAGGATCTTCCGAATCACAACTCAAAGCTACAAAATAGTGACTTCAATCATCACAACCAGAGTAGTATGAGCGGTATTCGAAAACCACATTCGCTAATTTAACTGCCACAGATTACTACTTGAACATATAAATCTCCAACACCTAAAACTGACCACATTACTCCTACCAAAAACAAGTAAGCCGGAAACGATCAGAACAGCGAGGATGGTGATGGCCTATAAGTGTACTTACTCTCAATTGACGCAAATCTAATGCAGAAGAGCTCGTCCTTCAACTCGCCATCGGAAAAATCAGTAGCGTGCCATAGACACGACTTTTCATTCCCACTATGTTCCTGAACACTCATCCCAGACGAAACTGAAGAGAAACACACACAGATACATTAAGTTTATCCCGAAACAAAATTAGATCAGGGAGACAAACAAAACAGCATAAATAGCGCACATACTGAGGTGATTGGCGCAGATCTTTAGGGTTTTAGATTGTCTCATGACAAGGCGAACCTTTCCAGTCTGCTTGTGCTTCAGCAGCTTAACAGTTCCAGCTCCTCTCTCCTTCCATTGTTTCCCATCTTTATCGAATCGGTACAGCTTCGATTTCCTAAAACGATTAAGATCAGGCCAGGTGAGTTAGCACTAAAATGAGAGAAACTTAAATAAGAGAGAAGGGAACAGATATCTGGAGCAAACAGGTGAAGAGAATGATTACATACAGATCGAGGACGGCGTCTTCGTCTTCCTCGCCGGTGGTGACCGCAACTTCCTCAAGCCTGACGATCGGAGCCACCTGAGCTCCGGTGTCCTCGTCTTCGTGGACTTCGGCCTCCTCTTCGCGGTGCTCGTGCTCTGGCTCAGTGCTCGACATCTTTCTATGGAGCTGTTGAAAAGTGTTTGTGCTCTGCAACTTGCTCACTCAATTTGGGAGAGAAGAAGTTTGGAGGACCAGAAACGAAATGAGAAACGAGGGTTTTTACTTTATATCCAAGTTAGGCTCAGATTATCTAGTGGGCTTAATAGGCCTTGACCTCAATCATTCTAGCCCACTAATGGCCCATAAAATAAACAGCTTATGTCTGAATTGTAATGGCAATCGTGCAAATTAGCTGTGAACATATAGTTATTGAGCTAATAGGTCTGGTTTAATGTTCGAACCATAATATTCAATACTTTTGGTTATTACAAATTTAAAAATTAGATTAGCAAACAATTTTTAAAGCACAAACAAGATTACATTCAGGTCCCTGGCCGTTTTGGATACAACGTCGAATACAAGTGTCAACGTTATTCAAGTGAACCAGAAAGAAACATGGTCTAAACCAAATCGGAATTGCGTAGGTATGTGAACGAAGCTCGATGTGAGCTCATTTGTCGTCCTCTAGAGGGGAAAGAAGACCTCATGGCTCATGGCTAAGGAATATTGCAACAACCTAAACCCAAACCCATAAAAGTCTAATCTTATGTCCTTTTATCATGTGTCCCGATTAGTTATCCACAATAAAATGTTACAATTTACATTCTTTTGAGAACAAAAAGTGATGATTGTTTAATATTGTATCTTAAGGTAGATACTCATGCTATCTCAATGCTAAAACATTTTTTCATTCATAGTTGGTTATGTTTATTTTCACTATATCTTGAAGCTTATCACATTTTTTAATACAACTTATAACTGGGGTTTGGATGCCTTTGAAAGTCATGTTAGCCCTGTGAGAATAAGAATAATATAGATTCAAAACTAAGGACACAAGCTATCTATGAAATAAAGAATTACTAAAATAAATAGTTATATTAAGAACATCTGGCTACAAGTACAGCACATGTACCATAATATACTACATGGTAAGACTACCATCGCTGGGTCGGCCACAGCCAAATCCACATATTGAGTCACAACACAACCGCAACATTGCGGCCCATCTAATACCGTGCCGACCCAATCGAATACATGCCTCGGAGATAAAGGCGAAGCAGAAGACGAGAGGAACAGCTCAACGTAGCTCCATCGCTCACCCGGATCTTTACTCAGACACTAATCAGGAAAATTACGGCCAATTCCTTATAACCTCACCGGAAAATTGCAAAATCGACGAATTCCTCGTATTAAAATCATTTCGACCTTACTGATTGACGACTCATTTAAATCTCTAACCAAAGGAATCGTCAACAAGTAATGTCAAATTGATATTAATTGATATGTGTTGTGTCAGATTACAAAATGAATCATCAACGGGATTAAATCCTCAGACAGGGATAACTGTTTTTTTTTAAATTATTCTCATCATCCACAACCAAAAAACATAAATTTTTGATAGAATAACTCAAGAAGTAAATATATTAAAACCAAAGAAAGAAGAACTCAGTCCCTTAGATGTTCATAATGAAATGCGATCATTACCGCAATCATTACAGGTCTGTAAATTGACTCATCACTGTTCTTCCACAATATTTTATAAAGACAAAATACAAAAAATAGATATGTAGTTGCTCAAGCTATGCTCCCAAATCGCTATCATACTAGAATTAACAGTATGAAGCTGGAATGATTAGGGAGAATATTAAAAAAAAACGAGAGCAACACGATTGGTTATTGCTTCAAGGGAACGAATCGTATGGGAACGGACAAATCCACAAAGACTATCTGATGAAGCCAAATTTCAATTCCGAAACCGAGAGAAAAAAAAAATAGATCCACGAAATAAAACACAGGAGATTTCAAATCCACAACAACCAAGAAAATAAAATTCTATAAAATTGAGTTGAGTTTTGATTGAAGCTGCTAAAACCCTACATTTCGACGGATGGATAGATGACATCAATCGATTCATTTATAAAGAGAGGTTGTCTCGGGGTCGACGGTGGAGATGTAAGTCTCAGGAACATTGATGAACGGTTGAGGATCTTCAACGCTGACACTGGGAAAACCCTAGTAAGCCCATTGATTGTATTTTTCAACAAGCCCAATTAAGTAAAAGTATGAAGCCCGATTTTCATGATTTCCTAAAAAACTCATTGAAATTAAGTCGAAGATTTTATATGGAATTTTCCCAATATAAAACTGCTAAACAGCTCTAATTACTCTGCTTTTATTACATGTATGTAATAAAACTTTATAATCATTTAAGAGAAAATTTGCTCAAAGTTTCTACAATTGAATGCATCCGTAAAACTTGGGATTCTCCTCGAATGCGTTAGAAAAATTCCTAACGAAATAATCGATAGAAAAAAAAATAAGAAAAGGCTAATAGAAGAGAATCGTATACAACAACTGGTTCCATGTATCAGGAAGACCAGGCAAGCACCAATGGCTACAATCTGCAGACTGGTCTGGTCTAGACCGCTGCGAACCACTGATCAGACCGCTGTATACAGACGGGTGACCATCTTTTCTAAGGGAAGAGAGGAGCGTAATGTCAAGAAGCAGAGCCGGATTGTGCATCCCGTGAAGCACTTCAACGATCACTGATCTCAGCTGATCTGTGTAGGAACTCACTGGATAAGCCGCTCCTGTGATCGGCTCTGTCTCTCCGTAGCAGTTCTTGGATCCTGAAGACGATGATGCCGCCCAGTCACTCGGGCTGATTTGATCAATCACAAAAACATATATACAAGTGATTTCAGGACATTCTCTTCACAAACTGATTCAGTTTAACAACTTTGAGTTGAGAGAGAGACAGAGAGTGAGAGTTACTTGTCGTGTGTTGGAGAAATGGAGAGGAAGAAGACTTGGGTTCGGGATCTATCGACGTGGGTTTCGACCCAATAAGCCCAAGTACGAAGAGCTTTCTCCATTGCTACGAAACGGTCCATGTCTTGGTAATAAGAGTTGCCTGATTGTATCAAGTCCCATCTGTGTTTCACCAGGAAAGATTATAAAGACACATTCGACTCTGAAAAAATCAAAACCATCTGTTTGAGAATTCTTACCCTTGCATAGATCCGGTATGGCTCCACCAGTGGCCAGTGTTGAAGATGAGTAGATCAGCGTCATGCCAAGCGTTAGCATTGCCGGAGATCTCCTCCAGTTTCAACACTCGCTTGCCTTGAACAGCGTCTATGTCCACCAAGAACGGAGCTTTGTAAAACGACATCGTTATCCCATAATCCTACATCGAATACAGTTCACTTGTTAGAACCTGATTTCCTAAGAACAAGAAAATGGTGAGACAGAGTGGGAAAGAAGAAAAGATACCAAGAATCTGAAGGTGGAGAGAGGGAGGCCTCTGGTCATCTGAGTCCGAGTGGACGGTGCAGATGAGACGATGAGGCAGATCAACGACTCCCATTGATTCTTCCCCAATGAATCGCCCGCAAACATTATTGTTTTGCCCTTCATTTTCAACAGAAACGCAGCACCATTGAACCTAACCATCATTTCGTTTTTCAATTTACTAACACATAATCCAAAAGCTACATTTTGAAGACCAAATATTCTCCCAATATAAAGTGGCATTTTGTTTTATAGCTTAACTCAGTATAAATTACATAGATTTCATATTAAAATCCAGGCTCATTACAAATAACGACACAAAGAAGTTCAAGATTAACCACGAAACTGAGGAAAATTTATGAAGAAAATTGAATAAACATACGTGGGTAAGTTGCAATTCTGGGGTTGCCATCGATACTTGAGGTAGTCGGAGTCAGGACGACCGTACATCTGGCAATCGAACTCAGGCTCGACGACGGCGGGACAATCCGCCGGTTTGTAGAGAGGATAAGAGTCGTCACGGACCCACGTGCCGAGGAAGAGAGTGCACGTGCTCTTGTTCCCTTGGAAAGCTGATGGTCTGCTCGAGCTGTATTCGTTGCTGCTGCTGCTGCTGCTCCCATGGCGTTTCTTCAAGCTCAGTATAATGGCTGACGAAGATGGTTCTTGTTGAAGCACTAGTAGAACAAGAAACAAAATGGCGGAGACTGAGATTCGGAGAAGATAACCCATCTTTGCTTTAACGGAGATTTCCCGAACACCCACGAAAAAAGAAAGATGTGTAAAATAATTGAGAGAGGAAATATCTTAAGAAAGTTTTTGGAATTTGGATTCATTTATCGGTGTCTCTCTGCAAATGGACATGGGTGTTCACGTGGGTCCTCCTACTTGTGTAAATATATTTTACAAATTTCAAAATAACCAAATATTCGGTGATAAATTATATAAATAAAATATAAACCTTTGGAGAGAAATTCAAACATTTCTTAAATTAACAGGATTTCTTTTGTTCTCGCATGTTCACACGATTTGTTAGATGTATAAAGGCATCCTCGATAAATATTTCATTTAGATTTTTTTGATTAATATATAGACCACAAAGGCAAAAAATACTTTGCTTACTAGTTATATATATGCTTCATCTTTCCAACTTCATACAAAGATAAAAAAAGGAGGAGAAATGAAGTGTCGGAAGAGAGGTAAGCATTTGTTCTTTTTTTTTTTATACATTTCGACACCTTTGGGTTGTTTCGGACACAAGCACCCGACTCATGATTTACACTAACCTTAATCGTGTAATAATCTCAATCTTTCATATCCAAAGATTCTGAACCAAATTCGTCGTCGAGATGCGAGATGCTCTCCTTGCCTCCTTGGACCCTGAAGTGTTCATACGTCATGTTATTATGTTAACCTCATAGATTTTTTCCTCCTTCGTGTGTAACACTTTAGAATACGGTTCTCTTTCAACAACCTTTCCTGATCTGTTTTTATTTCCCTGAAAAAAAAAACAACAAAAATAGATAAAAATTGTATGAAACTATGAACACTACTAAAATTCATGAATTCCCTAGTCACATTCAGAAGCCTAATTCATCATTTTTGGACTCAACTAGTTGCCAATTATAGTCAATATCTCTTGAACCTTGTTTCTCAATTTGTATTTGTCACCTTATAACCTAGTTACTATTATATATATCACAGCCGTGTCAAGCATCAAAGGCACAACAATACCACCATGTTAGTATCCTTACTTTCATGGACTTTTATCTTTAACCTCTAGATTTCTATTCGAAGTCTTTTATCTTGGTTAATTCTCAGGACCCATGTAAAGACATTTGCATATTATGCTTTCATTTTCATGTCTTTCTCGTTATTGGTGTTTTTGGATTAGCGATTAAGGAGTAAAAGCTTGAACAACATACTCTGGTGGATTTTTCGTGGAGCTAGACTCCTCGAATTGCTGTTCTACCTGATGTACTTCTGATCTATCATCAGAGGCAGGATTGTCTTCAATCCTGATGATGTCACAGTGTGGTTCACCCAGAGGCACTGCTTGATAATGAGGATCTAAAGTTTAAAACCTTACTCAAGATGACTGAGTTTGAAAGTTTACATTTTTGAATGATAAAACATAGGAAACGACGGGGACTAACCTGTACTTGGAATTGGATCTGCTACGCTGCTCTTGATCAAGATCTTCTGGCACAATAGTGTTCGTCCGAATTCCAAAAAGGTAAATTGCAGAAAGTCTTTCTTTTCGGAGATTTTCATATTTGTAAAGCCAAATGAGTTCGTCCACGTGTTCAACACGCATGGAACTGCAGGCAAGACCAGCCTCTCAACTCCCAAGCCAATCAACACCTAGAAAGATACACAATTTTCAAGAGAACAGTTAGAGGTCTTCAGAATAAGCAAAATCAGCTTCTTGAGCCGAAATAGGAAGTAAAGTTTCTAATAATAGTAAACACCTTTTCGAGTTCATTCATCAAAACCCGGCACATCCCGAGCTGGCGATGCTGGAATCTAGTACCAATGAAGGGCATTTCTGCAACCTTTTTCCCAAAAATTCTGTAAACAGAACAAGTCAGGCTAACAACTCAATCAAGGAAGCTATGCACAAGATTCTAGTGTTAAAGAGACAATTTTAGCTTTATAAAACCTACCTGACAGTAGCCACAGTAACAAGTTCGTCGTTCCTTTCTAGAAGTACCGTGTAAAATCCACTGAAGTTCAAACGTTTGTATTTTGACCTGCAGATTTCTTAAAGTTAGGGAGTCTGATGCGAAAGAATGCGATAGAAGGTTTTTACATGGAATTGTTCATGGTATTCTTTGTTTTTCCCTTACCATCTGCTAAAAATAACTTCTTCAACAAGATCACCCCCACCATGAGCTCTTTTCACAGGCTCGAAGAGTTCATGCATCACGTCAAGAGCAACACTGAGCTTGCAATGATTTTCTGCCACTGCCTCAATTTTAGAAGCTTTAGTCCCATCTGTATCAAGTTCCAAGGAATGCAGCAGTCTCCAAGTTAAATTCTTCTCCACGCCAACCTCTCTTGGTTTTCCAATAAGCTCACCGAGATTTACATATATCTGGATTAACATTTGTTTCCGTAAGAGCAATGCCGAGTACGACATGTAGTTAATTTATAACAACTGCTGCTGCAGTCATTGATTGGGCTGCTTAACTGGGCTGCTTAGTTAGATTTCTGATGGCTGTTTACAAACACGAATGAGAAACAGGATTGAACTTATGTACCTCTTTACAGTCCTTGCTGCAAAACCACTTTTCTCCCAAGAATGTATCCAACTGATCACCGACACCATCATGACGCAGGCAGCTAGGGTGATCTACATAAACCGCATAAAAATCAAAACTTTAAATCATTCAAATTTATTCTTGACCCTTTGTAATAGCAAGGGGAAGAATTCCATACATTTAAGTTCGCATTGCTTGCAACTGATAAACTTTTCCTCCTTGGCATATTTTCTAGTATCCTTGAGGATAGATTGTCCACAGACACCACAACAACATGACGCGCAGAACCAGTCACCATCTGGAACATCCTACAAAATTCCAATGAGAACGTATTAAGAAACCACATGTAAGAGCTGTGAAAATTCCATTACGTACATAGTGAAAATTGGTGAAAAAGACAAAACCTCTAGGCCAAGACAATTTGCATGGAAAGAGGACGGACATCCATCACAGAGAATCAGCTTGCCGCCATAATGACAAACAGAGCAAACTATATCGTTCTCCCCATGACGCAATTTAATCTTCAGAATATCAGGTGGTTGTGCTTTCTTTCTTGTATTGTAGGCTTCTACTTGGCATTCCAAGAGAGATCTTCCATCATCGAGAAATATATTGGCTGCTGCTCTACAGGATCCAGCATCTGCATGCACTACAAAGCCACTTATTGTGAAAATTCTACGGCAACAACTGCATTTTATACCCTCACGAGTTAGTTTCCCCTCTTTTCTCACAGTGTGATCCTTTTGGCTACGGCATTGGATGTTTTCCCTTGGTAGAACCACATTGTTGTCGATAAGCCACGAAAGAATACTACGTGGACTACGATGTCTAGAGATGGGACTAAGTACCTGCTGCACTCTTTTGCTTGATCGTGACATGCGGGTTTTACCCCGACCAGTTACTCGATGCTTGATATCCATTAACTTTCTTGAAACTTTCCCCCTTCTCATGCTCAGATTGACATTTCGCAAACCTACAATCACTTTGTTCTTCTTGGATTTATATCTAAGGTTAGGTCTCTGCTTAGGCCTACTTTTCAACCTTACGAACCCCTGAGCTGTTGTTTCTGGCTCGAGTCTAACACAGAGTGTCTTTTTATGAGCCGGGATGGTATTTCTAGAATAGATATTGCAGCTATCTCTCTTGAAAGCCTCTTCTTTTCCTTGCGTTTCACTCTCACGCAAGGTTTCAGCAGACGGCTTCCTTCCATCACTAAGAGCGACACTTCTATTATAAGCAGGCAAAGCCAAAACAATGCTCCTCGTTTCGTGGGTGTTATATGTCCAGTTTTCACAAGGCAGAGAAAGAGACTTAGCCATCCTAGGAGGAGTCAAAGATTCATCACGTTGTTTCAACATGAAACATACTTGACGAAGGGACTTCTCTGTTAGCCTTCCATCTGGTGAGAGGTAGCGAAACCTGTGTCTGCCACCTTCATCTACCATGTGTTCTATGGTCCATCCCATATACTTAAGATGCTTCCTGACATGTACAACCACTCTTTGTGACCTTGTCCTAATATAGCTCGACACAGCCTGTGGGCATGATTTAGCAACACAATGAAAAGGTTGCCAGTTTCCAGGTGTCTTGGGTAGTATCATCTTTTGATCGGCAGTAGATTTCTTGCTGCAAAATTCTGTTATCCTATTATCGTAACTCTCCTCCGACCTAATGCCAGAGACGGAAGTCAAGACAGAAGAAGACTGGCATCTCAGGCTCGCTGGTTGGTGATATTTGTCAATGCAGGAAAGTTGTTGTTCTTGTGAAGCAATCACTATCATGCCACTAGGACAAGCATCGATCTCATTAACCGCTTGAGAAGCTTCTTTTAAGAGCTTCAACTCTTGGTTTGGGAATCTTTCAGCGTCATAATCATGAAGAAACTGATTTATGGTGATTTCAAGATTGTTACCAATCACCTCCAGCATCAAATCTTCCCATAAATGCCTAGTGGAGCAAGTCCATTCCCGGATCCTCGCAAAATCAACCCTGTCCCGTATGTCATACCAAAGTTGCTTTACTGAAACCGGGAGATAGTTATCTTCCCTATATTTCTCAATCAAATCAAGAAACAACCATATCCCACGACACTCCCATGTCTCTGTAACCTCATTCCAGTCCTGAGTAATACGTAAAGATTGAAGACCAGCATCTATTTCATCACCCAAATCAGGGAAAAACACTCTCCTTTCCTCAGAACCATTTTCGTGGTCGAAAATCACACCTTCCCACCAAGCATCACTGATAAATACATCGACGCAGAGTCCATACGCAAGGTTCAATCGATCAATTTCCAATTTCGGCGGCACGGGTCTTAAACGTCCGCGTAAATTATCGGAAACGTCTATGCAACTAGAGCTTACGCCTTCTACGACCTCCGAAACATCAATAGTATCCGTAAGATAATCAGTAGCATCATCAGAGAGAATGTTATCGTATCTGATACTACGCCGACGCCGTTTTTTCGAGGAAATCACAGTTCCTAAATGCCAAGAACCCAGAAACCCTTCCTCAACACTTCTTACCTAAACAAGCGAAGCAATTACTTTCCACGATTAGATATCGAAGCTACATTAACTACATGAAACAGATGGGATAAAAAATACCCAAAAAGCAATATACATGTTTGCACTAAATATCGATTATAATGGAGAAACAGACAATGCATCTTTCACGAAAGTCGAATTCAACTAACTAGGCTCCACGATCAAACCAAAAACAGGAAAGGATTCTTCGAAAACAGCCGAAATTTATCAAAATCTCTGAAGGAAACGGTGCAGAATATCTGAAATTAGAAAAATCAAAAACCCGATAAACCCTACAATCAAAACACCCATCGTGAAAACGGAATAGTCATGGTGGGGGAAAACAAAAAGCAATGGGTATACCTCTATTTTTTCTCCGACGAGAAGCTTTCTCCGGCTTCGTCCGTTGTTGTTCCAGCCGAATATCGGCTCTTCCTCGGTCGCCAGCATTGAAATCCCCAAAATTGCGAGTCAACAAAAAATGGGAAAAAAAAAACGTCGTCTGCTGAGAATTTCCTGTTTCTTTTCCGAGCCGAGAAAGTAGCTGGATATTTCTCAGTAAGATACGAAATTTATCAGCTGAGCAGCAGCTTTCTCCCCAAGTAATGCTGTTCTCTACACTATAGTCTAATTTCAATACATCTAATTAAATAAGACAATTACTGATTTGGGTTAATTTACAAAATTTGTTTGGAATTGGCTTTGTTTTTGTTTTTTTTTTTTTTTTGTTAATTCTGAGTCAACGAGAAGAATGGAAATAACTTGCTAAGTTAGAAAATCACACTATTCATATCTTTTTATTAAAACCCCAAATTACCCTTTCCGTTCACCCTCTTTTCCTTTTTTTATTTATTAATGTGAAATGGGTATAAGAGTATGGGTACGCCGTACGCATTCAACAAGTAGTTACCCAATCTTGCTGGTATTTTGAGCGTTGTTATTGTCTTGTTGGTATTGTTGATCAACGCTGGAGATGAAATCAGAGAGAGTTTTAAGCTAATGACAGTATTCTGTAACACTTGGTGGTTGAATGTGTATGCTTGTGTTGGCCATGGCGAAAAAAGAATAAGAAGAGAATATGAAGATGAAATTGAGATCATGAGAGGAAAAAGAGAAAGTAGTTGTCTAGAGGAAGTCGGCGAGCAGAAAGAAAAAAAAGAAAAAAAAGTAAGTGAAGGCGGGCAAACCATAAAGGCGGAAAATTAAAGTTTTTCAAGTTTTTAACTAAAATTAGTTCTGATACTATTATAAGATTATGAATTCCGTAGAAAACTATTAACAAGACAATCCTTACATAAATATAAGAGAAGTCTAAATACATTCAACATTGTTTAGAATAAGGAAATAATCTAATAATGTGGCAACTACATCTAACATCTTCCATTCGCGCATGAATCATCAATCATATCAACAGCTACTATTTTTTGTCAACATGACAACATCTCGATACACTTTTTTATCACACGCTTTCATGAAGCCACTAGTAAAGATACTAAGAACCATTGATTGATTGATCGAATTTTTTCCATCTTGGAAAAGTATATCTAGGATATGTACGATGTATCTCTACTTACATATATAGTATAGTATCTCTACATTATTATTTGAGTAGATATTTTAAAATATAACTTTTATTTTGTAAAATATTACATGATATGCCATTACAAATAACAAAGAATAATTAAAATAAGAAAGGATATAGTTGTCTTTTAACTCTATTGCTAAAAATATGGAAAGTCTTTATTTCTCATTTAATAGAGTATATTTATTATTTAATTTTTAAATTCAAAAATATGATAGTTTTTATTATTTTTATTTTCAAATGATATTATAAAGTATATTTAATTAAAAAACGTGAAAATAAATTTTTGAATTTAGAAATATTATAAAAGTCAAAATTAAAAGTTATGATATTAAAAAAGTGGTGAAGTATTTTTTTCAATAATTTGCTACATTTGATTGATTATATACAAAAATACTTTTTTAGTTATTTTACTAAAAATTTGATATGAAAAATTGATTTTTAAATAAAAAAAAGTTTGTGGTGAAATGAGAGTTATTAAACTGTGAATATTATAATTAATTATTAAATTTTAATCCAATACAAATATGTTAAGTAAACGGGTTAGTTTGATATGAACAGATTATAATTTTAATTTTTTAATATCCACAAAAAAATCTCAAAATTCAAAATATTAATTTTTTAAAATAGGTAATATATTCAATCTACTAAATTATATATTTTGTAAATTAAATATAATTTGTTGTATATTTATTTATTATATATCAAACCTAAATGTAAAGAATATTATATTATTTTCATATATAGTTAAAAAAATAAAATAAAATTTTTATAGTTAGTGAACAGATTATAAATGTCAATTATTAAACAATGCAAATTAGAGTTGATGATTATAATTTTATAATTTTTATATAATAGCCTAGATAATATTTTAGTTTAGTGCCAACGGTTTAAAACAACTTATTTTGCTTTACACGCTTATAAAATAACTTCATATACGGATTAACTTATTTTTTATAATTCAAAATATATATATATATATACAGATCAACTCATTATTTAAAATTCACAAAAATATGCGCTATATTATTGTAAACTTTATAACAATAACTGTTTTTACAAAATAACTGTTTTCATCAAATTATTTAAATTAGTTAAAGATTAAAAATATATCTCCCACGCTATAGCGCGGGTTAATCCCTAGTTCAACACTAATCAATCAGTCACTTTTTCGATATACATATTTTTAAAATCATTTTATCAGTTCATTTTGTCTTGGTTTAAACATTTCGATTTGGTATTTTTGGTTACCAGTTTACCAGTTTAAGAAAAAATATTCCTGACACCTACCTAACCCAGAAGACGAACTAATGGGCCAAATTTAGCTCTTTATTAATGGGCTCTTTTGGCAGGTCACTATCCTCGTATAGCCACATTCGTGTCGTAACCTGCTGCTCTTCTGGGCCAGAAGTGCTTTGGCGGCTAGTCGGAGAGAGAGAGATAATTCACTGCTTCGAGGACCATAAAAGTCAAGATGGTCTGTCCACTAAGGTCTTGCCATTTGTGTAGGCCTTCGTTTTCTCTTCAGCGATGTCGACTGCTGAAAATTGGCAATGGTTAGTCGTTTTCACTATGTCCCACATGGTTCTTATTCCATTCATTCTACTCAGATTATGGATTCTCTGGTGGGTCCATTTCTTATTGGTACACTTAGACTTTTGTTTTTCTTTCTTTTTTTCCGCTTTATATTAAAAACCTAATAATATATCATCCTGAAGACAACATACTGACCGTTGGTTTTCATTTCTGCATTTTTCATATATTGTCGTTTGAGTGACTTATATTGATGTATATTGGAAAACCAACACTGTGTTATCCATCGCATCAAGTGAAATAATCTATTATATAAAGAATGAGTTGTGTTTCACAAATGTGACACATCAACACCTCTTCTTTTGACACATCAGCTTTGAAAAATAAATAAAATATTTAGCAGGAGAAAAAATTGACGGTGGTGAAAGATTAATCAGAACTTCTCCTCCCAACAATCTCGAAATTTGAATAGGCGCAAGCTTTCTTTTATCAGCCCCATTAAGTCTCATCTATATTTTACATGTTTGCAAGTGCTTTCAAATTACGACTGCTGAATTGGCTTAAAGAATCTTCTAAATCCCTCTACTTCCTCCTAAACCCAAAATAAATGCATCAACCCTCATGGCAGATCGATTCTTTTTCTGATAGATTGGTCGGCGATGTCTTTGGTGGTGGGTAATAAAGCTGGAGAGAGGCTGAGAATGAAAGGAGCTGAAGGAGAAAAAGAAGAATAGAGGAGGAAGGAGGTTGAGGAAGAAAGACGAAAAGTATATATAACTAAAATGATTCAGACTCTTCATATGTCTTTAACTTGTTTCTAAGACGTTGTTTAGATTAACGAGTATGACTCTCATTCTCATATTCTCCCATGGTTTTTACTTATGTTCTTTTACTACTCTGTTTCTTTCTATGGATAAGATTTTAAGATACTACTCTTACCCTGTAGATCTCCTACAAGTACCAGATTCTAGGAAGGCAATTGTTTAAATATAAGTTTAAAGGCTTATAAGAAGATAGACTATGATGAGAACAAGAACAACTCATGTATCTTAAAATATTACTATTGAGCTCCTTAGAGACGTTTTATCATGAAATAGGGGAGCTGTGTATTGTTCCATCTTCACTGTTATAATGGAGGGTGTTTGTTTTGTCGCTGAAACTTCACCATCATGTCACGGCCCGATTCCTCCTTGAACCAAACCGTGCGGCCTTAGCGCTTTACTGCTCCGCGCACACGCTAAGTCAGCCGTCTAAACTCGGACCCTGGTGCTTAGAGAGAGAAAGTGGCATGTTTTAGAAAGAGAAAGGGGAAGAGAACTCTTATTAGAGAAAACTTGGATTCTGAGATCTACCTACAACTGAGGGAGCTCCTCTCTTTATATAGAGATTTCACTCAACTACCCTAATAAATGTATCTACCCAACTACTACATTTATTCTACTTCCCAACTACTATCTACTCTCTCTAGACCCAACCAAAACGTTCCACAAGGTTCTAGAGAGTTCCGGAAATACATAAAGGAAAGAAAGCATAGAAATGACTAAGTGTTGGGTCATAACCCCCTGGTTTCGGCCCGTCTCGTCCCAGCACGGCCCATCACGGTCTAAGCAAAATATGGGCGTGACAATCAGCTCCCTTTCTTCCTCCTCCATATCATGAAAGACCAACTTAGTCTTGGGTTGATACCTAGCTTACTTCATCTTCCCTTCAAGCTTCTCTAGGTTCTCATATATTATTTTTGCATGTGGATGTGACTGATCACATGAAGTAAAGACATGAAACGTTTCAATGATTTTTATTCAAGTATGTTCAGAAGCTTTGACTAGAAGAAGATTTGAAAATATTTTTTATCTTTGCTGATAGGCTAACATGTTTAGAGAATATTTCTCTTTAAGGTTTCTTATGAGGATAAAAGATAGAGGGCGTGAACTAGAGACATGATTCAAAATGGTATCCATGGATCCAAGCATAAGCAAAGCCCTCTTTGTCGCTTGAGAAGCAAAGCCCTCTTTGTCACTTGAGAAGCAAAGCGCTTGTCAAGGAGCTCTCTTTGCGGTTCTTAAACTCTGATGTCAAAGTTAAAAATGCAAGATGGGAACAAATTTAGAGAATTTAACCATGTTCTATGTTATATCATTTTATGTGCATGAAATGGAGCTTGTAGCTTGGTTTATCTTCATCAGGTCTTGGAGCTGGGAATATTAGTTCTCACAGCAGAAAGCCACGAGAGCAGCATAAATCAAATCCAATGATGAAAATGGAGAAAGACATATTTGGCTACACGTGATGCAAAATATAATCTCTGAGGTATAAAATACCAAAGGCCGTCATGCTATATTCATTTACTAACTTATCCAACTTCAGTGGAGATTGTGAAGGTCTTTGCCAATAAAAATAGAAAATTTGCATAGAAGTTTATCCATTTATTTAAAGAATATGTCTATTAGGTTCCTAATCATAATATTTAGTATTTGCTAGATTATCATATCTAGATTTGTTATGATGTTCCACGATTAATTGAAGATATTTAGTAGAGGAAGTGTTTGATAAAATTTCATGAAAACAAAAGAAAAAGTCAATTAAAAAAAACTAACCAAAACAAGATCACTTTAAGAAAACAAGTAAACAATTAATTAATCTCTCAACATGTATATGGCCATAAAAAAAACCAAAAATCTAAACTAAACTTAAATTTGCTTTCAACATGTATATGGCCATCAAAAAAACCAAAAATCTAAACTAAACTTAAATTTTAAGCAATAGACAATATATTAAAATAAAACCCACACATGTGCGTGGGTATTCATCTAGTACAGTATAATGATAAACTAATTCTTCTTTTTTTTTTTGACTTATGATATACTAATATGATTTATTATTTAAAAAAACAGATTTATTATTTAGAAAACAGATTTATTCATTTAAAGTGTTTAGTTGCGGATCTAAAAAAATTTAGTTAGAGCATAAATTTATAAACATAAAAAACAAAATTTAGTTGGGGGTAACTTTTTCTTTTTATCATTAAATTAAAAATATTTTAATTAAATTTTTTTAAATATTTAAGAAAAAATAAAAAATAAAGTAAAGGGCACTTGATCCCATTATTGCTGCACTAGATCCCCCATGGTTGTGTTCTTATGTAATAATGTGAGGAGACCCAGTGGAGCAGCTTGGTTAATGCCACTGCAAAAACATTCATGGGTTTGGTTCACGCATTTGTATTTGGTCTGGTTGAATACAAAATAGTAGTTGCTATAAAAATCTCTTTAAAATATTAGTATAGTTCGATGTAGTAGTAGTAGTATTTTTTAAAAATATTAATATATCGTACAACATTCTCATGGATCACGTACCACCATCTTTATTCAGATTAATTAAAATATTATTATTAATTAATAATACAAGCACAGGGACAGAAAATACAAAGTTTGGTCAGGTTTGTTCGAATTCAAGCCATTACCGAAATTGAATATAACAATACCTTTAATCTTTTAGAATATTTATATATATATGTATCACCTAATCGTCTTTTTATTGGAATTGTCGACCGGAAACAACTGAACATAAAGGTCAATTTCTGGACTATATTGGACTTAAAATAACCAAACTTTATTTGTTGATCTCAGTTATCTAAACTTTGTGATATAATTTACATGAATAACTCAAATAGGCTATGACAAAAAAGTTGCTATCAAAACCCATTCGAGACGGTTCCGATTCTGTGTGTTCTCGTGTATGTTGGTTTCTTCTGAGCGGTGACAAGCCAATCAAAAAGCTGTTGTCGTATAACTTTATCTCACAGTCGGTCGTTTTAACTTTAGCTCGTGAATGGAGAAAAAAAGTAAGTAGCTCATTTTAAAAACATGCTGACGATGCATGGTTTCCACGTCATCCCACCAAAAACCGGAGAAATGCGTGAAGCGTGACAAAACCGATGAGCGCCGATCCTCTGCTTAAGGTATCACGTACACCTTCGCTTTTTTCAAACTTTAGATTTTTTTTTTTTTACAATTGAAAAACAAAAGTTTACATTTTTTCAAATTGAATGTAGACTTTTTTTTTAGTGAGAGGTGAAATAAATAGAAAAAGAAATAAAACGGAAAAAGACAAGAGAGAAAGAGGAGAGGAAGAAAGATGGAGATGGTGGTGGGTTTTACCCTTTAATTATTTAGTGTAAGCTTCGTTTTTTATTAATTTTCTTTGTAATATTTTGACCTTAAGAACTGAGAAGACAGTGACAAGGAGAAAAAGAAGAAAAAATAGAAAATAATTCGAGGAAAAAAGTCGGATTTGTTTTTCAATAAATTGGGTAGTTTAAAGGAAGTGAAGAGCGGTTTTGGTGGTGGTGGTCGAGAAAAGAGAGCGCTTTTTCTCTGCGATCAGATTTTCTCAGAGGTAGAAAACCTTTTCTCCTTTTTTTTTTATCTTTGATTACTAAGAAAATTATGATGAGAAAATCTGAGAAAACGATGAACCTGAATGAAAATTTGGGAGTTCCGTTTATGGATTGATTAGTCACTGAATTTTAGTTTGGCTTGCATAATTGTCCGTACATGATGTTTATTTTACTTTGTTTTTCGGTTTCTCAGGTTGTTTGTTTTTAATTGATTTGTTGATACGAAAATGAGTTAACAAAAGGGCATAGTTGTGTTCCCATGATTAGTTTTCGATGTTGCAAAAATGGTTAATTAAGGATCTGTTAGTGTTTATTTTTGGTTCTGTTTGTTTAAAGTTGGAAACTTTGTATCCCAACTAACGAACTCTTTCGTCTCTCCTCTCTCTAAGTTTTAATTAATCGTTTCTGCAGTTTTAAAATTCTGTTTTTCATGTATATGTTTATGTATACCTTAATTCAGAAGCAAAGATTCATCGTTGGTTTTGGCTCTGGATTTCAAAATATTTCTTCTTCAATCTTTGCAGTGAAATTTATCCAGCGGGAAAGTTTTGTTTTTTGCTTTTGCCATGGGAGACGATGAGCTGTCTCACATCAAATTCTCTCCTCTGCTAGAATCATCAGCATGCAATGATCTATCCGGATTCAAGTCTCTAGTTGAAGAAGAGGGTCTCGAGAGCATTGACCGGTCTGGTTTGTGGTATGGGAGGAGAATAGGATCAAAAGAGATGGGTTTTGAGGAGAGGACGCCTCTTATGGTTGCTGCGTTGTTTGGAAGCAAAGAGATCGTTGATTACATCATCAGTACTGGTCTTGTAGATGTGAACCGCTCTTGTGGCTCTGATGGTGCCACAGCGCTTCACTGTGCGGTCTCTGGCTTGTCTGCGAATAGCCTTGAAGTCGTTAGTCTTCTGCTGAACGGCTCTGCTGATCCGGATTCTTGTGATGCTTATGGTAACAAGCCTGTAGATATGATTTTCCCTTGTTTGAGTCCGGTTTTTAGCTCGAGGAAGAAGGTTTTGGAGCGTTTGTTGAAAGGAAGTAATGATTTGAATGAAGTGGAAGGGCAAGAAGAAGAAGAAGAGGAAGTAGAAGAGAGATCGGTTTCAGTTTCGCCTCCTCGGGGCTCTGAGAGGAAGGAGTATCCGGTTGATCCGACGCTTCCTGACATCAAGAACGGTGTCTATGGGACGGATGAGTTTAGGATGTATGCGTTCAAGATCAAGCCATGCTCTAGAGCGTACTCGCACGATTGGACTGAGTGCCCGTTTGTTCATCCTGGTGAGAACGCGAGGAGGCGTGATCCGAGGAAGTATCATTACAGCTGTGTCCCTTGTCCTGAGTTCCGTAAAGGGTCTTGCTCCAGAGGCGATTCTTGCGAGTATGCACACGGTATCTTCGAGTGCTGGCTTCACCCTGCTCAGTACCGGACCCGTCTCTGCAAGGACGAGACGAATTGCTCGAGAAGAGTTTGCTTCTTTGCCCACAAACCCGAGGAGCTGCGTCCCTTGTACCCTTCAACTGGTTCTGGTGTTCCTTCCCCACGGTCTTCCTTCTCGTCTTGCAACTCCTCTGCTTTTGACATGGGACCTATCAGCCCACTTCCTCCTCTGAGTCCTAACGGCGTATCAACCACACCTCCTTTAAGTCCTAATGGCGTTTCCTCTCCTATGAATGGCGGGAAAACGTGGATGAACTGGCCTAGCATTACCCCTCCTGCATTGCAGCTTCCAGGGAGCAGATTGAAATCTGCCTTGAACGCAAGAGAAATCGATTTCTCTGAAGAGATTCAGAGTCTTCCTTCTCCAACGATATGGAACAACAACAACACGCCTGTATCAGCTGCTTCATCTCCGTTCTCTGGAAAGGGCATGAACAGGCTTGCAGGAGGTGGAATGAGCCCGGTTAATGGCCTCAGCGATATGTTCGGTGCAGATGATAATACGTCCGGTTTGCAGATCCGACGCAGCGTTATTAACCCGCAGCTGCATCCCAACAGTCTTTCTTCATCTCCCGTGGGAGTGAATTCTCCGTTCTCGATGGATTCCTCCACAGTCTTGGCTTCAAGAGCAGCTGCGTTTGCTAAACAACGAAGCCAGAGCTTCATAGAACGCAGCAATGGACTGAATCACAGTCCTGCAATCCCTTCCATGACTACAACTTGTCTAAACGATTGGGGCTCATTGGACGGAAAACTTGACTGGAGCGTCCATGGAGACGAGCTACAGAAGCTCAGGAAATCTACTTCTTTCCGTCTGAGAGCAGGCGGCATTGAATCAAGACTGCCCATTGAAGGAACAGGGCTCGAGGAACCAGACGTTTCTTGGGTGGAGCCGCTGGTTAAAGAGCCAGCGGAGACAAGACTAGCTCCTGTTTGGATGGAGCAATCATTCATGGAGACAGAACAGACCGTGGCTTAGATCAAAAGTTTTGGACTTCGTTCACCGTTGCACAAGAAGCAGAGAAAGAGGATGGAAAAAATTACGAGGTCGTTGCTAATCTATTACATTTTATTTTTTCAATGTTTGTTTTTTTTCTTTAGAATAAAAAGAAAAAGAAAAATTCTTGGGGATAAAAGAGAGTTTGTTTGTATCTCTCGTCTCCAAGGAAAAACAGAGGTGAAGAGGTTTCAACACCAAAAGAAACCTTAAATCACCTCACTTCCTTGATTCTTTACTATTCACAATGAGTAATCAATTATTATTTTTCTTTCTTGACAATCACTCTGTTCTGTTATTGAGCTGTTTTCCCTCATGTTGTTACTTTCCCTAACCGAACCAATCATAAACGGTATTTTATTTGGTTTAATGGAGCCCAGAACCGGATCAAAACCGGTATGAGCTAAGCAGAGGAGTCCAAAGACTTGAAAATATGTTTAGTAGGTAATATAATTGGAAGACAGAAAAATTCTTTACATTTCTGAAGTTAGGGAAAGTGTTGTAACTGTTTCTTCTAGGAGTTGATCTAAGATATTTGAGACTATATCTTCGCTTATGATTCCTTCTAAATCTTCGAGCTTTGAACCTTTTCTGTAAACCCAATTCGACCCTTCAAGCTCAGATACAGTGAGTCTGCAAATCATGAGCCACATCTCTTGGTAGCCATGAAGTCGGATTTCTGACTCTCTTGATATGTTGGTCAGTGCGATGTGATCTTCTTGAATTGTTTCATTACTTTTACTAGATTCGAGCTCCGAAGATAAACGTCTTCTTGAAGTGTTCTCTGTTACAAGGGAACAAAATATGCTTGAACACAAGAAAAGAACCCAAGTGCGTAAGATTATCTCAATTTTGAAATTTGAATAATCACCAACCTTGTTCTGGAGTTACTCGACCAGCGAACCGATCATAATCAAGAACCGAAACAGGGCTCGAATCATTGCAGCTTCCACACTCTTCTTCCTCCTTCATTGATCTCACTTCACAATTGACTAAATCTCCATCTCTGGACCAAGGGCCATAGCTCTTGATCCAATTCTTCTTCTCGACGTTCTCAGTGATGTTCTGTCTCAACTTAAGTTCTCTTCTTTTTCTTCTGTTCTTACGATTCTCCTTTCTACGCTGCTTCAATTCTCCCATCTCAAGCATCTCGCTTCCTGGTGAAACGTTCATGGCGTTGATGTTGTTCTCTTTACCCTCTATACGTGTTTGATTCTCTGTTTCGCTTTGATTCTCTTTTGTTCCTCGTCTCTTCTTACATTTTCTTGTCCCCAGCTGCTTCAATTCTCCAAAACCCTCCTCATTTCTATCCTTCTCGAAGCTGAGAATGAAGAAATTATCATCTTCAAGCTCAACATACTCCTGAAGCTTGTGCGAATCCAAAGTGGACTTAACTCTTCTATGCTTTCCCTGAATCTCATCGTTGTCCCTCTCCAAATAATCAACAGAATTCACCGAACGGCTCCTTGAGACGACTCTGGTTTTGTCATCTACCGGAATTGAGTCCAAGCCCATGAGCCTCGCCACAGCTCCTCTGGCTCTGAGTGGTTCGGAGCCGAAATCAGGAGACTTGAAACCCGGTTCAGTGATTTGATCAGATGGGTATGTAGAAGAAGTGCCGGAACAGAGAAATCTTTGAAGAATCAGAGAGAAACAGCCGAAAGGATGAGTCTTTGAGCTGAGTGAGAGCGAAGAAGACGATGACTTCATCTTCATGGTCTTTGCCTATTGTGTCAGTGTCTCGAAACTAACGGAGAAGTAACGCAGAAAGAAAATTACTTTTCTCTTTACTTTTTTCGGTTAAGTGATGGGGAGCAACAAAAAGTGTGAACAAAACAGAGCGGGATCTAGGATTTGAACTACTTAAGTTATTTCAGTCCAAACAAAAAACAAAAAAGAAAACACAGTCAGCTCCTTTTGTTTTCACTTTTTGTGATATTAAGAGCAACAGAGAACAGTAGAGATACTGTGTATTGCACGCGCTTTGACAAGTCAATTCCCCGGAGAACTTCATGTCGTCCGGTGCCGCTTTTGTGTAACAACCTCTGTCACTTTTTTCTTTTTTTTTGATTATTTTTTACAGCCTAATCGAGATAAATTGTAAGATTGGGTACTAAATTGTCAATTTAAAAAATTTTGTGCCTAACTTCATGAAAAAATAAAAATGTAAACCGTTTTATGTACTTTCATTTGATTTGAGTCCAGTCGGGGTGCAAATGTAATCAAATATAAATATGGGGTAGTTAAGCGAAATTGTATAAAGTCAAAGCGTCAGCAATGGATAGGATAGTGATATTCCAGCATCCAAACAAAGGTTATACATATATATGTTATTTCTCTTGTTCTTCTTCTATCGGCTTTTACACTTCTTCCCTCGTTCTCTCTTCTGACTCTGATCAACGAAGATTTATATTCTACCATGGACAAGGCACAGTTGATCTTGTTGGGATTACCGATATTCTTGTTTTGTTCGGATCTCTTCAACCTTTTCACTCCTCCGCCTCCGAAACCTCAGCATCACCGTCCACACCAGCCACCGCATATCCCGCACCACCAGCGTCCGGCTGTGTTCATCCCTGAAACCTTAGATTTTCCTTCACAGGTAAAATTTCTTGTATTTCACATCGATTCACTCCGGTTTAATCTATCTCTCAGTTATCGCTTTTTTACCTTCCTCTTTTGCAGAAGCCAAACAGCTTTGGATCAATTGGATATGGTAACACCGTAGAGATCAACTTCTGCGTCTCCTGTTCTTTCAAGTAATTTTGGATTTCTTCCTTTGAATTGCCTGGATTTGCGATCGGATTTGGGGAATTCAATTTGATACGATCATTGCTTTCTTATTTGGTTTTTTGTTTCAATGTTACTTCTTGTAATTTAGTTTCGGGTTTGTAGTAAGTATTCTAATGTAGTCAGAAAACCTTTTACGCAAGCTTCTAAGTGAGGTTCTGGAAGAAAAATCAGGCCTAGTTATAGTCAGATAGTTGAACATCCTACTTAATCTGTCAGCAAGTCATTGCCTTTTAGGCAGTTTCAGTGTCTTCAAGAAGTAAGTCATTGGATGTATGTTAAAAGCTGATACCTTTAGAACTTCTCCGTAAAAGGCATAATTATAGCTTTTGACAGTGTGTGACTGGTGTTTCTGCAAGTTTTAAAAGCTTGTTCTCGCCAATTCTGTTTTATTTGTAGGGGAACTGCAGTGACCATGAAGAAGATGTTAGAGACGGCTTTTCCCGGTTTAGATGTGATTCTCGCAAACTACCCGACACCAGCACCAAAGCGCCTTCTAGCTAAGGTTGTGCCGGTTGCTCAGATGGGAGTTATTGGTATGATAGTTGCAGGTGATCGTATCTTTCCCTTGATTGGAATTACGCAGCCACCTGCTTGGTTCAACTCCTTGAGGGCCAATAGATTTGGATCCATGGCTTCCACTTGGCTTATCGGAAACTTTCTGCAGTCTTACCTTCAAAGCTCAGGCGCCTTTGAAGTTCACTGCAACGGGGAACTGGTTAGTATTTATTAACTCACTATCAACGTTCCAAAATGATTTACAGGTATATTAAGAACTGAAGATCAGTCACAGTAACTTCTACGATTCGGTACTTGTATACAGGTTTTCTCTAAATTGAAAGAAGGTAGATTCCCGGGAGAGATCGAGCTGCGAGATCTCATCAGTAAGACTTTAACAAGACCTAGCATCGTCGCAGGTAGCTACTGAAGTAGTATCATCAGAAGCTTTCGATATGAAAGGTATAGAAAAAGGTGGAACCTTTCGTGAAGTTCCTCAAGTATTGAAGAAGGTTTCGACTTCATCTGCCAAAAGTATCTTAATGTTTTAATTAACATCATGTTCACCAGTCCCGGTTTTGTCAGTTGATGTAGCACATACCTTGTTCACTTGGTTTAACTAGTTCTACTCTTTGATTCAAATTGGAAAATAAAGGTATGAAATCATAGCCCATCTTCAAGAAAAAAGAAATTACCTGGAAATGACTGAGAAATATGATCATATCAATATACAGATTGGAGAAAGTTGTTGAAACTGAGAATTTCATTTTATCTCAGACAAACAGAACATTTAAACAAGAGGAGTGCTTCCCTTCAGGGTAAGTATCTAAACTTAAGTCATCCTCTGCCGAGGCTGTGTTGGCCGGAGGTTGCCGGAGGAACGCCGGGATTATGTTTTGGATTTGCAGAGGGGTCACCGTAATCCTCGACGTTCACCATCAACGACCTTCTTTCTATTTCAATCTTCCCCATCCCTACTAAAAAAAACAAACGAAATCAATCAGAAATCCAACATGAGATTTCGATCGAAACAAGAAAACAAAAAAGAGAAGAAGAAATCCGAACCTGAAATGGAAACAAAGTTACGGGCTGAAGATGTAATTGTAAGCGTCAACACGATACACACAACAAGACGAACTACAAAATTCATCTCTCTTCTCTCTCTCTTTGTCTGATAAAATTAGAAAAAAAAAGAAAGCTTTTAAGTAATCTTAAAAATCTTCTGTTACAGATTCGTGTCGTGCCCGCCCTATATATTTACAAAGAAACGACAACTGAGTGTTTTGTTGTGTTTATCCAAACTAATTTACTTCTCAAATCTCAATCAATATATAATATAAATATATAATTGAGAAGGGAAAAACCAAAAAAAAAGTATGCGGATATGGAAAAAGGTCAGAGGAGACCAAGAAAATGAGGACACGTGTCATGGGAAATGCGGGAGTGGAGAGATGACGTGTGCAAAGCGTGGTGCCACGTATGCCACATCATCGCCAAGCAAGTGGAATTGTGGAAGGCAGAGCATAAGAGATAGGGACTGTCACTGTGTATTTTGTGGTTCGTCAACGCTTATTAATGAATTTACGATAATATCCTTCTCCCACCCCCAACCCTTTTTGTTGACTTTCTTGCCCATATATATAATATACTCCTTTATGGCCCGGTTTACTACTTACTACAGACCTCTCAAGCCGGTCATACCCGTCCAGTCTGACCCGTCACACGATGTGGTTTAAAACTTTTTTTGGATTTGTGACCAAATGGACTAAAATAGTATATGCATGTGTCTATTCCCCTTAATCTTGCAGGTTATTCTGGCCTTCTGGGTAGATGATAGTTTATTAGATAAGATATAAAACAAAGCTAACTAACCAACAGTTAGTAGGAAAAAGTATAAATGGATCTTCTTAATATATAACCATTGAATCTTGGACCTTAATCCAAACTGATCCCCAAAAGCATTCAATATTTTTGCTGCTTACTGTATTTACAGTGATTGATCATGATTGATATTGTAGTCGAATGACTCCAACCATATCTAGTCTCTTAACTTTATGAATTTTTCAGCTAGTAAAATACCATACATTGGTTTAAAGTACAAAAAAAAAAAAATTCAATATTCTCTATTTCTTTTTATTTTTTGCTCTAGGGATTTAATTTAGATTTTGTTGTAGATATAACGTTAAACGCCGCAATATTGAAATCCGAATCGCAGCTTACACTCACGAAAAGAAACTAACAAACATTTTTTACCAAACAAAAAAAAAGAAATAATGCATTCTCGTGCATACCACAATTGACTAAACCTGAAACGGATCATATTCGTGTATGTTTATGTATTATGATGGATTCGTTGTGACTTCCACAACAGAACCAACAGCTCATCACATTAGAACGAATTTCAACAGAATTCTTTTTTAAAAAGTCGATTGGGGATTCTTGGTATAAATTTGTTTCTAATTCATTTTATAAGCTTCTAACCGAGCTCCAGATTAAACTAATAGGAAATGAGAACCAAAAACAACTGTTGTATGGGTGTCAATATAAGTTCTTCTGATTTTCATTTAAGACCATACAAAAAGAAAACAAAGTTTTGATTCATTTAGAAAGTATATAGAAAAGAGTATTGGAATTTTACGAGATGGACCGACAGCTATGAAGATATGGTACACGTATCCATCTAGCATGCATAATAGTCTCTTTGTTTAGACAGAATCTAGCTATGCCTTATTTGTGTTACAAATGTAAATCCGTGACAAGCGACATTTAATTGTCTTCATATTATTAGGAAATATAGACCGAAATTTTCACATCAGACATAATAACTTAGTAAAAAAGGACAAATTATTTATAATTAATTAATCATAAGCAAAATACAACTGTCATTAATACCAATACAATTGTTTATAAGTAATTTATTGAAATTCAGTGAAAGAAAAAAAAAGATAGATAAAGAAGATCTAAAGAGAGGAAGAGAGCCTAAGACTTTCATCGGCGGAGCGATGAGCATCAGTGACTCATATCCACCGGCTTTCCGGCGTGTAATCAACGACGGAGATCCTCCAGCTACGCCAGAGATCGAACCGGTTCTTGTCGGGGACAAGGATATCCCTATACCGGTTATCGATTTGGAGCGTTTGGACAAGGAGATACTAACAGAGGCATGCAAAGAGTGGGGAATATTCCGTCTGGAGAATCACGGAGTACCGTTGGCGTTGACGTCAAAGCTTCAGGAGATCTCGGAATCGTTGCTGAGTCTGCCGTTTGAGAACAAACGAGAATTGTTCACCGCCGTTAAGTCTCCGTTATCGTATTTCTGGGGAACACCCGCTCTAAATCGTTTGGGAGATGCACTTAAGAGAGGAACTCAAGCTTCGAACGTGAACATGGTCGAAGGTTTCAACGTCCCTCTCTCTTCTCTCTCGAAGCTTCCAGCTTCTACTTCTTGTGATGATGATGATGATGATGCTCAACATTCAAGACTAGAGTCTTTCAGGTAATTAATACACGATGTCGTTTTCTTTTTCCTCAGATACTGGTTAATAAATTATTAATGTTTTTTCTACTTAATTAATTAATCAATTAGTCAACATTTATAGTGCTCAGTAATTGAAATTTAGCTAGCTAATGTACATATGTCCTATAAGTCTATTATCTATAGTCTTATATAACAAACCATATAATAATCTTTCAATGAACGTGGTCATATTAAATTTCGAGATGTGTATATGATATTAAAATCATATTTATTGAAGTCCACCAAAAACCAGTCATTATCTCTTGTAGTTATGGTATGTGTGGGGGTGTAGACTGTAGAGTTGACGACGAACAGTACGTGTCACGTGCATGGCGTTTTGATTGACGAGATGTTTACTTTTTTTTGTTTGCGTAATATGCTTTTCTAAAAGAAATTAATTTAAATCCGGGTTAGTGCTCCTATTATGAGACGTTTACTGAAAATTAACCACTTCATTATAGTTTTTGGCCACTGTATTCTACTAAACTCAAACAGTGGTTTTCTTAACATTTTACCCCCAACAAAAAAAAAAAAAAATTGGCAGCATTTGAAAATGCCTAAAATGGTAAACCGTAGCGGCTTGGTAGTATCATTCTAAATAGATATGATTGAATCCAACACCTTTATTTCATTTTGAAAAAAAAATGCCACGTTGTATATGCACGTAGTTTTCCACGTAGTCTTGATTTCAGCATTCCAATCTTGTTGTAACGCCTGTGAACCATTGCGCTAAATGTTAATACAGCTTGTTAATATTTGCGGATCCACCATTATTTCTAATTCATTGGTATTCTTAATGCTTCCGTGCTGTGACTTGTGAGCGTGCAGAGTGTTGATGGAGGAATATGGAAGGCACATAACAAGAATTGCCGTAACCTTATTTCATGCTATAGCACAAACTCTGAACCTAGAATTATCCGGTGACCGGAGATCAGAATACTTATCGGAGTCCACAGGGCTCATAAGGGTTTACCGGTATCCCTCCAGCTCCTCTGGTGAGACAGCCGGAGAAGCTCTGGGGATGGAAGTCCACACGGATAGTTCGGTGATCTCAGTATTAAAAGAAGATGAAACTGGAGGGCTTGAGATCATGAAAGGTGAAGAATGGTTCCGTGTAGAACCTGTTGCTAATACTCTCATCGTCAGTCTCGGAGATATGATGCAGGTAAACTAAACGTATTCTTGAGTTTGGTCGACTCTATATATATATAATCATTTGATCGATGTATATATATATTACAAAAAATCATATACAATCAGGTGATAAGCGACGATGCGTACAAGAGTGTGAAGCATAGAGTGAAGAAGAAGGATATAAAGAGAGACAGATACTCGGTGTGTTATTTTGTGTTCCCACAAAGAGATTGCGTGATAAAGTCATCAAAATATAAGCCATTCACTTACTCAGAGTTTGAAGCTCAAGTTCAGGCGGATATTCAGTCCATTGGGACCAAGATTGGCCTTCCTAGATTCACACCCTAATTAAATCTCCACTCTTTCTCTGATCGTGTCGGAAAATTTAGTATCCAATGGTAACAAATACATAGTACTGGTATATTCTAAAATACTAGCTAGTATATTCTAAAATTGTTTTATGGCATACTGAAGTCATTGCTTTAGTGATAATTGCCATAATGAAGCAATTTTGCTTTAGTGTGATTTAGCATAATGCAATATTGCTTTAGTGTGAATTGCAATAATGAAAGCAATTTTGTGTTAGTGGTTAGTGGACCACATCAACTGCTTAAAACAAATTTTATTCTCTTTATCAGCTACTTGAAGTTTGAACAAACTGTCGATGATACTAAAATCATTAACTTTTTTTATATAGCATGCTGATCTTAATCAAATACATTTTCCTCTTATTATCATGTGGCTTAATACGACCAGCTAATGTGTACCGACACTTAACTTAATGACACGAGTGTCGGTACACATTAACATCATCAAAAGAAAACGACTAACGAGGTTCCAAGACAAACCGGACGAGCAGTCTCACGTGCTTGAAAACCTCTCCGGCACGATCGTGGAGATGGACAGCACGAATCCCTGGCCTGAGCTCCGACAAGGGAAGGCACGTCTGCCCGGCGAAATCGTTCTGAGTGTTACTGTCGTAGTCTTTGACTGTGATACAAAGAAGCGCTAACTCAGGAACACGCAACGGGAACTCGAACTCTTTGTCCCAAACCGGAAACCATTCGTCCGTATCTGTTTCTGTTCTGTAACTTTTTGTGTCTAAAGGTATCCCTGCGATTCCGATCTGAAAGAAAATAAACAACAACAATAGGTAAGTCAGGTGACTTGATAGGCAAGAAACATAATTAGGGCTCTTGAGAAACGAAACTTATTTAGTTATTTTATTAGCTGCTTGCCTTAGCATAGAAATCCGGAGGAGAGTATCGATCAAAGTGATCTTGAGGAAAATCCAGATTCCATCCTTCTCCAGTGTAGATCTTTACCTACTCATACGCCATATACACAAAGCTAATTAGATGGATGCTTTCTTTTACCTCAAGAAACGTAGACAGAGAAGAAACAGAAACAAGGACAAAACCTTAAGAGTTGTCTTGATCGGGAGGTTTTGACTGCAAGGGTCAAAGATTTCACCATTAGGACCATTGGAGAGCATAAAATCAGGCTTTTTCACATAGCCACATCCACCATTGGCTTTAAACATTCCTTGCATCATCCACAAATACTTGTCATGACTCTGCATTTACACAATACCCAAGTAAAATTGGTGTATACACTAATCTTTCCTTTTTCTATTGAAAATCTATGTTTATAGTAGAGAGGAGAGATCTCTTACTTGCATATTGAAAGCAACCATCTGAGCACCATGAATCCATCCAACAAGAGGATCATAGTTTGATGAGTCAAAACGTGTAGTCTTGGGAAAAATTCTAAGAATATTCCGCTGCGTGAACTTTACTAAATCCGGTCCACGAGTTTTAGCCAGAGTCTCAAGCCACTGCTCGCTCATGCTTAGCCGTATGACTCGGTTAGGATCTCCATTCAAGCAGTTCTTTAATCCTCCTTTACGGTTCCCAGCGTGAATCGAGATCAAGTCTCTGTATTCGACCGCTACACTCTCCTCATCTTCATCTTGAATCTCTTCTTCTGCATCTGCAACTTTCTGTCACAACACAAATCTCTCAAGACAACATTAAGAAACACTTATGGTTACTTTAATTACTATGTTTTTTGTTATTCTTACTTTAGATTTAACGGATTCATCTGTTGTAGAACTTTGAGAGATTTGGGTCTGGAGATACTCTTTTGGTGGCTTTGTTGAGATTACAATCTTATTCTTGAGTAGTTCTGGTGAAGGAAAAGACTGTATATGTTCGTCCGTACATCGAAACAATGTTCCTCCAAAAGTCTTACTCACCATCTGTAAACATATTCACCATTAATAAAACTCAGTGTTCTAAACAAGATTCCTATGATTTATCAGAATCTTACCTTAGCGACTTTCTTCTGAAGATTTGGAGGCAAATGGTCTTCTAAAGTAAGCACGACAGGATAATCAGACACCTGAAACGCGTTCTCCTTTACCGCGTTTAGACATTTCTGCAGTTCTTCGGTACTTGTTAACGTCCTGAGATCATCAACAAAACACAATCAAGAAACTGTATATAGAAACTTCTCCAAGAACTGAATTTATTGAGAGGTTCAAGAAACGTTTTAGTAGAAAGATTCAGACCCGCCATGACGAACTTCAGCTTCGTTTCCAGAAGAGTTAGGCCATAAATCAAGCTCGATGACACGAACTCCTCTTCTCAGAGCTTTGACAATCGGCACTACGCTGCTTCTACTGTTGAGTTGATTCCCAGTCAAGTAAGAGTTATGTCCCGTGTACAAGAAGTAATGCGATAAAGGCTGATTCATATCTTGCCAAACCTGAAAAACCAAAATTCAATAGAAAACAGATTCAACTTAACAAGAGATTCTCTCTCTCTCTCTGAAAGTAAAAACAGAGCTTATCTTAAATGTTTACCTCACGGGTCAGAGGCAATGGAGAGTTGAAATCACTGAGCAGATAACGGTAGAACCCTTCAAGATGAAGTCCACGAGGGTGGAAAACGCCGTGGTGTTTGAGCCTGTGGAATATATCCTTCACGTAGTTTGAATCTGCGTGGGTTTCTCCTTGAACTTGGAGCACGAATCTGAGCATCTCATCTGCAGACATCCTGCCGTCTTGGGAGTACTCGTTGAAGAGTTTCTTGATTTCTTCTGGTGGCTCACTTGATTTCACCTTGAAGTTTCTTACACAGCAGAAACACACTTTGAATGATTCCTTCATGTTTTTTTTTTCTGGTAAAGTTAAGCCAGGTAGAGGGAAAAGAGAAAATAGAGAGATTTTATTTGCTGTTCATGTTTGTGAAACACATGTATTCTTCAAATAAAGTGAGTACTTATCCTGATGTGATGATCTCAAGAAACCTCAATAAATAGTGAGTTGAAAATTTTTCTTATCACAAAATATAAAAAAAAAAAGGAAAAAAAAATTGTAGCAGAGAAATGATCTGTCGGCTGTTTGAATTGAAGTTGGTATTTAAAGCCAAACAGAGCCGTTGACTTAAACAGAACCGTTGACCAAAAGTTTATTAAAACCGTGGTAGAGTCTATTGGCCAATACCTGAGCAACTGGTGGAGATCACACGATATGGTAGTTAGCCGTCACACCATATAAAAAAGATCAAAACTTTATTTATCATTTACTAGCAATTTTTGTTTTTTTTTTGAGCAAACAACAAATCATTGATTATCATGTAAAGAAACAGCTGGGGTATTGACTCAACACTAGAATTTATTTATTTTAATTTTTGACATCTAGTATTTATTACCAGAATATGTAACAAGATACTTTATTGTCAATAGTATTGAATTTATTGTCAATACTGTTGAATTTGTTGTCATATGAAGCAAGATACTCTATTGTCAATACTTTTGAATTTCTTATTAACACTGTTGATGATGTGTTAATTATAGTTCACAGCTCATAACAATGGAAAAGTTTTCGAATTCGTGCTTTTACATGTAATTTGCGATTTTTCATAGTCTTTCTTCTATTAATCACATGGTTTTGATAAAAAGATACAATATTACATGCTTCGAAAAATTAAGTAGTTTTTATAAAACTAGTCAAAAAATTATCTAGGAATGAAGTCGCACTTCATATTAAAACATCACTTAGTAGTTAGTACCATCTCTAACCAATTTGGACATTTTTTTTAGCACCAATATGGTTTCTAGTTCTATTTGTTACTGTGTTATTCTCCATTATTGTTTGTCGACGAATCTATTGCTTTTTGCTGTTGCTGTATTATTAGTTCTAGGGACATTGTTCTCTAAAAAATCATTCACAATTTTTTCTCCTAAAAAAAGATGCTACTCGTTTTGATCCGAAATTTTATAAATTCTATGCGATTTTGGTGCAAAGCACATCGACAAAACCTTTATTTGTGTTTTCTCATTTTTGCCAATTTTAGTAAACAAAGTATCTCGAAGTTAGGATCGTTCGAAGTAGCCCGACGAGAAATTTCTCTTGGAGGATAGAGTAATTGAACGAGTAGTCTCCCTGAGTGCCTGTCGATTTCATTTTCATTTACATTTTCATTTGTATGTTATAATATTCTAATCAAAGCAAGGGAAAGAAACAATCGAGGCGAAAGTAAAAACGTGATATATAAATCTTTATTAAGCGGTAAAGCAATATAAGCTAAGCAAAACTCAACATCACAAATTGGGAGCATTAACATATAAGCTCATATATCTAAAGCTTACTATTGTTTCAATTTTCAAAAAAGATATCCAACGGTCCATAGTTATTTAATTCCTTATATCTTATATTGTTGTTTCATCCATACGTTATTAGTGATAATTAATTTTAATCTGCGGCAAAAGCTTCTCTGCTAAAAACTCTTCCGAGGATAATAAGCAGAAGAAAGAAACTCAGTTTTTAAACAAACTGAAACCGCATGAGAATTGTAACTGCAACTAGTCTCTCGCCTTTGCGATCATACAACGGAACAGAACGTATACCCTGTCTCAGCTCTGCCACAGGCAAACATGTCTGTCCCGAGAAATCGTCCTTCTCTGGCATGTTGTAGTCGTGAACTTCAACTCTGAGCAGCGCGAGCTCCGGTACTGTAAGCTCAAACTCAAACTCCTCGTCCCAGAAAGGCTCCCAAGTGTTTTCTTCTTTCTTTGTTTTCTTCATCACCTTATCTGCTCTTACTCCTGTAATCCCCACCTGGTTTCACACAATATATGCAATCCACATGAAACAGAGACAACCACAGATCAACTATGTCGTAAGAATCTTTCAAGATGTTGCACTTACCCTAGTGTAGAAGTTAGGAGAAGACCAAGTGTTGAAACACGTTGGCTGGAAACCAGAGTCCCATCCTTTTCCCATGTATACTTTCACTTTGAGAGTTGTCTTTACGGGTAATTTCGCTTTTGGGTCAAAGACTTCTTCACCGGGACCTTTGTTTATCATAAAGTCTGGTTTTTTCACATACCCGCATCCACCATTGCCCCTAAACATACCATGCATCATCCAAAGAGCTCTTCCATAGCCCTGCAAATCCAGAAGCCAAAAGATGATGCGTGTGTTGAGATTTTGCTAAATGGTCAAGAAAGGCATTAGAGAAAGAAAAGAACAGCAAACCTGCATGTTGAAAGCAACCATTTGAGCTCCGTACATCCAACCGCTGAATGGCTTGTAGTTGGAGGACGTTACTCGAGTGGCCTTTGGATATATCCTCAACAGATTCTTCTGTGTGAATCTATATTTTGTATAATACATGTTATCAGCTTTGAGAAAGGAAAAAAAAAAAAACTAGCTTTCTTGAATCAGCATGTGATACTCACTTCATTACTTCAGTTCCATACATTTCAGTGGCTTTCTTGAACTTCTGCTCTCTCAAACTCAGCCGTTTAACTCCACCATCATCGATTGTAAGTGCTTCCTTCAATCCATTTTTAGCATTTCCAGAAGGAATTAATATCAGGCGACTGTAGGTGAGGATGCTGGATTCTTGATTAAATCCATCCTCTTCGTTTTTGGCCTCGCTTGTTTCTTCCTCTTCATTTTTGGCTAAGCTTGTCTCTTCAGCCTTTAATAGTCATTGCAAGCAAGGAGAAAAATCAAGATCACACTTGAGAATTTTTAAAACTCCGAAATATTGACCAAAGTACCTTCTCATCGTCTACTTGGTCGGCTGAAATATCTGATGATGCCTTTCCTGATATATCTGACTCAGAATCCTTATCCTTTTTTAAGTTTCCTTTGGGAGGCTTTGTGGATATTACAATTTTGTACTTGAGATCTTCTGGTGAAGGGAACTCTTTTAAACCGCCAGACTCGGGAAAATACATCATATCCATGAATGTCTCCTTCATCATCTGCCGCAATAGATAAAAGGAAAAGAAAAAAAAGGAGCTTTTTCAATAACCTCAAGAAATTCTGAAACTAACACAGCATTGATTCTTTAGGGAGAGCAAGAAAGCACCTCGGCTGCTTTGGCTTGAAGATCTGGTGTCAAATGATCTTCAAGAGTTAAGATCACAGGGTATGCAGATGCAGAAAAGGCATGATCTTTAATAGATCTCAAGCATTTGATCAGTTCCACTGGAGGTGTCCATGCCCTAAAAAGCATCAAACATATTCTCTTTTTTTTCTTTGTCCGACAAACTTTCAACGTAGATATTTCAGAACACAACGACATACCAGCCATGGAGAACAAGTATGTCGTCCTTAGTAGAGTTAGGCCACAGGTCAAGTTCAAGAGCTCGAACACCTCTCTTCAACGCCTTAATGAGAGGGACGTCGCTGCATTCGCTATTGATCTGATTCCCAGTAAGATAAGTATTATGGCTCGTGTAAATGAAATAATGGGACAAGGGAGAGGCCATGTCTTGATGCACCTGAAACAACAAAATCTCAAAGATTGCAATTTTCCATGTAGCAAGAAGAATAAAGACATGAGGGTAGAGAATACCTTACTAACAATTGGCTGATTCAAATCACTTGAGAACAAGAAACTAAAGAAATCATCTATGTTCAGAGTATGCCTCAAGAACTTAGTGATATGATGTCTTGCACTTGTAATTCTTTCTATGATCTTCTCTGCATCTGAAACAAACACTTCGGTCTCTTTCTGCACCTCAGCCAAGAACCGACATAGCTGCTCTGCCGTCATGTAGTTCCTGCCCTCGGTATACTCTACAAACGCCGTCACCACATCCGGAGGTGGAGCTCCTCTGTTCATCCTCAACTTGTCACTGAAACACAAGCCCATTTTGTACCTCCCAAGCTCTCTCTTCATCTCGAGAAAAGGCAAATAAGATACTTTACAATCACACCGATTTTCCTTTCACCAGACAGTACCTATTTTATATTTGTCATCTCCTGGATTCTCTTCAAAAAGTTCCTGCAATTTGGTTAATTAACAACTCCTGCACATTTGGCATGATCTTCAAACTCATCAACCAACTATGAATGGATCTTTTTTTTTTCTTCCACACTTTATTATAATTAAATATTGATATGCCTCTTTTTGCTCAGTGCTCTTAGCTTTGCTCTTCTTTTTCCATATATTCCCAGCCCAGAGACTCATGTTGAAAAACCTCACTTTCCAAAAAACCAGCTTAAACAAATACTATGGTATCTAATTCCAGAAGCATATGATGTAGCTCAAGGAAGCTTCATGGATTCAACGATTGGGCTTCTCAGACTTTTCATTTTTCTTTCTTTCCTTTGACATTTCACGGTAACCAAAACCTCTCAAGTCATTGTTAAACTGCTCCTAAAGTCTTTTAAGAATCTCAAAACATCTGTAAGTTACCAAACTCTCCAAAGATAAAATAGAATCAAGAATCTATATTTCTTCATTTATAAGCATATATGGGTGGTGTGGTCTCTGTCTAGGGATTAGGAATAAATACCTTTAGATTATTAAATGTAAAGCAACATTACAAAAATTGATTAATTAGCATAAAGGGATTCTTATAACAACAAAAGATTCCAGAATATATACTAAATCTCACGTGTTTAGTGCAGAAAACAGAGAGACAAGGACTTAAATAACTATTAATGTAGCTAAAGATACGAAGCTTCTTGATCTATAAGCCCTCATGCGTATAAATGACTATTTTAAGCTATCAAATACCAAATGATCCAGAAAAGGAATAGAGAGATTTAAGTTTTTATCCTAAGAAGAGATATGCTTGTTGATATTATTATAACTTCACAAGCTGAACGAAACTTGAAACTTCATCCCAAGAAACTAGTAACATGTATAAACGATCCATAAAGAATTGGAATGCAAAAGATCTAGATATTTATTTCTCAGGTAAAATTCGATATCTTTTATTCCTCGATGAAGAAGCATAAGACACATAAAACACAACATATCGAATAAAGAAGATAAGATATAAATCTAGATGGATACACGCACCAAAAAATGCCGTCTCAGACAAACTCGAAGCGCATAAGAAGCCGCGTGAAGCCGTATTTCACTCCCTTTCGATTGAAGAGTGGAACAGCGCGTATGCCTTGCCTTAACTCAGACACTGGTAAACAAGTTTGACCTCCAAAATCGTCTTTTTCATTTGCGTCGTACTCATGCACTTCAACACGGAGCAGAGCAAGTTCAGGAACAGTTAACTGGAATGTAAACTCCTCATTCCAAATGGGTGTCCACGTATCATACTTTACTTCTGTCTTCTTCATCGCCTCATCCACAGGTGCTCCAGCAATACCCACCTGTATTAACCAAAATTTCAAATTCCATTCAAGATCAAGATAAGGGGAAACAAAAAAAAAGAAGGAAAAACCAAGATTGGAGTAAACAATACATACTCTCACAAAGAAGTCTGGAGGAGAATAGAGATCAAAGTGAGTTTTGTTGAAGTCCAAATGCCATCCATCTCCCATACAGACTTTCACCTGCCATTGTCAAATGTTAAGCAAGATATGGAGGCATAGGAGATGGAAAAAATGGATGTTCAACTATATAGCATAGCCAACCTTTAGAGTTTTCTTTGGAGGGGAGCTTTCGTTGGGATCAAAAACTTGTCCTGTAGGACCAACATTCATAAGAAAATCTGGCTTCTTGACATAACCACACCCTCCATTCGCTCGAAACATTCCTTGCATCAGCCACAATGCTCTTCCATACCCCTGCATTTACGTTTTTTCAAAAAATATCATCTAGTTTCCTAACAGGTAAAAACCAGGGTGGCGATACAAGAAATGAAGATCTGAGACAAAAACCTGCATGTTGAATGCAATCATTTGAGCTCCACTCATCCAACCGATCTGAGGTTTATAGTTTGAAGAGTTAAACCTTGTGCCTTTGGGATATATCCTCAGAAAGTTCTTCTGGGTGAATCTGCACAATTGTGAGGTTTCACAATAGGTTTTAACTTGAAATATTAGAAGCAACACACTAGCTACGTAGTGCTTGTTTAGGATTTGAAATATTTGTATATACCTAATAACATCTGCACCATAAGATGCTACAGCTTTCTCGAGTAATTGCTCGCTCAGACTAAGCCGCCTAATTTTGTTTGGATCAACTTTTAAACCCATCCGTAAGCCACCCTTTGGCTTCCCGGCATGGATGGCAATAAGGCGCTTGTATTCTGGTGCTTGTTGTAATTGGCATGACGTATCAAAATCACGAGAACCCCTCTCTTCATCATATTGATTGAGATAATTTATACTATTTGAGACCTGAATATCAATCAAATGTGGTATGGATTTGAGAAAATGAAAACATGCACAGCCAAATCAAAGCCCCTTGATGCCAAGATTACAAACCTTGTCAAGATCAGATTGCGTAGAGATAAGATCTGCTGGCTCTTTACCCCATACATCCTCATCTGAATCCTTGCCTTTCTCCCCATTATCTTTCTCTTTCACATCGTTAGCTTCTAAGTACTCCTTTGGAGGTTTTGTTGATATTAGAATCTTTTCCTTCAACTCTTCTGGTGAAGGAAATTCTTTGCAAGTTTCAGAATCATGGTAGTACAGCATATCTCCAAATGTCTGAGTTATCATCTGCAAACAATCACGGTTATTCGTATACACAGATGGACTAATCCTGAGCTTTTCAAGGGGACTAAGACTTGTACAGGATGAGAAGAAGGAACACCTTGGCAACTTTAGATTGAAGTTTAGGCGTGAGATGGTCTTCAAGAGTAATAATAACAGGATACTTTGAACTAGTAAAGGCATTAGCTTTAATGGATTCCAAACATTTCCCCAATTTCACGGCCTTGGTCAAGGTCCTGAAGTTTGAACCCCACCAAAAGTGAGAATTCATGATCATCAAAGTCCAAGAAACACATCCATATTTTGACTAAGCAAAGAAGCCAGACTGAAATATACCTTCCATGCTTAACGCAGACATCATCGTTACCACGTGGCCAGAGATCCAACTCAACCACCCTCACGCCTCGTTTCAGAGCATCTGCAATGGGAAGGTCACTGCAGTTGCTACTGAGCTGATTTCCGGTTAAGTAGGAATTGTGGCCTGTGTATATAAAGTAGTGTGACAGAGGAGCATCCATTTTATGATGGACCTGACAAAATTCGTTTAAACCAACCACAATATCAATCATCACTGAAGAATTGAGAATCTATACGCAGATTCCTGAATCTTTTTAGCTAAAAAGGATCTCCTGAGGTAAGCAACTCCTAGAATAGAAAGTACCATAAATGGTATTTATAAATTTAGACAGGTGAATCAAACATTCAGATTCCAGAGTAAACCAAGAACATTCAGACATTTTCCGGTAAAATCAACAGAGACATTTTCTAAAAGTCGTAACCTTTCTTTGTCAATCTGGTCAAACATCCAAAAATCCGAGACTTTCTATTTGCTCATTTCTCTCGCATTATCCCAGGAACATATAAGAAACAGTTTTGACTCCAGGTTAAAAACAAAAATGCTAACCTGATCGCGAATCGGAGGATTGAGGTCAGTGGAAAACAGGAAATAGTTGAAATCCTCAAGAGTGAGGTTTCGTCTCGTGAACTTTGCAATGTGGTGTTTCCGGCGAAGCACCTCGTCGACGATCCTCTCCGCCTCCTCGAGACTCGACCCTCCTCCTCCTCCTCCTTCTTCCTCCGCCATGAGCTTCTGTAACTGCTCCGGCGACATGTGAGCCTCGCCGTCGGCGTATTTCTCGAAAACATCTCTGACGTCATCGACCGGACCAGGCTCCGTCACCCTGAACTTCCTGGTGAAGATCAGACACATCTTGTAACTTCCCATCTTGCCCTTACTCTGTATATCGTCCTGTTTAGATCCAAGAAGGTGGAAATGTGAAACCTTTTTCTGTTCTACTTAAATACTCGAGATCATTCCTGATTTTAATGTTTTGTTTATTTCGAAAACATTTGGGAGTATTTCCTCGTCAAACCTCTCTCCACGCTCACATCTGAACACAAAAAAACAAAAACAAAAACAAAAACAAAAGATCGAATCTCGTTTTTTCTGTAATAATTTTATAATGATTCTTGTTAGTTCTAAACCCAGAGAAAATTTGAGTTATTTCAAGGAGTAAAACTTTACTTCCGTACAAAAGAAAGAAAGAGTAATAGTGCGATATATCGCCAGGTATTAATTGTTTTTCCCCATAATGAAGAAGATATTTTTTTGTTTTTCTTTCTTGTTTCAGATTTTCTGTGAAGTGTGAACACGGAATAGAGATTTTTTTTTTGAATAACAGATTTCAGATATGTTGAAAACAAGGAAAAAGGCAAAAAAAACAAAAAGTATTGGCTATATGCCTCTATTGGTGGGGCAGATCTAAAGTGTTTTGTTTTGTTCTGCTTTGTCTAAATCTACTTATTTTAGGCACACAAACAAAATAGAAGGAATTCTCTCGCTTTGTTAATAATAGTTAAGTAAAAAACGTAAGGTGTCCATTAATATCTTGTATTTAGGATCTAGCTACAGAAAATATACTGGACGATGAGTGGTAGATATATTAACAATACTTAAATATAAATGAGCTCTTAATGTGAATGGAAACGTGGTTAGGTAAATCATACTGATACTGATGTTGATTAAAACCACTTAATACTAGAATAATCTAAGCTGGATAGGAGTAATGTGACATGCTTGTGGTTTGTTTTTGAGTTTTGACTAAGATTAGAAAGACTTTTAGTAATAAAAAAACATTATTATCCGACCCGGCCTTCTCTTCCACTAGGAAGCCAACTCAAATTTTCGTTTAAATTTTTAGTTTTTAAAGGGTTATCATTTAATCATCAGTAAAAATAAAATTGATTTTTATATACAAAGAACCATAGAGTTAAGACCAACCTTTATGCTATCAGAGTATGAAGCAAGTACCACGTACAATTTAATACCGACGTGCCAAGTGAATAGTAGATATATGGGCCGTAATTAATAATTCAATTACCCATTACTGTTCTCGAAAGATCTGGGGCCCAAGTTGTGCTATCTGGTATCAAGTACAATTGTATACCGACAAGCCACGTGACAAAATCTGATTGGATATCGACGTGGTCTTGTAATGCGCAGGTGGCAAAAGAGGTGGACAAACAAAGGAAAAAAGGGACTCTGGACTCTCTGAACTCTGAAGAGAAACATTTTGTGCACGGTGCGAGAGATGGCGAGCTCAGTGACGCTGCTTCTATGGAGTCTTCTTCTTCTTGGAACCCTAAGCGCTATTCAGGTACGTTTTATGTTTGTGCGCGCCGATTTCTTCTCACTATTTGATCGATTGCAGCAAATATGTTCTATTGAGTTCTTAGATTTTGCACGATCTATCTATCTATCTATATATACCGAATTGAGTGCGATTAGTTATGGTATATTTTGTCTTAGGTTTCATCTTGTGTTTGATGTAACATTTAGTTTCCATCATCTCTCACTCTCGGACGGTTTCAGTAATGTCTCGTAGGATCAGGGAACAGATCCTTATACTTTGATCCAAGAGTTAGTCTAACATTTGATGGTTAGATTACCGACGTAAGAGATTTGGAATAACATGATGTTTTATGAATTTGTCCTTAAGATGCCCCCAAATGTATTGGAATGTTGTAAATGGTATGAAACGGCTGCTATTGATTATATTGATTTCTGGATGTTTGGTTCCACGTTTCAGGCCAAAAAGTCCAAGGAAAATTTGAAAGAGATTACGCACAAGGTTTATTTCGATGTCGAAATTGATGGAAAAGAAGCTGGTATGACCTTGTTCCTGAGTTTATTCTTCTTGTGATGTATGCTGATAATGGCACTTGAGTCTTGTTTTCTGTTGAAAACGTCTCAGACCGATTTATGATTTTTGTTCAGGTCGTATTGTCATGGGTCTATATGGAAAGACAGTCCCCAAAACTGCAGGTACCCTTTGACATGTTTCTTGTCCCGTTAATTCTTGATTGAAAGCTTAGGGTATGTGCGAGAGATATTCATAAGAGGACTTACTTCCTGAAACTTTTTTTTTTGTCTACAGAGAATTTCCGAGCTTTGTGCACAGGTAAGCAAACAACCTATGTCAATGGAATATTTTACAACCTTTTTTCCGCCATCACATCTTAAGCCTAGAAGTTTATCGACCTTTGACATTAAAAGCTTACTTGGACCTTTATGCTCATTTATTCACAGGGGAAAAGGGAATAGGTAAGAAAGGGAAGGCTCTCCATTACAAGGGGTCTTCGTTCCACAGGATCATACCAAGCTTTATGCTTCAAGGAGGCGACTTTACACATGGCAATGGAATGGGAGGAGAATCTATCTATGGTGAGACGTTTGCTGATGAGAACTTCAAACTCAAGCATACTGGTCCAGGTGAGGGCTTCTTCAGTATTCTGTTGTGTACTTGTGTACAACGTCATCGGCCTATATGAGGTTTTGACCTGATCAAATGTTTTTTTTTCTTTTCCCAGGGTTTCTATCAATGGCAAACGCCGGTCAAGATACCAACGGATCACAGTTTTTCATCACAACAGTAACAACAAGCTGGTGAGTACAGTATCAGTCGGACATTCAAATACAGAAATGGATTTTGTTGTTTCCGTCTTTTGATAAGAAAGCTCGGGACTTTATATAGGTTGGATGGGAGGCACGTAGTGTTCGGGAAGGTAGTGACGGGAATGGATGTGGTGTACAAAATCGAAGCTGAGGGAAATCAGAGTGGAACTCCTAAGAGTAAGGTTGTGATTGTGGACAGTGGTGAGCTTCCTCTGTAACTCAACTCTCATGGAGTATTCCCGATCTGAACTTCCATTGATGCGAGGATGACTTCCTTTTGTGTTTAAACAACTCTCTTAGCCATTTATGAAAGATTCTAGCGTTCTGGTTTTTTATTCTGTCTGGTTATAACTCGAGCGACATTTTATAAATAGAACTTATGTCTCGTTCTAATGCACAAATGTCACCGCACAGTGTTCTTCACCGTTGAGCCTACAAGAGTTGTGCGTTATCGTAATGTATCTATAATCCGTACCATATTCTTCATCATATCCCTAGTAAAGCTCGAAACTTTGCGTTCTAATTAGCTTTGTTTGTGTTTCTTTCTTCTCCTCAATATTTTTAGACACTAAGAATCGGAAAAATATACATTCGGTCAGTGTCAGTGAAAGTGTTTCATAGCTCTTAGATAAGGTGAAAAGGAGAACTAAGGAGGCGAATATTTGCTCAACATTTACTAAACACACAGACATCAGATATAGACAAGAAGACATAGTTTTAAGATCTAAAGCTAAAACCTGAGTTTAATTTTAGTTTTAACTTACTCAGTGTCACTCTCTGTGTCTAAGAAACTGAACTCTCTACTACATCCCTCAAGCTTGATCAGCAATGTCCCTCTGTTCTCTTCACAATACTTCACTCCTTCTCTTTCCAGCAGCTTTGTGACCTGAACATCAACAATCATGTTATACCGTAACTGCAATACTAAGTTCTCGGTTTTGTGCACACAATCAATCGGGTCTTATATAATTTGCGTATATTGGTTCTAGACCCTTGGATCCCATTCGGTTTAAAATGTGAAAGGGTGTTGAAGAAACTTACCGATTGTTTCACTTTCGACTTCCCATACCCCTGAGACCCACATCCTGTGATCACTCGTAGTGTCTGAATGGCTGGATCATTTAAGAATGTTAGCAGAAAAAGGAATATCTCCAGTTTAATGAAGAGAAGACGAAGCGGGATGATCTCTTAAAGAAGAAAAGACTTGTAGCTGAGTTTGGTGAGCACACTTACAAGGGACATATGATCCGAGCAAGAGATGCATCTTCAATAGTTTCATTGCTTGTTTAACGTGCTGACCATGCAGATCAATCGTTATCACATTCTCTATGCCCTTGTTTCTGCATAAATATAGATGCAACAATGACTTAGTCCACAACAAAATGGAAGGTGAAAGCGTATCAGCATAACACCTATAATGCCTTAAAACAGCTAACCTCGCGACGAATATATCTTGGCTTGCCCTCTCATCTGCCCGTTGAGCTAATTTAGATGCCGTTCTCCCCTATAAGAACAAGGACACAAGTTTATATCTCACTTCCAAAAAAGTTGTCTTAATAGCATGAAACATAGACCATGAGGTGCACCTTGTCAGAAAGGTAAGCCGCATGAGCCCTCCCTCCTTTCGAATATGCTTCTGCAGCCTTCAGCCAAGTGATAAACGCATTAGTTAGTATTTTTTCCAACGAGTACACCAGTTGCAGAGATATGGAAGCAAGTAAAACTTACTTTTTGATAGTAGGACTTCGTAACATTCCACTGGTCATTTGCACCTTTTCTGAGTTCATAATATCCATCATCCTTCGCTGCAATATGTATGGGTTGATTGGTAACGCAATTTATGAGTAAGAAATATTAATTCAGGAGTTGCAACACAAACAAGCAGTCGAGACCTCAGATGTTTTTGCCAATGACACCATAGCAAAAATTGCCAAGTGTTTCATCGGGTAAACACCATATATAGAAGCTCAAGCCTGCAAACTCAGGGAAAAATGAGCCTGCTATTTGCAGCCAAATACTAAACTCAAGAAAAATAGTAAAATACCAAAAGTATGAGGCTGAGACCCTTCCCCGCTAGAAGAAGAACCATCAATGCCAAGTGACTGCATTTTCTTTGCGACATTCCTCCAACTCATTGTCTTTGGTTCGTGTTTAGGACTCTGGGGAGTGTTGAACAGAGACTCTAACACCTTTTGTGGAAGACCAAGCTCAGAACCTCCTTGACTAGTTGCAAAAGGTTCTGCATAACTCGTGAGAGCTTTTAAGTAATCCCTACCATGAGGAAAAACAGGCCGTGTTTTTAGTTATGGCTTCTTCCGCAGTGTTAAAAGCAACTTATATTAAAAGTTTTGGCTATCTTAGGAGTAAGTTAAATATCATGTGTTCATGAACTGAATCATCCACCATGAAATATTTCGTCTGTTGCTCTTTGCAGAAGATGAAAAGGACTAAATATAAAATGAACAAGGGAAAGTTGCAAAGAACTAGGTATGCTGTAACGAATGTGTGAATAAACTCCGATAATACCAAAACTAGTGAATAGCAATAACCAAACGAAAGCCTAAGAATAATATGGAAGTACCTTTGACTACAGCCTATACCCCAGAAAAGTTCACTTTCCGAAGTATCAGTATCAAATGATGTCTCTGTCAGCTGCTATATAATGTCAGGAGACTGCACAATATTCTATAATAAACAGATCTATGAAAGAAACAAAAAAGTAATCGCTTACAATATCGCTGAATCCTATGCCGGAACATTTACCACTCAATGAATCATCAGTTGATGAAGAAGACATGTCAAGCAAGACATTCAAAGCCTAAGAAGAAAAGAATATTAAGCTTTCAAATAAATGCCGGGCTAGTGTCAGCATATTTCAGGGGCCTTTCCTGTCAATATACCAATACTTCCCCATGTAAGTTTGAAGACAATCTACTTACCATGTCGACATCGTAGCCACATTGACCTGCAAAAAGAGAGAAATTCGTGTCAATATGTCGAACAATCAAGTTTCTCTTCATAACAATGTCACAGCTATTTCCATATCAGATGATCAAGCATTTTGGGCATGTTTTAACCCTTAAACAAAAATAAAGTATGAAGCAACTAAAGAGTAGTACTCCACAAAAATCTTATCCCAGGGAGAAACTAACTGAAGAAGAAGAAGAAGAAATACTCACACAGGACATCTCTAACAACAGCCATGCTAAGCTCGCAATCATCTCCAAGCATTGAGTTTAGGAACTGTTCGGCTTTCTCTCTATCCGCAGCTTTTTTCCCGTTCCTACAGAGCTCTTTAGAGCTTTCGAGCAAAGGAAACTCTTTCTTTACAGGGTTCGGCTTCAAGTAATCCTTCCCAATCACAGAAGACACCATCCCTGTGGCAGCAATAACTCTATTCTGCTTGTTTCCTTTCAACCATCTCTCTCTCGTCAGGTCTTCGCTGCAGCTCGAGCTTGACCCAGCCCCGTACTCAGACGTAGACCCGGTTTCCTGACCCGAAGACCCACTCGTGACCGAGCTCGTAGACGGGTCATCGCCGCTTTCCACCGGATCCGACAAAATCTCGGCGGCTTTGTTCAAATCTCCGCCTGCCTCTTTATAAGCAGCCGTCGCTTCCTCCACGGAAACCGAGCAAAAGGCCTCCATTAACGAACCGATAATTTTTTTTTCAACTTTTTCTGATTCCCTAATTCCTTCAACATCCCTCCTCTCTTCCTCCAAGTCTTTTTTGTTCCCGTCGGACGCTGCTCCGTCACCGGAGGCTGCGACGCAAGTCCTCTTCTTCTTCCTCTTCTGCTGGCTCTTCTGCTTCATTATCGCACGAAAGTAGATGAAATCGAATCAACGCCGTAGAAGTCTCCACAAAAATCAAAAGACTCTCTTCCGATCTGCAGAATAAACCGAATCCCTAATTTCCGACGGAAAATCGTCGGAGAGAGGGAAGAGAAATCTAACCGAAGAAAAATCACGATTCAGAAATCTGTTTGTAGTAGAAGAAGATGCCGACAGAGGATTTTTTTCGTTTTCCAAATTTGATTGGGAATCCGAATCGCCATGTCCTTCACGCGTTGATGTTGACCACGTTCTGCATTCACGCGCGTTTCTCACGCTCACGACCGGTTTGGTTCCTAACTGTACATATTGACCAGTTTAATTTCCCGGTTCAACCGTGAACTAATTTTTGTCATCAACACTAAATAAAATTGATAACGTGCAAATTAGGAAAAAAACCTGATATTTGAATTTTAACTAACCCAAATTGATTTTCTTTTCTGCAAATTGATTTTCTTTTCTGCAATATTTGACCAATCCGGTCGGGAACAAAAGGATATTTGACCAATCCAAAAATTAAAATTGGATTACCAAGTTTGATTTTCTTTGATTTATTTTAACTTTCCTCCATTTTATCCAAAATTTGGATTTAGAAACATTAACATGGGATGATAATCAACCCATCCAAACTTGTTTTCAATTTGACATTTTGATCTCACATGTTAAACCGAAACTTGCTAACAAAACTTCTGCATTTGAAGACGCTGGTCATCGCGTTTATACACTAAATAAATTTTCCAAAAAATCCACCAACGTGTAGAAGCTTACACAACTCAGAAGAGCGTTGTTAGTAATTGAAAAAGGTGATTCAAGATTTGTATTCACAGGAACCAATCATCATCGGTCACATGATAGACCATTGACCAATAACTTTGGTTGAAGTGGAGAGTCCTGAAACCGGGCTGGACTTAGACGCGCATGAAACTCGTCATGATCATTGTTTTGGCTACTTGAGAGATTACATTGCTTCTTCCTTCTCTGCACCTCATCCTTTACTCTCTGCATCACATAGAAAAAAAAAATCACATATGCATAAAAAAAAACAGTGAAAATAACCGATAAAAGTGATAAAATTGATGTTTCTTAGTGCATCACCACCGCTTTTATAAACAAGAACTAACAAATCATCAAGCTTGACACATTATCATATACACTATTGGTTCAATGTTCGTTCTATTGTCTTTTGAATCTACACTTGTAACAACAGTTCTAATCGGCATCGTCATCTCTCATATCGCGCAATTCAATAAACTAAGACAAAACCGAAACGAAATCAAAATCAAAATCGAACCTGAAGCATCGTCAAATCGAACTTGGGCTGACCAATGTGCTCAACAGTAATAGAACCGAAGAGGTTCCCTAACAATGCAGCATCAGGAACATCCAAACCCTCTACAAGACCAACCACCAAACCTCCGAGGAAACTGTCTCCGGCGCCGGTAGGATCCACCTGCTTCGCCAGGAACGGAGGCACCGCCGTTTCATCATCCTTATGATAAATCCTACACCCTTTTTCACCACTAGTCACCACCACACAGCACAATCGCTTCATTTCCTCAACATCCATGAAAAGAGCTTCGTCTGATGAAGCTTTCAAGAATCCGATCCTATGCAAGACATGATGGAACCCACTTTCTTTCAAATTCACGAGCTTTACAGCTCCATCAACAGGATCAAAAACCCTAATCAGAGCTTGAATGTCCACAGCCACTACGTCGCAGATCTCCACCATCTTCTCCAGCGTCTCCGGCAAAATCTCGCCGCCGACGCCAACAGCCATCCCGAAATCGAATCTCGAATCGGGGATATCCGAAGGGAGAATCGGATCACATGCAGAGACCCGTTTCAATACCCGATCGGCGTGACCGATGCCCAGGTCGAAATACGCCTCGAAAACCGTGGTTTCCTTCTCCGGAACCACGATCGGGGCGTGGCTAACCTCGTATCTGAAGTCGTGTCCGACTTTGGAGACCAGATCGCAGGAGACGGAGGAAGAATCTAGGACATTAGAGATGAAGGAGGCGGCGCCGCCGAGGGTTTCGGCCACGACGGCTCCGTTTTGGATAAGAACGTCGTGGCAATAATTCCCGACGATGAGAACTCGGCGATTGGGAATTCTACGCGGAGAGTTGGGCGTTTGCTGCGACGGAGGAGGATTCTGCGTCATTGATGGCGGCTGGAGCAGAGGATCATCGACAAGGTGAGCTTAAGAAGGTACCGAAAGTCGAAAGAAGAATCATATGGGATAATAACTAAGACGAAGAAGAAGATGACCAACTAGAAGAAGGAGTCTACGAGAGATTCGAGAGAAACGGAAAGAGACAAAATCAATGGCTATCAGCTTATACGCGAAGTCTTGAGATTCGTTCCTCTCTATTTTTTCTGATATGTGTCGCGATGAAGATGACGCGCGCCTCATTCAGCTCCATTTTCTCTTGTTTAATTTTTTTTTTTTAAATCTTATATTTTTTTTTAAAAAAATATTCTTATCACGTCCATCTCCAAGTATCAAATTCCTTATTCTGAACCTACATCTCCAAGTTGCGATTACAAACATTGAATGTTTCATTCATTTAATAAAGAGAAACTCTTCTTTTCCAACAAGTTCAAAGTCGAGAAGAATGCACGGCTCCATGAACTTATTTGATGTTCCGGTTATGTTGTTGGGAAGAAATGAATAACTAAACAGAGACGAGAGTCATTTATTTACGAGTAACTAAAAGTCTAAAACAGCTTAAAGACGATTACATGATTGCTAATACGAAATTACGAGTTATACAGACGCGAATCAGGCCGTTTATTTGTGAGCCATGAGACATTCACGTTGTTCACTCAGACATTTTAAGTCAAGATGACTTTGGAGTTTTAGTCACAATAGTAGGAAACAAGAAACAAGAGTGGGACTATATTTAGTCAGAACGAATACCACCCATGAAGCTCCTCGGATCTGGACAATTACCCGTGAACTGAGCTTGAGAAAAGTCAAATCCAGGGTTCTGCAAAAAACCGACAGAGAGAACATTTAAAAGAAAATTGAATCAAAGAGAAGAGAAAAGCATACTTAAAGCTCAATAAAAGGCAAGGATACAAGTAGACCCAAAACAATAAGACAAGCCACCCATGGATCAGACAAATGTGTTCGGTCTAGACATGTTAAAATTTGCTCAATTCAAATCCAAACCGTTAGGAAACAGGTTAGACTAAGAGTGAGCAATCTCAACACCATAGTAAGACAGCCACCACAGCTTAACTATATAACCATCTCTATGCAGACTGTTGATCCATGAACACACGAGATTCACTACTTGAGAGAGATACAAGGAAACAAAATATGAGCGCTTGAACAAGGAAAACAATCAATGAGAATAGACATGAATCATCAAAATCGGATCATCTGTGGCAAAGTAATCATATTTTGATATAGATTCATTCTACCCAGTAGATGGTGCCCAAGATTTTTTTAGAGCTCAATTAGAGAACCAAGCTAGACTTCAACAAGAAAAAAGAAAATACGAAAGCAGAAACCATATGAAAGCAAGAAGACTTTTTTGCATAGCTAACCTCTTCTTGAAACCTCTGCAGCATAAGCCGCTTCTGCTCTAGGTCAGTGGCGTAAGGATCCAACTGACCCTGTCCCAGAATCGGCGATGCCCATGTCTGCCCTTTCTCCCTCTTCTGCAGGGTAATGTGCATTATATCATCCTCTGCAAATCAAACACAATAGTTCAGACTAGCAACCAGTGACAGACTATGATAACTAAAATGTAAAAAAGCTATACAGATGCTGATAATAACCCAAAATACACTGTACATTTTGAAATGAAAAAAAAAAAAGACCAATACTCAAGATCGTTTACACACTTAAATACCCGAGTTCAAAACATGCTGGTTGTACAACATTCCATCACTCATATATTGAAACTTTCAATTCCAAACTATCTCTACTATTTATAACAAAGTCAGCTCACGTTTTCAGGTTCAAATTATCATCACCAGCAATGTAACCAGTTAAAGCAGAGAGTTCATCTAAATCGGAAACTAAACCATCAAATCTTTCTGGGGAAAACATGCGCCGAATACAGACACACAAACAAAATTGGATTACCTAAAGTCCAGAACGAGCAATCCGTCTTCACCGGAGCACTAAGATCGTGCTGGAAATTGAAAAGTTTTAGTCAATTGTGTCGATTTATACCATACCGGATTCTCTCCGATCACTGAGAGACAACGAATCCAAAACGTTGTTGAAAGGTAATAAAAGGACACTGACATTGAGATAAGGAGGGTTGCCTTTGATGCCAACTTCGAGATGTTTCGACTGGATTTTGCAGTGGAAAGCCTTTGGATGAACATTGGGCGGCAGAGTTATGTACAAGTTCACTTCCTCTAGGGTTTGATCCCACTCAAACACCTTTTGCCCTAATGAAAAATATATGGAAATGGAAGAACATTAATCGATTAAATCTCTCCGGTTCGCAGCTAAACATACCAAATTAAAAAAAAAGAAAACTGCTTTAACAAAAACAGAGAGAGAAAAACCGTTATGAATGAAATCATGTCGCTTCTCTGGCGCGAGCTTCTCCGCCATACTTAGGACTTTCGTCTCCGTTCCCGGAGAAATCGAGTTCCGTCGGATCGGAAAATTCAATCAAAGAGATTCTCAAATTGTCGTTTCATCGCTTTCCAGTTGTTTTTATTCCTAGCAGCCTCAATTGTTTGGCAGGCTCACTGGCTACTATGGCCCATTAAGGGCCCGTTTTTTAAATGTTTTTTTTCTGCCAAAACAAATATATTATTGTTTATAAAATGCAGAAACATTCTCAATACAACCGTAAACGCAAATAAAATAAATTAAAATAATTTCGATGAAAAAGTGGAGAATAATCAAATCCTTTTTCGAAAATTTTATATATTTTTATTGGCTATCATCTTGCCATGAAATTCTAAAATGCACTTAGCATTATTTTGATTAATAACATAAAACTAAATATTATTGGTGATGAATCTGAAACTTGTCTTCACCTTGAAATAAAATATTTAAAAATATAGAACCAAAAAAAAAATCAATTTTGTTATTAAATTATTGTTTGTTTGACATTTTGTTTGAACATGTACAAACCTTGAGCAGTATTACCATCTACTTCTCCCAATAATGGAAAAGGCTGGTATTGATAAATTTCTAGCAATTGAAGTACTTCATCGCGGTGGAGGAATCGATGCACAAATTGCGTTATGATATCTGCTATCTTCAGATTTTGATTTTGAGATAAATGTAGATTGAAAAAAATCCATGGAAGAAGAATGCAATTTCTTGGAATGGTTGTCGAACTGAGAAATAACTAAGAACAATAGAACCCTAATTGAGTATTTACATTTATGTATTTTAATCCAGAGAATATTTTTCTATCAATATTCACACATTAGACTATTTTGTGCGTTGATTTGGATACAAACTCATTTAATATATGTTTGAGTATTTAAGTTTATAATATTTTGGAATACTAATATTTTCACATATTTATTGTTTTCTATAGTTTAATAAAATTAGATTAATGATCAAAATCTTATGACCAGTTTTTATACAATTATTTTTTTTTGTTTCTTGTTTTTTAAAACTTACTACAATCTTTGTTTTAGGGTCTATTAGTCTAAATATGATTCTAATGATCGGCTTTTGTGTGGTCTTTTCTTATACTTTTTTGGTATCTAGAGTATGAAATGGAGTAAGAATTAGAATACATCAACCTCGTCTTCTCTTTTGTTTTGCTTTGCCCTGTTTTCTTTTTCTTGATGGAGTGACGAGTGGAAATAGAGAATGAAAAGTTTCACTCTACGTCATCTTGACAGCCAAAACTGATCTGTATTGTTTATGTAGTAAAACTTAAGAAAACAATTTGATACGTAATAATACCTATAAATAACTTGGCTCCAGCCAATCATCTTGTTGTTTGAAGTATGGTCTGCCACTACTTCCATCTTATTATATTTGTGAATACATTTTCTCATATTTCAACAATCTGGTTGACCTACTTACTCATGGTTTTTGGTTTAATGATTTAGCTCAAAAGGATTTGTGGAAAACACACTATCCAATAACTCAATCATCATGAGTAATGTGTGTGTGTTTTTTTTTTGTTTTTTCGTTTAGAGTAGTAATGTGTATGTTGTCCAAACAGAAAAAAAAAAAAAAAAAACCTATTGAAGGATTAATGATCAAATACAACCGTGATATACATTGCTAATCAAGCCTAATCTTCTCAATGAAGCAAACACAAATCACTTGTCTTACAGAGGAATGAGTTTTTCATCTCTCATTACGTCAATCCAATACAATATCGAATCTAGGGTTCTATATTTCCTCTTAAACCCAAACCTATCTACTTTCTCTCTCCTTCCAAGAAGCTTAACTGGACATCTAAACAGAACATCCAAGAAAACCCAATTCGCCAAATCCTCAATCTCTGTTCGAACAAGCTTCTCCTTCACCACAATCTCATCCCATACATGTTTCCTGTCACCCATCACTCTTTCATACCAAAAACCTTCATCAAACATCGTCGTTTCATTAACTTGCACACCAAGTTTCCTCCCAATATCAGCCCAAATCTCCTTCCAAGTAAACCCTACCCCGTTAATCGCGTTAAATGCCTCACCTTTTTCACTTACTCTCCCACTTGTCGCCGCGAAAATATGCTGTTCCGCGACTAGATTCGCATCAGACCCATCAATATAACTCTCTTCCCAGCATTCTCTTGTCCCTCCAAACACAAAAGGAAGATTCAAATACTTGCATATCGCTCCATAAACACAAAGACTTCCCATGAAATTGTACAGAGTTCTTGTAGAGCTTCCCATTAGCAAACCGGGTCGTTGAGCCGACCAAACAACGGAATCACCAGAGATCTTCTCCTTCAGCAAATCCTCCAAAACGTAGTAGAAGTTCCTCCCAGTGCTCTTTCTCGGACACTCCTCGCTGTAATAACACAAACTAGAACCTTCTCCCCGAGACAGAGTCTCTCCGACCAGAGACACGTAATGCTTCATCCCCGTTTGGAGCGAGAAATGCTTTAACCTCTTAGCGTTTGGAAGAATCGCGTCCAAAGCGTTTTTCAGCATCGTCCTGTTCTGGACACAGCACTCGTCGCTGTCCAATGGATACTCGCCAGACCACGTGACCCAGAACACGTGACTCACGATGTCTTGTAATGGAGACAATTTCTTTTTGGTCTCTGATGCGTTAAGCAGATCGCAGGAGATGAAACTGTACATTTTCGTCTTGGAATTGATCTCCGGATTCCGCGCAACGCCGTAGATTCTCCAACTGGATTTCGACGTCAATAGCCTCTTCACGATCTCCCGACCCACGAGCCCTGTGGCGCCAAAGATTAAAGCGACGTTCTCGTCTTCGCTTTCCTCTGTTTTTCTTTTCATCAAGCTGCCATTTTCAGGCCCCATTGTGTTTATTAGAGAGTTCTGGAGTTTAAAGAAGATCGATGGATGTTATATAAAAGATTAACTAGTACTTAAAAAAGAAGTTGTGGGATGATGATTCAACGGGTTATCGTAGAGTTTCAAGACTCGATGCCTACCTGTTTTAAATGCTATGTTAGAATATTCAAGCAAGTTGCTTTAGTCACAGCTACGATTTAGCATAACAAAGCATAGTTTTTTTGTTCATATAAATATATCAAAGTCAACAGTGTTTGGAGTTTCATATTACATTTTTTGTTTTTGTGTCTGGGGGAGAAATTCACTAAAAATGGAGTTAATATTCGATTATTATTCTTGTGGTTAGCGTAAGTACTGTTACTTGCAACATCAGTGTTTATATATATTATTATACAAAAGAAAACAAAAATTATATTAATTATTATTTTGTGGATGGCATAGTTACATATTAGAATTTTAAAATCTACGTGTGCTGATCTCTCACTTCATTGATTTGTACTAGAGAACACTAACTCGCCACGGTGAAGAAATATTATTAGATCCGGGAAAAGATTAACATAACATTCACACTCCACCACAAACATCAATGCCAATGAGAAATGATCCTAGCATTAATAGTGATTAATAGTTATATTACCAACTAATTCTTTCATTAATCAAATAATGGTGATACGATAGATTAAACCGAGTTTATCTGAGATACGAAATGAAATTTGAATGTTTATGGTTAACCGGTGGTTATATGACCGTTTTTTTATCATGTATAAATGGAACAGTTTAACAGAATCCGATTTAATTAAAAAAATATTAAAAATTATGTATATATATATATAATTTGGGGTCTATACCTTTTACAAAAGTATTATATACCATATGTAATATACATTTAATATAAATTTTGATTACAAATACTTTAAGACTGGTCATGGGTTAGTTAGGTGTTACTAGCGATTCTGATTTCATGGCCAGTTGAAGCACGCACGGTAGGCACTAGGCACCGGTCAATAATCGATATATGTAACGTATAGACTAGGTTATGTAACTTATGTCTGTCAGTTTGTGAGCTGAGCAATGCTGCAAGAGTAGAGAGTCATTGATATGGTTCGAACCTAGCAATACCAATACCCGAGAAAACATCTGGTATAGTTATAATAATTATCTATTGGCTTAAAGGGTTATTCGTATATATAATTCTTTAATTCATCATCTTAATTTGTGGTTGTGTAATGTGTTACGTACAAAAGCCACAATTCTTATAGTTTTTAAATGAACCATCGTGTACAGCATTTTGTGCACTAATCGGACGGTCAAGATTGCGAGAGGCAGAATATGGCCGTGGCTGTTACATTGCCGGCCGGAATTTTTTTATAATTATACGCTTAAGACTTCAAGTGGGTCTCTAATGGAGTTTTTATAACAGTCTTACCGGTCAAACGGAATATTAAACGACAAACCTATTCAATGAACTAGTTACACTCGTTATAGTTTTTGTTTTATTTATTTTTATATATATAACCCAAACTCATGTACCAGTACCACAATCCAAACCAATCTGAGATCTAACTGTCACTAGATTTATGCAGTGGCCAAAAACATATAATCATATCTTCAACGAATGAACACAAATTGACCATGAGTATTTAGTTTTGATTGGTAAATATTGTAGAAAAATGTTATCGTAATTCGTAAAATAAGTAAAAACTAAATTGGTAAGTAAAAAAATGGGAACTGGCTGAGTTGCTTTTATAATTAATCTTCCTAATTAAGGAAATGTTATGAACATAATTAAAAATTGTGAAAATTTATGGAATTGTAAGATTAAATTTTTTCTAGGAGAACGAAATGGAAGAACATAAATTACAACATTCTAAAACTTTTTGATTGTCAAAACTAGAATAATTAGATTGTTTTGTTGTTCCGTTTTTTTTGGCAGGGATTAGTCAAAACCTTTGATCACGTATACGTCAATCTTGCTCATGAAACTTATTTCTGTATGAGAAGGTTGAATTATACAGTGACAATAATTATCCCTGGTCTGCGTTGGAGAGATGGGTACAGTGTATCTCTGGTCCCAAAGACATTGAAAAGATAAAAACCACACACTTGGGCTCTGTTCAAAGCTTTAAAATGGACCATGTTTTGTGGTAGACCTACACATTACTCTTCTTTCAAGTTTTTGTCTTCCTCCCTATTCTATGCATTGAATATACTTCTCATCTTAACAAAAAAAAAAAAAGAAATAGACATTTTCAAGAGCATTCAAGTTTTTAAATCTACTTACCTAAGATTTGTTTTTGTTTTTTGTTTGGACGAGTGATGACGCAATTTTATATATATATTAGAGCTCTAATTATCGGTGTTTCCTATATGTGCTTTGAAAATGTCCATGTTCAATCGTAGAGTTTTATAGCAAAACTTCAGTCGAACTTTACCGTCAAAAGAATATATATATATATATGTCAAGCGAACAATTATTTTCTAAAACAATACTCATATTGTCATACAAAAGTGACAAATGTCATTTTAAAGTAAACAAAATGACATGTTTGATATTGTAGCTCATTCTTTAGGTCCATATCGGATTATTCAAAAAAAAAAAAACACTACGATTCAAGATAACAAAATTGTAAAAGCGGAAATCAAAATAGTAAGTAATAGACATATAAATTTGACTTGAAATCCAGGGCCGTGTTTATGTTATAGATCGGCCCGTCAGCCAAAGGCAAAACAGGGCATGCTACTAAAACAGAATATGTACAAGATAACCTACAAAAAGAAAGAGTGAGTTAGTTATACATAAAGGCCATCTTTCTTCATCTTAAGTTTTTGTCTTCCGAGTAGACTTGGTTGTTTTTGCTTGAGACTTGTTGATTTTAATGCTTTTGCCTTTCGAGCTAAACATGTCGTCGTCATCGTCATCTTCATCATCGCTGCAACGCTTTTGTTTCTTTCCTTTCTTCTTACTGTCACCATAACATATCATAATCTTCTTATCCTTCTTCTCCTCAACCATCTCTGTTTTCTCCTGTGGCCGCCAGATGAACAGCGACCTACAAAAACCAAATTTTAAAACCAACTCCACACACCATGAGAAGTCATCGAAAAGTGTTTTCACTAATGGTTACCCTTATATCTATTGGATATAAACTTTCAAACCTTGAACTTCCAGAAGCTAAAACATCATCCCGCGGATGCAACTTGTTGACTGGAGTAATAGTTGTGATGTTTGGATCCATAACCTCTGCAACCAGTTGTCCATTGCTTGAATCAATGAAATCTATTGGGTGAAGAGCAGCTCCGTTGTAGTTTTCACTAATGTAACGACCAACAACAATGAGTGACTCCGAGGTATCCTGCAAATGAGCAAATGACAAATGCTATATAAAAGCGTAACTGATGAGAAAGGAAACCTCATAGATAGAGAGAGAGAGAGAGAGAGAGAGAGAGAGAGAGAGAGAAGTAATAGTATCAAACCTTAGGATCCCATTCAGCTTTGAATGGCGTCAAATGCCTATTGAAATCATGGCTATGAACAATCTCTCGGCTTGGCAAATCCAAGTTCCCAAAGATAGAGTCCCATATTCGAATACGGTTGTCCTGAGACGTCGTGAGGATTTTTGTACCTGATGATGGAGAGAAATAAGCAGAGTTGACTACTCGTTTGTGTGCAAGATCATTAAGAGAAGCTCCAGGTTGTAGTTTACGCATATCCCAGATTCGTGCCTGAAACCGTAACCAAGTGAATCTATTAGTGAACAAGCTCCGTCAACAATCAGCTAATCAAAACTACACTAAGTCAAAAATGGTGTCTAAACAATATCAGACCAGAAAAGCATGATCTTAAGATTCTCTTTGCTAGACTTACAAAATGATCGTTCCCACAACTGAGAAGAAGCTCAGGCTGAACAGGGTTGCAGTCAAGGCCAACAACTTTGCTTCCGTGCTTGTTTCTAAGCTTGTGTATCAGAATTGGCTCACCCATTCCGTTATTAGAACGGTGGTCAATCCTTTTGCACAAAACATCACGAGAAAAAATAAGTCAAGACGTCCATTTAAAAGATATCAAAGACGGCTCGTCTACAGACAGTTTAAGGATAATGAAATCACTTACATGTGAAGAAACCCAAAATTATCACCAGCAAGCACTACACCTTTCTCCGAGTTTATATCCATACCGTACAACATTTTCCAACTACTCGGGCCCTATAAACGAATGATATGTCATATCAGGAGAATGGTGCACAGAAGAAACTTCAGAGAAAAGAGGCGAGAATGTGACCTGCCATCCATCGGGGTTGAGATTCAGCAAAGTTGATGAAGTTCCAGTTTCCAGGTCAGTATAACCAATCGTTCCATCAGAGGATGCAGAATAAACCATGTCATCATTTGTGGGACTAAACCTGAAGTAACGAGAAAAGCAGAGAAATTTAATTCAACTAAAGACACGAGCTTCTGTTTCCAGGTACAGACACCTAAATGCAGAAGTAAAAATCACAACATATCCAATGAGATTGAGAGCCAGAGTAATAAGCTTACCGCATGTTATTCACTTGTACAGAGTGTATGTTTCCGTACACACTCTTCTCATACACTTTAGCAAAATCCCAGACTCCAATTTGCCCTTTCTTTCAGATCGTGAACCATATGACCAGCAGAAACGATAAGAAACGCAATTAGATAATGGAGGCATAACTTTCATATCATATGAATGTTGTTCAATTCTAAAACCTTATCTCCAGAGAGAAGAATGTTGTTCCTTGTTGGATGGAACTCCAAACACGTAACACGTCTACTGTGGTAACGAATAACTGCACAATGCACTTGATCCGGGATCACATATGGTGGTTTAATCTGTATAAACAGAGAAAGAGAAGAGAGGTATACATATACTCCAGTCCAATAAATCTCATCAGGAATCAAATTACAACATCATACAAGCAGTCTTACCGGTGGAATTCTCGATTGGAGTTGACGCTTGAACACAAAGTCTATAGGGTTCTTTGTATTCCTATGAGAAGTTGGGAGTATTCCGTGGTCAGTAACCACTCTATGGGGGCATGACATTGTGGTGTGGCCTTCAATTGGTGGTGCAGTCAAATGCAAAATTATTGAGTAAATCAACATTATGTCCATTCATTACTATTTAGGCATTGAGCAAGTATCGATTAAAAAAAATAGCGCACCAGGCATTTTGCATAAGAAGCAAGGTTTCATAGGACAATCGATATATGTTGCTCCTTTAAATCCAGCTTCATGACCAGGCTGTTTACAGACCTATAAATCCAACATGAACAACAACAAGAACAAAAGGAACAGTATTAAACACTCAAAGAGAAACACCAATATCCTAAGAAACAACGAGGTAAATTACAGGACTTCTAAGTAAATCCACTAGCTTTGATTCCTATGATGAGCACTGTACAGTGTGTGATACTTAGAAACATGTTTTGAAATAGAAATCAAAATCCAAAGTCATTATTTTTGATTCCGTAAAGCCTACCCAGAAGTGAAACCGTAAACCAGATAAAAACTCAACAAACTCAAAAATGAAAGCCGCTAAAAGGTCGCATTAAAAAGTTAGGGTTTCTCCAAGAGACTTACTTTGCAAACTTTCTTAAGCTTAACGGTAATGGGTGCTTTCCCTTTCGCTTTATTCTTCTCCAATTCAATTCTCCCTCCATTTTTGACCGCTTCGTCTTCTTCCTCCAACTCCGACAAAGGGTAATTTTCTTCTTCTTCTTCTTCTTCCTCTTCCTCCGAACTTAACTCGGAATCTGTATCTCTAGCAATGACGATTTCTGGGTCCGTTTTTCTTCTGTTCCTCGTTAAACCCATTTTGGGTAAAAATCTAACGACACGAGTCACACGACCAACGGAAGAGAATACGAATAAAACTGTTTTGTTTCTTTTTGGGTTCGATGACGACGTTTAGCCGGCGCAAATTGAAGCCGGTCAGGTCGGTGAACGGTTAAATTGAATTTACGCTGAAGAAAACACTTCGTTACCCCGTTTTAATGACCATTATACCCCTTGACTTCGGAAATCATGTCCTTACCCATAGGGTACTTTTGGTATTTAAGCATATAGGTGTCGTGGCGGGAGAAGTTGAGTCGTGGCGAATTACAGGCCGGAAGTAAAAAGTAAAAACTCACTTGGCTCACGTGCGAATTCTGAGATGGGCCCTTTGATTCAGATCACAAATGGGCTCTGGACCCAATTTTCATTCATGTCATAAATAAAACTAAACTGATTGCAAAATTTGCATTACATTTATTAGCTTCTATGATTTTTTTAGTTGAACTTCTGGTGAGAATTGTTTGTAAGGCATTTTTTTTTTGTTTTCTTAACGTTGTTGTCAGATTTTGTTTTCTTAAAAATTGGAAAAAATTAGGAGACGTGGACGAATAGGAACTTATATAAACCACACAAAAAGAAGAAAAGAAGAATTGGAGCTTCAGACCAAATTTCATAACGATAAATTTGGTTTTGTTTTGTGGCGCTCAATTTCGAAAAAAAGCATAATCGCCTTGAACAGAGACAAAACACGACGTCGTTTTCAATCCCTCACCAGAACCATCTATGGAGGCCGTTGGTTTCATCGTCTCCGCTTTTATACAATGCCTTCTTCTTCTTACCAACCCACAAACCCTTGAGAGTAAGAATCGATTAAGATGCTATCCTTGCGCGTCCCTGCTCCTACATCCCTCTATTTCCGGCGGTTTAACGCCGGAGCTTTAGAGCGGCGGTTAGGTAGAGATTGCTTTCTCTCTTTCTCGCCGGGTTTAGTGGAGAATCGTAGAGGAATCGGATTCGGAGTCGGAGTCAGATCCGAAAAATCGGAGACGACGCCGTTTACGGCAGCGGAGGAAGAAACTTTGCCGGAGGGGCTCCAGCCGGAGCTGATGCCGAAACACGTGGCGGTTATAATGGACGGAAACGGAAGATGGGCGAAGAACAGAGGTCTTCAACCTTGGGATGGTCACAGAGCCGGCGTTGAAGCTTTAAGAGAGATCGTTGAGCTTTGTGGTAGATGGGGAATTCAAGTTCTCACAGTTTTCGCCTTCTCTACTGATAATTGGATTAGACCAAAAGTAAGATCCTTTATCTCAAAATCACAGCTTGATTTTAGTTCTTTGATTACTGATGGTGTTTCTCTGTACAGATCGAGATTGATTTCTTGTTGAATTTATTCGAGAGAACGCTCAAATCAGAGCTTGAGACCTTAGCCAAGTAAGTATGGTTTTTAATCAAAGAATTTTTTTGTTTTTTTTTTTTGTGGTATATACAAATTATGTCTCAAAAGCTAATCTCTTTTTTTTGTGTAGGAACAATGTTCGGATATCGATCATTGGAGACTCATCGAAACTTCCAGAATCTCTTCTGAAAGTCATAAACGAAGTGGAGGAAGTCACAAAGAACAACACAAGGCTTCAGCTAATCGTAGCCGTTGGTTACAGTGGGAAATACGATGTTCTACAAGCGTGTAGAGGCATCGCGCAGAGAGTGAAAGATGGTGAGATCGGAGTTGAGGAGATAGACGAGAGACTGATCGAGCAAGAACTCGAGACCAACTGCACCGAGTTTCCTTACCCGGATCTATTGATAAGGACTAGCGGTGAGCTGAGAGTGAGTAACTTCTTGTTGTGGCAATTAGCTTACACGGAGCTCTTCTTTGCTCAAGAGCTTTGGCCTGATTTCGGTAGGAGCGGTTTCATCGAAGCCTTGATGTCGTTTCAGCAGAGGCAGCGACGCTTTGGTGGTCGAAAGTCTTGAGCTTTCTTTTGTTTACAACATATACAAATTGGTATAAATAAGAAACTGTATATGATCATTTGTAGCTATATATGGATGTTTTAGACCTCAAGAATTAGGTTCTTGAGATACCGCAGTTTCTTGTTTACTAATAACTGATACATGCATACGAGTCAAGAAACAAGATTTATATGAGTGAGTTTCTCAAAGAAACGTGGATTAGCCGAGAAAAAGTCACAACAATGCAACCATCTCTGAAACTAGGTCAAGTAACTTGACAGAAAAGCCTTGATGAACAGAACATGAGAATCAAATGTGGATCAAACCCTGCAACCAAAACGTCTTTCCCTGCGCTGATACGATGTAAGGGCCTCTAGAAGCGAATCCTTGTTGAAATCTGGCCAGAGGACTGGCGAGAAGAAGAGCTCGGTATAAGCGAGTTGCCACAAGAAGAAGTTACTAATCCTCTGTTCTCCACTAGTCCTAATCATTAGATCAGGGCTTGGGAACTCGGTACAATTCGTCAGAAGCTCTCTATCGATCAATGCCTCGTCTACATCTTCCTCTCGGATCAACCCTTTTTCTGATTTCTTCACGATACTCTTGCAAGCGCGTACCATGTCGAATCTCCCGCTGTAATCTATTGCCAAGATGAGATGCCTATTCTTGTAGCTTTTCGTTGCTTCCTCTATCTCGTGGATTGTTTGGAGAAGAGATTCTGGGATCTTCGTTAGATTCCCGATCACAGAAACGCGAGTTTCCTCTCTGAAACAACAAGATCTTGAGTTTATCAACAACAACAAAATAAAACAAGATTTTGGTGATTATATGAGCGATCAATACCTTTGGAAATATTGGATCTTGGAGCTGAGGTAGTGTTGGATCAAAGACATTAAGCCCTTAACCTCAATCTTGATAATATCCAAAAAAATTGTTAAGAGTCAATAATTGTATGAGATTGTAACCTATAATGACTTTTAAATTTCATACCTTGTGTCTTCCCCAATTCTCTGTGGAGAAAGCAAAAGCTGAGACAGTATGAATCCCTAGTTTAAAACAGAGCTCAGTGAACTCTATAAGCCGTTTAGCTCCGGCCTCATGGCCTTGTGCAGTCATCAATCCGGCCTGTTTGGCCCATCTCCGGTTTCCGTCCATTATCACCGCCACGTGCCTCGGCATCAGCTCTCTCCGAAGCCCTGTAGGTTGCTCCTCCTCTCCGACCACATAGATTCCCTCGTCACTACTTAAACACAAAAACCTAAACTAAGTCATAAACATTTAGCATGATATATAGATTTTAACCTAAAGCATCAATTTTCTTTATATTTCATTTTCTGGTGTGTCATCTTTTAAACAAAACAAAGAAGAGACAGAACAAAACAGAGTAAAACTTTGCTATTCTTGTTATATTTTTATTCTACTAAGCAAAAAACAAGTAGGCATTTTACCCCCAAAAAAACACAAGTTAGCATTGGCCACTCTGTTTTTCTTTGCCTTTTAGATGAAATAGAGAAAGTAGAACGATGAATCTCTCTGTCGTTAGTAGATGATTATCATTCAATGAATATTTCGATGTAATTGTGCACTGAATTTCATCAGATGTACATATAAATGAAAAAAATAAATGATGAGAGAAAATCTTGAAAACTTTTCAACTGGACTATGATCCAACTAATAAGTCTTGTAGCAAATAATAAAATTAATATACGATATTTATTTAGTAAACTATTTTGGTTCAGTCTTATGATTATTCCCTCTTAGTCTCGCCGAGCCGGAGAACAGTTGTTGATAAATACCCTTTTGGGACATAAATCTTTCCTCCTAAGAATTTCTAACTAACGACACCGATCCTTTTCTTCACTAGCTTACCACACACTCATGCACACTTGTAAATTTAAATCTTATGAATATTGTCTCCTTATAATAACACATAGTGGTTTACTATTGCACTCGAGTTTTTTTTTTTCTTTCTGAGAAAGAGTTAGTTCTCGGACATAGCTGGTTATGCAAAAGTTATAGGACGGTTGTAGATTTCATGACTAATATTAGCTTTAAAATTTGAGTTAAGAGACTAATACAGAGGCATAACTACTAAAAGTATGATTAGAAAAAGAAAACTACCGTTTCTCGTTGTGATCATCGTCCTGACAAGCTGGGGGTTTGATGAATCTGAGGATCTTTAGCACAGGAAGAGGGAAGCATATATTGCTTGTAATGAAAAAACAAGGGATGAGAAATAGAGGAAAGAGGAGAGAAAAAGGAGAAGAGAGAAGAGACAACATTGTTTTTTTTTTTTTTTGAACAATGAGAGAGACAAGATATTGTTCGACTATTGAAGCTTTCTCTAATTATAAAGAATTCGAAGATAGTTCTCTCTACTACACTAAGACAAGTCAGTCATACGTATTAACCTCATACGTGGAGAAACTTGAAAATTATTTTGATTGTTTAATCACTTAAAAAGATCTAATTTTGTTTTCTTTTGTCGGCAGGATATGAGATCTATATTTTATATCGTCTGCGACTCATAAATTTCCTGTTAATACTACTCCTAATCCTAATACATCAGTGTGGTACCACTTACCAGTCCCTCCCAAGAGTATTGATGATGTAATCGAACTCAGTCTGGTAAAATTCAAAAAAATAATGATATTATTTTATAATTGGTTAATTGTTGAACTAACACCACTATTTTTTTTGGGATTTTGTAACTTACGTTTAACATAACACCCACAAAGTGTTGTTTTATTTTATTAGTAATGCTGCATAACAACATAGATTTTTTTTTTTTCAGAAGGCCACTTAACAATTTAACTTTATATTTAAACACCTCCCAATTAAAATTTTTACCTACTTTTTGACTTTTTCCCCCATCCTTCTAGTAATGATTTCTCGTAATATTAAATATGGTACTCAAAACGAGACACAAGTTTGTCAACTTGAACGTGATTTTTATATTAACTAATTTTAATTTTTTTCTAACCTTGATTTTATCTTTTTCCAGCTTCACTAGGCTTTGAGAAACCACGTGATTGGTTTCTTGTACCACAAGTTATCAATTTCAATAACAACTGATGCAGCGTACGTGAAGCAGATAATAACACATGCGACACATAAAATATGGTAATTCATTCGTAGTATGAAATCTTACTAGATATGCGACAATATAATTATTTATGCAACCAAAGCATAGTAGTTTGATAGAAAAAGTCAGATCAGCCGAACATAGGACACACATGAAAACAGAAAAAAAAAAAAGAAAGAAACATAACAGAGGATCAAATGCGGATCAAACCCGGCAGCCAAATCGCCTCCCCGACCTGTTTTTCCGGCCACTATAATCTCTCTGAATTAAGTAGATGATAGCTCAATCAATGAAGTTATTATCAGTTTCATTATAAATTTTGTTATCTACCATTCGAACCTAGTCGACTTCCATCGATCGAGGATGTCAATTGGGCTGGCCACTTAAAACTAAATCTTGAGGCTCAATCGGATCAGGCCTAAAGAAAGGTCACATTTTGTCGTATCATGTAGTCGAACAAAGAATTTCGTACATTGAAGTAATGAAGTTTGTCATATGACCGTCTTTTATTACGTGCAAGTGTAACTGGTGCGTTCAGGCAGATAAGAAAGGTTATCTGATTCTTCTAAAAATATGTATACATTTAATTTGGAATTCCTGATATATTATTTTTTTCTTTTATCAAAAAAAACAAGGGGCTTTTTTTTAACACATCAAATATACTTTTAATAAAAAAAAGTTACCACACACTTCAATAGTTTGAGAAGATTCGAAAATTTGTATAAGTTAATAGTATTAGTTTGTGGTGGAGCCAGAGCTGGTTTCTTAACGTATACAACCAAAATTATTACACAATAATACCATGTTATAGCCTCACCAATCATAAAATCTAAACGTAGACGTTTACATTCACTTTTTACGTTTATATGTTTAAATGATATGGTTTTTAGTTTTGTTAATTGAAATGATATGGTACTACTTACAAGTTACAACATGTTAGATAACTTTTGTTTTTTTTTTGCTGTAAGAAAAAAAGACAACGGTTTATTTAAAATAGTTATTAAAAAAAATTGAAAACCTCCATGTATTATTTGTTTAATAGACAAAAAACCAAAATCAAAATAACATTTTTAATTAGGAAACGTAAAAAATAAACGCAAATATTTAGGTTTGAAACAATTGAACCACTAGTTTTCCGCACATTACTTGAACAATTTTGTGAGATATGAAATTCAAAGTTTTAAATTCGTCGACCAAACCGCCTCTGCCTTTGCTGGTACCAAGTCAAGGCCTCAAGATACTCAGCCTCGCCGAAGTCAGGCCATAGAACATTAGGAAAGTAGAGCTCAGTGTAAGCAGATTGCCATAAGAAGAAGTTACTGATCCTTTGCTCTCCGCTCGTTCTGATCATTAGGTCAGGGTTTGGGAACTCACAACACTTTGTCATCAACTCTTTCTCCATCGTCGTCTCGTCAATATCCTCAACTTGAATCAGACCCTTTTTGGCCTTTTCCGCAAGACTTTTGCAAGCTTGTAAGATATCAAATCTTCCACTATAGTCTATCGCTATAATGATTTGCTTCCTTATGTAGCTCTTTGTAGCTTCTTCCGCCTCGCGTATCAAACCTAGAAGCGACTCGGGGATTTTTTCCCGGTTTCCTATAACTGAGATCTTGATTTTATCTCTGAAAAATCAATGAAAATATTGATATGTGTATCTATAATGCTTCAACAAAAAAATGGACTAAAACAACAAACTAGGTACCTTCGTAAGTTAGGCATCTCATTCTTTAAGTATTTTGCAAACAATGCCATCAAGTAGTTAACTTCATCCTGATCAAAGAAAATTAAAACGGAATCATAACAATAAAAATATAAGAAAAAACCTTGAAACTTTTGTTTTTTTTTTATATATTTTAATAATCACCTCAGGTCTTGCCCAATTTTCAGTGGAGAAAGCAAAGAGTGAGATAGTGTTTATCCCCATAGCGAAACAGTCCTTAGCATTCTCCGCGAGTCTTCTTGCTCCAGCTTCGTGACCTTCGGATGTCCCGAGTCCTCGTTTCTCCGCCCAACGTCTGTTTCCGTCCAATATAACCGCCACATGCTTTGGCATTCTCCCTCGTTTCTCTTTCGCTCCCGTCGCACCACTACAAATTAGTAAGACCATACAATTTTATTTTTGAGACTTTCCATATAACAAGCTGCATATCTTGGCTTCAAATCGTTACACCATACGAAGCTGAAGAAACAAAAACGTGCTAGAAAAGAAAGTGCAACTGTGCACTGTCATTTTATCTACGCTTCGTTTGGTAACCATTTGGAGCCCTAGCTAGTAGAAAGTTATAAACCTACGTGAACACGGCCCGTTTTTCTAATTGACATCCGATATACCCAAACTAATATATATGTAAGTATAATCTGCCATATCGAGGTAGTCCTAATGCTAGATTTCAAGTTTAAGATAGAAAAAAATTAAGATTTCAAGTTTAGATCATATTACACTTCGTAGAGGATTCTTCTAATACAGTTATCAGTCCATGAGACGCGGTTATCAATAAAATTATACACTGATAAGAATTAAGTGTGTCATATATAAGTGATATTAAAAAAGAGAGAGGCGATTTAAGACCTTTCAGTCCATGAGACGCGGTTATCAATAAAATTTCACATCAGACGATATTCATAAGACCTTTCAAATTGCCAAGTAAAAAAAAGAAAATATAATTGAGGAGCTTAATATATTAACAAGTGAAAAATATGATTAACAAAAGCAGCCTACCCTTTCTCGTTCCTCTCTTCCGCATCATCGTAAGCTGCGACTTTGATGAATCTGAGGATATTTTTCGAGGAGAGAGGAACTTTTAGTCGCCGAGAGATGAAGAGACCAGAAATGAGGAAAAGGGCAAGAAAAGTCAAAACAACTGAGAGTAGAGACACCATTGTCTTTTGTCTTTGCTTCAATATGTGTTTAAACTAATGGACTCGTCTATCTAATTTATAAAAGAGCGGGTTTAAAGACGCACATGATCAATGTAACCTTCTCTCTCTCGCACTCGCTCTTTGTCCCTCCATGATGCTACGCAAAGACAGATCATATGTATTTAAGGTTGATACGATCGTACGACACTTGAAGTTTACAATATGGTTTCATCACGTGGTTTCCTTATTAATTTAAGACATATATATATGAGTTCAGATTTCTACATTTAATTAGACCAATATAACTTTTAAATTACATCAACGATGTCTCGTAAAATATTCAAAACTTGGTATCCCAAAAGATGCAAACTGTGGTAATGTAGTATGATCTTAACATTGATTAATGTGGAAGCTAGTCGTATCTGTCTGCATGCATGATGCTAATAGTTTTTTCCTCTTTCCATGTGAACAACCTAGAATTTTGAGCATTGTATCCATGTTATTCAACAACTGAACGACCATGGTGTATTTATTTTAATATAAATTTAATATTATAAATAATAAATTAAAATGAAATTAAGTAGATTCAATCAAATCTACAAGTTTTTTTATAATAGAAAATCTCTAATTTAATTTTTTTTAAAGTTGATTCTTTTATTCGTGAAAATATTTTAAATCGTTGATGACTTAATGAGATCGTATCATATTTCTAAACCAATTTAGGATTTAAATGGCCGGAGCATATTAATAGCAGAACATGCAAAAGTAAACATATTCGAACATGAGACTTACGTACTAATATTTGAGAATTATTTTTCTATTTTTTAATCCTTAGAATACGCAACTCTAGTAAATTGTTATACAATTTATAAATAAAATAAAAACTCTAACATAATGCAAATTGAGCCGTCTGTCGCAATTGTATGGTTTCATTTCATGGTAAAATAGGAAACTTTAAAATCTTCTATTAGATAAGTGGTGATGGAGTGACGGAAAAAAAAAAACACTCAGAGTAACCTTTACCCATGAGTACATTTCAAAAGGAGGGTCGCTTAAAGATTTTGAATACGACATACATGTCGCGTAAATATATAACTATATTTTATTTATTTCGTTTGCATATTATCATATAGTAAAATTCAACTTCCTGTGAGATACAAATATGACAAAAATATGTTTAGTAGTAAATTTTCTATTTAATTTCAATATTGATATTTAATTTGTGTAATTCAAACCTTGAGATATTAATACTAATGATTGTAGACAAGAAATATCAATATTGAAAATGCAAAAACTTTTGCACGATTACCAACCAAATGTTTAGGACAATAACTTCTGATACACGTAAAATTTCTTGATACAAAATTCAAATGTTTACGACTATAACGTCTGATACATGTAAAATGTTTTGATAGAAATTTCTTATATACATGCGTTCCTAGTACGAGAAACAAATGCTTAAAGAAAAAGCTGAGCCCCTCCTCTCCGATTCCAATTCTCGAGTGTAAAATCTTAACATTTAGTTTTCTATTCGTCCTAATCTGATTCAACTTATTAGTGTATAGCCTATTTATTTTTATGGCAGTACAAACTTTAAATATTGCGATGCATATACAATGGAGGATCACTAAGGAGACTGTTAGGAGCTCTTATCCACTTTTCTAATTGTCGACACCTAGCATTTCTCTTTTATTTTACTCTCCCACATCTTTATCTAATTTTCTAATATCTAATTTTCTGTTGATCAGCGTGGTGGGAGAGTTCCGCCTAGATGGCTCCATCTTAACTTATTGGACTTCTGGTAAATAAATAATTTTTGTGACTTAATTTTTTGTAGAAAATAATTTTTATTGTGTGAGCCATAGGTCTAATTGGGTCTGGTTGGCGCATTCTTTGACAAGATAAATTTCTTGGCATGTAGTAGTCTTAAAATATCGGTGAAGTAGATTTTAACATGAATAAATTTAATTTTTGAAGGTGCTTTGTCCCTTTTTATATACGCTAGCTAAGAGTCATCGTGAGTAACCTTACCCAACCCAAGTGATGATGACGGACTAGATAGTTACCGGTTAATTTATGTTGCCATGTACTAAACATCAAGTTGTCTATGTTTTTGTGGAGCCGGGGACAAAAAGATAAAATAAAATAAAAGAATCTTTAACAAAAATAAAATAAAATAAAATGTTTGGTAAAACTTATGCTAAATGACACGTCCAAATTAAATAACTTGAAACTAAACTACACAACGCAAAGTTATATATATAATGCAATAAATACAGACAATTCGCAACATCCTTGTTGCTTTGTTGGCATATTGATAGTATTAAATTGAAATCTCCTGCATCAATCCCTATCCAAGCCTTTTACTTGGTCCAATGTAATACGGACATATGTACAACCTTTGGACCTCAAAACTCATACAAAGCCTAATCTACTACGAACCTTTTTCTAGTCAAGTTGGAGTGGAGACGCCTAATATTTATATATTCTTTCTGAAAAAGATAAATATCTGAATACAGAATTTAATCGACGTTACATTGCATTCTATTTTATATACGTACAATAGAATTCATATTATCTTCCAATCAAGTTTTCTTACATCATTCTCAGCTACGGAAACTTATAATAGCACCACATGTCATTTATTAATTGGAATTGTAACAATTAAAAAAAATTATCTTGTTAAAAAAAACTCACGGCACCCCGTCATATTATCAACAGTTGATGTCTACGTAAACAAATGGTATATTGGTATTTTCTCTAATCCCATTCGTAACCTCTTTTTCGTACTACCTGAAAGCATTTTGGTATCAGCTAATCTAGTTGGGTACTTTTATTTACTAAAAAACACTATATTAAAGTAATTTTCTAACTAAAACTCAACATTTGGTTATTTGATTTGCATAAAAAATTGTGGCATTATTTTTGAATTACCATGTTATCCGGTCAAATTAGTTATATTAATCTCTATGTATAATCCCTAGGATAGCACAACCTTTTTTTATAATCTTTTTACTCAAGGAATACCGGAACTATATATAAAAGATGTTTCAAACAGTGTTCTAACACATTTCTCCATTACCTTTTCATGTTGGTGGTTTTACATCTTTTCAAAATTGTGTTAGTGATAGATAATAATTCAGATCAAGTCAAGCTGATAGTGCGCGAAATACTATTTTACAATAATAAGGTGTATGTCAAAATTATTATCACCAAGTGGCAATCCTCTAATGGAAACTGACGAAAAACGATGGGTACGCCAAAAGCAGGAGATTAATTAACAAACCAAACCTCCCTATTGGATTAAGGGCATAATTGTCAATTCCAAAGGAATTCACGACTTTTCTTGAAAAAGCAACTTCGAGAATCGTAACTGATAGCGCTTAAGAGGTTTTAATCAAGAAAAACCCCGAAAATTACAAAAGTACCACTCCTCCTCTTACTTTCTCTGTCCTGATTTATGTAAATTTTTCTGATCATCGGATTGGTTGAGACATCAAAAAAAAGGAAAACATCGAGATTTTTCCTTTTTGTTTCGCTCTCGTTCGATGCTTTTGAATCATTATTGTTTACTTCTGCGTCCTCTGTTCGTTTGATGGGATTTGTATTCCGGGAGATTCACTTGCCATGGCCAAATTGTCTTTCAAGGATTCCCTCAAAGCTCTAGAAGCCGATATCCAACACGCTAACACACTGTAAAACCCTATTTTCCTTCTTTGATTTTATCGAATTTATCGGCTTTTATGATTCTTATAGAAAGTCTCGATCTTTTTCCTAATCTAGTTGTGTTCTGTCGTTTATGTCAGCGTCCAAGTTGAGTTTTAATCTCTCTCATGTGTCTAACATCTTTTCCCCTTCTTTTTTGATTATTTGTTTGTTTGGTTTGATTTGCATGTAAGATTATATAACTGAAGGGTTTCTTTTTGTTTGAAGTGAAGTCTGTGAGAATTTCTTTAGGCTCTGTAGCTCGATTCTCATGAGTGTGGTTTCGAGTTTATTCTTGTGGTGTTAGAGTTGAGAAATTTGACGCCCTGTGTGACTCGAAATATTATTAAGTACTAGGAGTGATAATTTTGTTTTTTGGTTTTTTTAGTAGAACAAGAAGTATAGTTAATAGCCTCAACTGATTCTTGGGATTCTTGTTCTTGAATAGTTGACTTGAAGCTGAAAATTTCAGTGGCTTCTCTAGCTGAATCAGTAATGTTTTCGAACCGATCAATGTCTGAGCTGGAACAGCTCTTTATCTGTTTGAAATCCGAGGCAAGCAGTCTTTGGCTAGATTAATATGTGGAAGGAGAATGTTTCTGTGATTGCATCAGTGATCTTAATTGAATGTTAAATCTTTACACATATACTTGAACTGATCAATACTCAAACTACATCTTTCTCTGTTTGAAATCTGTTTCATTGTTAGAGGTGCTTATGATCTTTCTTGCGTCTTTTTTGTTTTTTGTGTTGTCTTCCTATAAATGAATAACAGAGCTCTAGATTATCCTCGGGAGAAAGATGGAGCGCGTGTTCAGATGAGATTATCGTACAGCCCGGCTGCTCAGTTTTTTCTTTTTCTTGTACAATGGACTGATTGTCACCTCGCTGGTGCCCTCGGTTTACTCAGAGTTCTTATCTATATGGTACTTTGTTTTTTCACTACATTCACCATACTGTTTCATTGTGATTGTTTGATTAACTTGTTGAGTTATATATTTGGTATTCAGACTTATGCGGATGGAAAAACAACAATGTCGGTTCACGAAAGAAAAGCCAGTATTAGAGAGTTCTACGGTATATGTTTATTTGGCAGTGATGTAATTATCTGATAAACGAGGTTGATTTCGCTTATGCTTATGTTTGTTTGTTGCTGTTTTGGTAATTTTTCTGTAGCTGTAATATTCCCGTCGTTGTTACAACTACAAAGGGGTATTACAGAACTAGAAGACCGGAAACAAAAAGAGGTCTGCAGTATGCGTTACAGAAAGAAAGATGAAACCGAAAAGTCAGAGATTGAGATTGAAAGGGAAGAAGAATGTGGAATCTGTATGGAGATGAACAGCATGGTCGTGCTTCCAAACTGTACTCATTCTTTGTGCCTCAAATGTTATCGAGATTGGTAAGTCGATAAAAAATTGCTTCTTTTGTTTGAGTGTTGAATGTAACCGGTCTGCTGAAAAAGGGTCGTGTTTTTTTTCCTTTCTTTAGGCGAGAGCGGTCACAGTCATGTCCTTTCTGCAGAGACAGTCTTAAAAGAGTAGAATCGGGTGATCTCTGGATGTTCTTGGAAAAAACCGATGCAGTGAATCTCTATGCAATCGTGAGAGAGAACCAGAAACGGTTGTTTGTGTACATTGAGAAGTTACCACTGGTGGTTCCAGACCAAGCGTTTGCGTCTTCTCCATATGATTGCCATGTGAGGTGAAGAATAAAAAATGGCCAAGAACGGTTCTGGTTAATCTTTATATGTATATTGGAGACTTTTTCAATTTGGGAGGGGAAAAGGAGGACTCATTTGTATATTTATTAGAATTAAGTAGAAGTCTAGAAGTAGTAGTTCCGTCTGAATCTTTTTAAACTCTTCTTTTTACCATTTTCTTGGGAAAGTTCCACTTACTTCTTTGCTTTTTGTCTCTGTTTTAAGGAGATGACTACTAATTCACTTTGTTTTGGTCTCTGTCTTAAAGGTGATTATGAGCTAAATGCCCTAAGCACTCCAATTATTAAAAAAATAATTCAGAAAATGAAATAAAACACACTATACCATTTCTTATAAAAATTCAGAAGTTGCAACTTGCAGGTCAGTTGGTCATTGTTCACCTTATGGAGGAACACTATTGTCACGGTTAATACTTTTATGAAAATGATTGATTATTTATTTTAAATTGTCATTGTTATTGCTGAATTTTTTTTATGTATTTTAACTGTTAAATGATTTTAGGTGTACATAAGAGTAGGTGATCAGTAGAAGAAATCAGATGTTAGAAAAAAAAACGTAGGTGATTAATAATTAAAAAAAAAATGTTGGTGACCCGACCCGTCATTAAATTTGGGTCGAGCTTGGATGGATCCGGCCAACATAATCCGACCCGCTCAATTCAGCGCCCTTTTGTTAACGACTTGCGCGTCTCCCGCGAAATTCGTTTCGTTATTGGCAATTGCATCATCTAGGGTTACTCCGATTGAGAGAATTGATTTCAGCATGATGAATCCATTGACATCGGTGAAGCAGATACAGAGCATTAACTCCACAGAATCGGATCTAGGGATCTCTGACGAAGCATCTTGGCACGCCAATTTCAAAGATTCAGCCTACGTTTCCGTCGGAGGCTTACCGTACGATCTCTCGGAGGGTGATCTCCTCGCCGTTTTCGCCCAGTATGGATCTCTTACATTGTGAATTTGGTATACTCGAGGGTGATTCTTATATCTGATGTTAGTTTTGATTGAGCTTGAAGATATGGTGAAGTTGTTGATGTGGATCTTGTTCGAGACAAGGGAAATCAATGGGATTTGCGTTTGTTGCGTATGAAGATCAGAGAAGCACCACTCTTGCTGTTGATAATCTGAATAATGCTAAGGTTTTGGGGTGGATCATAAAAGTGGACCATTGTGGTGGATACAAGAAGATAGAAGAGGAAGATGAAGAGACGAAGCAGAAGAAGAGAGAGGCTCGTGGTGTATGCAGAGCTTTTCAGAGAAAGGAGTGTACTCGTGGAGATTCTTGCAAATTCTCCCACGATGAAAGAGTAAGAGATCACATTCCATCTCAGATATACATTACTTGACTTAAAAAAACATGCTTTCAAGAGATTTCTTCTCATTTGATTTTCCGTTTCTATGGACAGAGAACTGCGAATACCGGTTGGGGTCATGAAGGTGGTAGAAGAAGTTTCAGGTGAGATCAAGTGAAGATCACAATGACATAGAGGATAAGTAGTGATATAGTTCATATTGATATCAAGTGGTAATGCTTTACATGATCAAATGTCTCTGAGTTTTGTTGACCATTAGCTACACAGATGTTTTTTTTGTCTCTGTATATGATAGATCTTATTTTCAGGCTTCTCCTCCTTTACATTTACAGATAAATTAGTACATGAAAGAACATTGTCGATTCGGTTCTAGACAGGAGACCGCTTCTTGAGTTTCTTGGCTATACCTGCAAAGTACTTACCATGGTAATTTGCCTGCTGAATCTCCAGCTCAGTTGGCTCGCGCGACCCATCAGCTGCATAAGTCCCTGAGCCATACGGCGAACCACCTTTCACCTCTTCCATCTCATACATGCCTTTACCAAATGTGTACCCCAACGGTACAAATATCATCCCATGATGAGCCAGTTTTGTCACTGCCGTCAATCTGCAGTTTTAAAAATCAATCTTTTAGACTATATACTCTTCTTCTTACATTACTTAGGACTATTTGTTCTTACGCAGTGAGTTCTTGGCCTCCTCCGTGGAAACCTGTACTCCAGAAGATTCCGGCGGGTTTCCCGGCCAGAGCCTGTGAAGTCCAGAGGTCATATGTGTTGTCAAAGAAGGTCATGAATTGTGACGCCATCACTCCGAACCTAGAAGGAAAACCGAACATGAATCCGTCTGCTTCCGCAAGTTGCTCTGCTCGAATCTCCGCCACATCGTCTGGCCTTGGAGCGGCTTTCACTTTCTCCAGTATCTTCTCAGGTAATGTCTCCGGTATTTGCCAGAGTGTTGCTTCCACGTCTGGAACGGCGTTTGCTCCTCGGAGAACCTCTCTTGCCATTGTCTCAACGTGGCCGTGCAACGAATAGTACCTACCGTCAAAACCAAACCGGTAAGACAACTGGCACAGAATCTCGTTCTGTCTGAGCCAGTATATATAATCTTGACCAGAAAATTGAGCGCCTGTTGATCAACTTGGCACGAATCAATTTTAAGACTCACACTATGTAAATCTTGGTGACAGCCATAGCTTAGGGCTCGAAGCTTCGGGCAAAACCAGGATTCCTGTCCCTGAGACTAAGAACACGAATGTTAAAAAAAATTGAAGATCTGATACTTTTCGATTATTTAAAATCGAAGTTTAGATATCGATGCAAAGACGCTATATATTCCCCTTGACGTCCGAAAATTTGTTTTATCCGAATTTTCCATAAAAAAGTGACATGATTCGATTTCCAAATTAGAATCGGCTCACAAGTTCTAAGAAAGTAACTAACCTCTGTGAAAGAGCAGAAAAGAGAGAAGAGGAAACAGTTTGAGGTTCGGAGTTAGCTTCGGGAATGCTCAGGGAACATATGTCTTCAGGTTTGGTGAAGATGATCGTTTAAGAAACTGCAGATGACATGGCAAGAGTTTGACCGACCATTTTTATTCTATTATTACGGGCTCATCTTCAAGCCCAATAAAAAATGAGAAATGAGTCCTCTTTAGATAGATAGCCAGACAATGATAAACATCTCTTGACAATAAAATTAGTCATAAATATCTATAGTATTAAATATCTGAAATATATGTATATATTTATTTAGTCATTTTTACATATATTTTTAAAGTTATTATTATACAAGATACAACTTACAAAGTGGAAATCTTGTAAAATTTAATGTCCATTAATCAAAGAATATTTATAGGACAAAAAAATTGTAGTTTTTAATAAGAAAATGAATCATGTACTAAATTCTACAAATTTAATAAGAAATTTACATGAAATCCACAAAAATAATTAGAAATAATGCCAAATAGCTTGATATAGTATTCTATTAAAAGAAAATCTAAACTATTGCACTAAATTAAAATTTTAAACATACAATTATACATAAAAAACTAGTATAAAGAAAACCTTTTTTATCATGTTGATCTCCATAATATTTTAAAAAATTCTGTAACCTTTTATAATATTCGTAAGAGAATGGAAAAATTACGAGCGACTTCATTTTGTCTTCTCTCATGTGTACTTGTCTTGTTCTTGAGTTCATCAATCTCAGCAGTCACTCATGAACGTCAAGATAAACAAGTATGTTATTACAATTAAAAAGTTTTTTTTTTTTGAACCTTATATTACAATTAAAAAATTTCAATTTTTTTGTGTTTCTCCCTATGATGATCCATAATACATGATAATGAATTAATGATGCATGATAATCAAGGTATATGTTGTCTACATGGGTTCACTTCCGTCTCGACCGGAATACACACCAATGACGCATCACCTAAGTATTCTTCAAGAAGTCACCGGAGAAAGGTGTGATTTAATCAATTCCTTCTCTAATTATGATAACTAATAATTAATTTATATATTACTATGGATCGGTTCTAACAACTTATATATTCATATGTAATACTTTAGTTCGGTGGAAGGTCGTTTGGTGAGAAGTTACAAGAAGAGTTTCAACGGGTTCGCGGCGCAGCTCACTAAGTCAGAGCGAGAACGAGTAGCCAGTGAGTGTTTATCGAAACCAAACTAATATGTACCAACACTCTGGAATGATATGGTTGTTCTTGATCAAGAGTTAAATAACTTTTGTGATTGAATACAAAATTTTAATTTGTTGTTAGAAATGGAGGGAGTTGTTTCTGTGTTCCCCAACAAAAACTACAAACAACAAACGACGGAGTCTTGGGATTTCATGGGGCTAAAGGAAGGATTAAATACAAAACGAAATTTGGCCGTAGAGAGTGATACTATCATTGGAGTCTTCGACGGTGGGATTTGGCCAGAATCGGAGAGCTTTTCTGACAAAGGCTTTGGTCCTCCTCCTAAGAAATGGAAAGGTGTTTGTTCCGGCGGCGCAAATTTCACATGCAACAAGTAATGCTCTCTTTATTTATGTTTTAGAAGGTTATCTTATGGTTTTTGACTTTTTAGATGATTTTGGGAGAATTTTAAAAGGTTCAATATGATTGGTAGTTAAATGATATTAAATCTCACTTAGAAAACTCCTACAAGACCCTTGAACATATTTTAGAAAATGTATAAAATGTTCCCAATATCAATGTTTTTCCAAATCACAAGTTCCGTAACATTGGACTTTTATATTTTTTTACATATATTCTTACTAACAACACCATAATTCAAATTCATGGTTGAATAATCTGAGATTTATTTTTCAACACAAGTCATTTCAAATGTTTGATTAAACACCTGTAATACCCAATTGTTAGTCAAAGTTATATATAGACCAATCCGATAACTAATCTCTTGGTTGCTAAACATTATTAGTATTGATTTGGGCCAGAGAATATTGATAATGTTTACAATGTTTCAGCAAGTTGATCGGAGCAAGAGACTACACAAACGAAGGCACTAGGGACATCGATGGCCACGGCACACACGCAGCGTCCACTGCGGCTGGAAACGCAGTCGCGAACACAAGCTTCTTTGGAATCGGCAACGGAACGGCGAGAGGAGGCGTTCCGGCATCTAGAATCGCCGCTTACAAAGTCTGCACCAAGACAGGAGGGTGTAGCGCGGCGTATATACTGTCTGCGTTCGATGACGCAATCGCAGACGGTGTTGACCTCATCAGCACCTCCCTCGGGAGTGGCAGTGGGGCCGTCGTGTACGAGCAAGACTCGTTGGCGATCGGGGCCTTTCACGCTATGGTAAAGGGGATTCTCACTGTTCAGTCAGCTGGTAATTCTGGTCCCGATCCAGGCACAGTCTCGAGTGTCGCACCGTGGATCTTATCCGTTGCAGCCAGCACCACGAACCGTGAGTTTGTCTCTAAAGTCGTTCTTGGAAATGGCCAGACACTTGTCGTGAGTATCAAGAAACATTCTCATTTTTTGTGGTCATAGTAATCTTTCTCCTTTCGTCAATCATTACCAATGACTCTTTTGTTCCTTTAACAGGGGAAATCGGTGAATGCTTTCGATCTGAAAGAGAAAAAGTATCCACTTGTGTACGGAGATTCTGCTGCTAAGTGTAATGATAAATCTCTGGTGAATGGAAAGATTGTGGCTTGCAGTTATGCGATTGGTTCCAATTTAGCTGTTGGATTCGTATTTAGAGATAAAAGTGACCATGCCTCTGTTGGCCCCTGGCCCCTCTCTTCTCTTTCACCAGAAGACTTTAACTCTCTTGTCTCTTACGTTAACTCCACAAAGTAACAATCTTCCATCTGTTTCATATTCTTTATCTTTGATCTAGATTCCTTCAACTTTGTCCTGATATTATATGTTATACTTGTCCTCAGGTCCTCGCAGGCGACTATTCTAAAGAGTGAAGCAATCTTTAACCAGAGAGCTCCAATACTTGCTAAGTTCTCTTCTCGCGGTCCAAACACTATCGCATTTGATATTTTGAAGGTAACATATATATATATATATATATCACATTGCATGGTTCACTTTTGTTCTCTGGTCTGACGGCAGATCATGGTTAATTGAATTTCAGCCTGATATAACAGCACCGGGAGTAGAGATCCTCGCTGCCGACTCACCTTTGGCTTCACCGTCTTCTCAAATGAGCGACACAAGACGTGTGAATTATTCTGTTAGAACTGGAACTTCAATGTCATGTCCACACGTTGCAGGCGTGGCAGCTTACGTCAAGACATTTCATCCTGAATGGTCTCCTTCCATGATCCAATCTGCCATCATGACAACCGGTAAGCATCAATCTTTCAATTTCTTGCGCTGAAAGTAACCTTAGTAGACTATTAGGATCCATGGTTTCCAATTCGAAACTAATTATAGCAATGAATTATATATATATTCTAAAGATTAATTCATGTATTTTATATATTTTGTTCTTATTCGATTTCTTTGCAGCTTGGCCAATGAATGCTACTGGAACTGGTTTGGCATCGACCGAGTTTGCTTATGGAGCTGGCCATGTCGACCCAGTCGCCGCTCTAAATCCTGGTCTTGTCTATGAACTGGAAAAAGCAGACCACATTACCTTTCTCTGCGGCTTGAACTACACTTCGGAAAGGCTTAAAATCATTTCCGGTGAAGCCGTCACTTGCACTGGAAAGACCTTACCTAGAAACCTCAACTATCCTTCAATGTCTGCTAAACTTCCAGGATCAAATAGCTCCTTTACCGTGACTTTCAACAGAACCGTCACCAACCTCGGATCCCCTAACTCAACATACAAATCAGAGATTGTCTTAAATCACGGATCTAAACTCAGCATTAAGGTCTCCCCTAGTGTTCTATCTATGAAGTCAGTGAATGAGAAGCAGTCTTTTGCGGTGACTGTTTCAGGCAGCGATCTCGACCCAAAACTGCCTTCTTCTGCGAATCTGATTTGGTCAGATGGCACACATAACGTGAGAAGCCCCATTGTTGTTTATACTAGTGACTGATGAGGCCACATCCATTCACATCTATCCATCATCATCAATAAACCATCATTGTTGTTGTTATGTTGCTATGTTTTATTTTTGTTAAAAGATGTTCCCTGTCTAGCTATGTTGTATTGGGGATCTTATGTATGCTAATGTCCTATAATTTATAAAAGAGATAATTCAACTGTTGTTCTTCGCTTTATTCACCTGATCGCTAATGCGAAACCATTTTATACATCATTCCGCAAAATGTTATCTGGTTATTATATTCTTATAACACTTACTTCTTTAATATCTAAAACGCAATAGAAATACAGAATAAAAACAGTTGTAATGATTAAAAGTAGGGAAGTATCCTGTTTTTGAATAAGAAAGCTGATGAACAAAAAAAAAGAAATCTGTGGATATGTTTCCTACTATGATACTATACAATACAAATATCTCCATTTGATACAAATATCTTTACAAATATGGTAACGCCAAAATTTATTTTAACTAGCTAATTAAAGAGGCAGAATCAGAGTTCAGTTAGATTTTTTTCTTGACACGGTTCATACATTATTTCTGCTATATAGTATATACATCCTTTCATGTTGATCCATATATATTATAAGAAAACACCTCTGATTCATTTTATAAGAAAATGGCGGAACTACGAACAACTTCACTATGTCTTCTCTCATTTCTCCTTGTCTTGATCATGAGTTCAATCTCAGCAGTCACAGATGATCCACAAGATAAACAAGTATGTAAACTTTTAGTACAATAATTATTATAGAAATCAAAGTTTGCTAAGAACTCAATAACAAAGAATGACTTTCTTTATTAGCTTAAGAAAATAATTCAAAACTTAAGCTCTCAAACTCAAACTCATAAATTATGTCACAACTTTGACATCTCCTTATATAATAACTTATTTCCTTTTCCTAATAGAAACATGATTTCTTTTTTTAGATAACTCCTAACAAATCCTTAGATAACTCCTAAGATATTTCTTATTCTAATAGGAAACATATAAGCTTGCTTCTAGAATGTTAACTTCAAGCTTAAGTCAACATTCTCCCCTTTAAGCTTGAAGTCTTCATCAAGCACACTCTGAACTCCCATGAGATCTCTCATCTCTTTGAACTTGATCCTCCCTAGTGCCTTAGTCAATATGTCTGCCTTTTGCTCATTACTTGGAATGTGTTCGACCTCTACTTGCCCATTTTCAACACATTCTCTTATAAAATGATACCTTGTGTGAATGTGCTTACTTCACCCATGGAAGACTGGATTCCTTGTAAGAGCAATGGCGGACTGATTGTCTATCCGAATGAGAACTTTCTGACTTGATGCACCGGTGATTTCACTGAGCAGATCTTGTAGCCATATTGCTTGTCTTGCAGCTTCTGTGCCAGCCATAAACTCGGCTTCACATGATGATAGAGCTACAGTTTCTTGTTTTTGTGAGCACCAAGAGATCGGACTATCTCCAAGATAGAAGATATGACCGGTTGTGCTTTTGCCATCGTCAGGGTCCACATTGTAGCTACTATCACTAAAACCTGTGAGCCTTGGTGTTTCTGAGTTCGAACGTTTGAAGGTCAATCCAAAAGTAGTTGTTCCTTGTAGATACCTTAGACAGTGCTTCATTGCTGCTCCATGAGACACTTTAGGTCTCTGCATGTATCTACTTAAGACTCCTACACAATAAGCCAAATCTGGTCTTGTGTGAAGTAAGTATCGAAGACATCCCACATTCTTTCGGTAACTTGTGGCGTCGATATCCTTCTCTTCTTCAGACCTTGATAGCTTGAGTCCTGAATCCATTGGCGTATGAGTCATGTTGCAATTTTCCATTCCAGCTTCTTTTAGAATTTTTAGTGCATAACGCCTTTGATTCAATGTTATCCATTCTTTGCTTTGACACACTTCTATCCCAAGGTAGTATGTCAATTTACCAAGATCACTCATTTCAAACTTGGACGCCATCTGTTCCTTGAATTCGTAGATGTTCTCTCTTTTTGTTCCCGTAACAAACAAGTCGTCTACATAGACTGCGACAAGAAGAAGATTTCCATTTATCAATCTTCGATATACCGAGGGTTCCTTGGAGCATTTTACGAACTGGAACTCCTTGAGAACCTGATTCAATTTATGGTTCCAGGCTCTTGGTGCTTGTCTTAACCCATATAAAGCTTTGTTGAGCTTATATACTTTGTCTTCTCTCCCCTTTACTTCGAAACCCTCTGGTTGTGTAACGTAGACAGTTTCTTTTAACTCGCCATGAAGAAACGCTGTTTTAACATCCAGATGATGTATTTCCCAACCATATGATGCTGCTAAGTTGATAAGGAGTCTGATCGTCTCTATTCGTGCAACAGGTGCAAAAACTTCATCAAAGTCGATCCCGTACCTCTGCACATAGCCTTTAGCGACCAAACGCGCTTTGTACTTGTTAATACTTCCATCTGAATTCCTTTTGACCTTAAATACCCATTTTAGGCCAATCGCTTTTGCTCCCTGATGTAAATCGGTGAGATCCCATGTGTGATTCTTTGTAATGGATCGTACCTCATCTTCACACGCGCTTATCCATTCTTTTGACTCCTTTGCTTCAGCAAAATTTCTTGGTTCGTTATTTAAACACAACATGAGCATCTCTCCTTCTTCTTCGCACAACATTATGAAATCTTCAAGATGCTTCGGTTTTGTCCTAGGTCGCGTTGACCTTCTTAGAACAGGTTGAACCTCTTCATTCTCTGTTCCGATCTCATTTGTATCGTACACATCTTCTTCTTCATTATTGTGTTCGAAGTCGTCGTCCTGCCCTGTCTCTGTTCCTTCATGCTCTGTTTCGACAGCCTCATCCTCTGTTTTCTGGATTCCATGATTTCCGAAGCTTCCAAGGCTGATCTTGAAGTCACCTGACTCGTTTTTCTCTGAGTTAGTATGACTCCAATTCCATCCCTTTTCTTCATCGAAAATAACATCTCTACTTACTACCACCTTTCTGGATTTTGGATCAAGTAGTCGGTATGCTTTTGATCCCGGTTCTGTCCCTAGATGAACCAGTATCCTCGATCGATCATCTAGCTTTTTCAGATGCGGTCCTTCTACTTTTGCATATCCGATACATCCGAAGATTCGCAGGTGGCTGATGTTAGGTTTTCTTTCACGAAACATTTCATACGGAGTCTTGTCCTTTAGGGCCCTTGTTGATATCCTGTTGAGAAGATATGTCGAATGCCTCACTGCTTCTCCCCACAGAAAATTCGGAACAGATCTATGTTTCATAATGCTTCTCGTCATCTCCATTAATGTCCTATTACGTCTCTCAACAACTCCATTTTGTTGAGGCGAATATGGAGCTGTAAGGTGGCGTTTTATCCCCGAGTTGTCACAAAACGAGTTGAACTCTATTGATATAAACTCACCACCTCTGTCAGTACGGAAAGTTTGGATCTTTGATCCTGAGTCTTGTTCCACTAAGTTCTTGAATCTCTTGAACTTTTCAAAGGCATCGCTTTTCTCCTTTAATAATATTGTCCACATATACCTGGAATAGTCATCGATTAGGACAAATATATATCTGTTTCCTGCAGCTGTTGATGGTGTTATGGGACCACAAAGGTCACCGTGAACTAACTCGAGAGTCCTGTTTGCTCGAAACAGAGTCGCTTGTGGGAACACATGTCTTGTTTGCTTTCCAAGTAAGCAAGACTCGCAGAGATGTTTTTCGATGGCTATACTTGGGATTCCTGATACCAGCTCCTTCTGTATCATGGTTTTGATTGTGTTGACATTCACATGACCCAGCCTCTCATGCCATCTGCTTGAGCTACTTGCAATTGTCGAATGCAGACACTCGTCATTCTTGAATCCCATGTGCACTTTGTATAACCGGTTTCTTGATATCTTCGCCTTGGCTAGTAATTTTCCATCTCGATCCTGCATTATCAAGTGTTCCCCTTTCATCTTTACTTCACATCCTGATTCGGTAGCTTGTCCAAGACTAATGATATTAGACTTCAGGTTTGGGATGTAATAAACATTAGTCATCTTTCTTGGTTTGCCGTTCCTGTCTGTGAACTCAATCGTTCCTTTCCCTCTAATATCAATCCTGGAATCATCGCCAAACCGTACTTTTCCAGTTACAGAGCTATCAAGTTGTGCAAAGTATCGTCGATCCCCTGTCATGTGGTTGCTAGCTCCATTGTCAAGGTACCACATGTTTTCATTGTTGGTGCTCGTTTCATAGTTACTTAGCACAACCTTTCCTTCATTCAGATACACGATTTCATGCATCATTAGCTTGTCTGCGTCTTGAGTATCTGTGTTGTCATCTTCCTGTGCTTCTTGTAGTTTAAGCAATCGATCTGGACAGTTAGAGGCAAAGTGACCCATCTTGTCACAACGGTAGCAAGTTATTTTGGACATATCTCTCGGTCCAGTGTTTCTTCCCCTTCCTCTTCCTCTGCCATAGAAGCGTCCTCCTCGACCTCTGCTTCTATATTCGCCATTGGAATCATTAGTGGATTGGGTATCTGTATTCGCATACATCAATTTGCTCTGATCTTCTTGAGCATCTTCTTCCTCGTGGATGCGTTCTTCGTATGCTTTCAAACGTCCGATTATATCTTCAAAGCTTGTTGTGTTAAGATCCAACACTTGTTCAAGCGAGGCAACGATATGAATGTATTTCTTGCGAGGGAGGCTGCTAAGGAATTTCTTGACCAACTTCGAATCTTCGATGGTATTTCCTAAGGCAGCTGATTTGGATGAAATTTCTGATAGCTTGCTGCTGAAGTCATCAATTGTCTCAATGTCTTTCATCTTAAGCCGATCAAATTCTGACATTAATGTCTGCAGCCTAGCTTCTTTCACCCGTTCAGCTCCCATGTGTCTTGTTTTAATGGCCTCCCACACCTTCTTTGCAGTATTCAGCTCACCGACTTGTAAAAATAGGGTTTCAGGTATGGATTGAAAAATCAATGCCATGGCTACGTCGTTCTTTTCGATATCTGTTGTCTCGGTTTCTACTATGTCCCAAACCTTGTGAACCCTAAGTAGACTCCTCATTCTTATGCCCCATACCGTATAATTCGTAGAATTCAGCATCGGACATTGAATGGTGGAAGTGCTTGGTTCTTTAGGTCGTGGGTTCGGATTTGGAACAAGATCTCCCATAGTTTGGTATTTCAGAATCTTCGTGATCAAACTTCTTCTCTTAGATCGATCCCTTTAAGCTCTGATACCAATTATAGAAATCAAAGTTTGCTAAGAACTCAATAACAAAGAATGACTCTCTTTATTAGCTTAAGAAAATAACTCAAAACTTAAGCTCTCAAACTCAAACTCAAACTCATAAGTTATGTCACAACTTTGACATCTCCTTATATAATAACTTATTTCCTTTTCCTAATAGAAACATGATTTCCTTTTTTAGATAACTCTTAACAAATCCTTAGATAACTCCTAAGATATTCCTTATTCTAATAGGAAACATATAAGCTTGCTTCTAGAATGTTAACTTCAAGCTTAAGTCAACAATTATCACTCTGTGTTATTATACCTGATGATGATAATAATCTATGAAGGTGTATGTTGTCTACATGGGTGCACTTCCGTCTCGACTGGACAACACACCAATGTCCAATCACATTAGTATTCTTCAAGAAGTCACCGGAGAAAGGTGTGATGTTAATTCATTCTCTAATAATGATTAGTTATAATAATTTTAAATTCTACTGAGTGATATATCAAATATATACTCTAGTTCGATCGAAGGTCGTTTGGTGAGAAGTTACAAAAGGAGCTTCAACGGGTTCGCCGCCCGACTCACTGAGTCAGAACGAGAACGAGTAGTCGGTGAGTGTTTTTTAAAACCGAACTAATCTTTCTTTAACTATACATTGGAATGATATGTTCTTTAATATATAACTAAAGACCTTTTTTGTTGTTTGTTAGAAATGGAGGGAGTTGTTTCTGTATTCCCAAACAAGAACTACAAACTCCAAACGACGGCGTCTTGGGATTTCATGGGGCTAAAGGAAGGAAAAAATACAAAACGAAACTTGGCCGTAGAGAGTGATACTATCATTGGTGTCCTAGACACTGGGATTTGGCCGGAATCGGAGAGCTTCTCCGACAAAGGCTTTGGTCCTCCTCCTAAGAAATGGAAAGGTGTTTGCTCTGGCGGCAAGAACTTCACATGCAACAAGTAATTTTTTAAACTTCTCTCCTACAAGCTTAGTATCGTTTTAGGAAGAGGTTAATGTGTATTTTACAATGTTTCAGCAAGTTGATCGGAGCAAGAGACTACACAAGCGAAGGCACTAGAGACACAGACGGCCACGGTACACACACAGCTTCCACGGCGGCTGGAAACGTAGTTGCGGACACAAGCTTCTTTGGATTGGGTAATGGAACGGCAAGAGGAGGCGTTCCAGCATCTAGAATCGCCGCTTACAAAGTCTGCGACCCGACAGGGTGTACCTCGGATTATATACTGTCTGCTTTCGATGACGCGATCGCAGACGGTGTGGACATCATCAGCATCTCTCTCGGGGTAAATAGTGCGCCTTTGTACGAGCATGACACAGTTGCGATCGGTGCTTTTCACGCTATGGCCAAAGGGATTCTCACTGTGCACGCAGCTGGTAACAGTGGTCCGGAGCCGGCTTCAGTCGTGAGCGTAGCGCCGTGGATCTTAACTGTAGCAGCTAGCACCACGAACCGTGGATTTGTGACTAAAGTTGTGCTCGGAAACGGCAAGACATTTGTCGTAAGCATCAAGTAACACCCTCATTTCAATAGCATCTGCGTCTTTTTAATTACCAAAGACTCTTTTGTTCTTCTTCTTTTAACAGGGAAAATCAGTGAACTCTTTCGATCTAAAAGGAAAGAAGTATCCTCTTGTGTACGGTGGTGAATCTTATAATGAAAGTCTCGTGAAGGGGAAGATAGTGGTTTGCCGTAAAAGGGTTTTCTCAGAAGTAGCTGTTGCATCTGTAATTAGAGACAACATAGATTATTCCTCCCTTAGTGCTTTTCCCATCTCTGCTCTATCACAAGATGACTTTGAGTCTCTTGTCTCTTACGTCAACTCCACAAAGTAACAAACGATCTTCTCTCTGTTTCATAATCTATACATTTTCTCTTGATTTATCCTTCTTTGTCCTAATATCTCTGTGTTTGTTTTCTCAGGTCTCCGCAAGGAACTGTTCTAAAAACTGAGGCAATCTATAATCCGAAAGCTCCTAAAGTTATTTCCTTCTCTTCTCGCGGTCCAAATACCGTCGCTGTTGATCTTCTAAAGGTAACATTGTTATGATCTTGATTGTTTTTTTTCTTCCTTGTCTGAGAGAGCTTGGTGGATCGATTGCAGCCGGATGTAACAGCACCCGGAGTGGAAATCCTCGCTGCTTATTCACCTTTGGCTTCACCATCAGAAGATGTCAGGGACACAAGACATGTGAAGTACTCTGTTCAATCCGGAACTTCAATGTCTTGTCCACACGTTGCAGGCGTGGCTGCGTACGTCAAGAGTTTTCATCCTGAATGGTCTCCTTCCATGATCCAATCTGCCATCATGACAACCGGTAAACAAAATTTCATATCCAGCTTTTTAATTTCTTGTATCACAAGTAACCCTTTTGCTTATAACTCTGATTCTTATACGGCCTCTACATAAATCTTACAGCTTGGCCAATGAATGCTTCTGGAACTGGGGTTGCATCGACCGAGTTTGCTTATGGAGCTGGACATGTGGATCCAGTAGCCGCTCTAAATCCTGGACTTGTCTATGAACTGGACAAAGCAGACCACATCGCCTTTCTCTGCGGCTTGAACTACACTTCCCAAACCCTTAAACTCATTTCCGGTGAAGCCGTCAGTTGCACTGGAAAGAACTTACCAAGAAACCTCAACTATCCTTCAATGTCGGCTAAACTTCCAGGATCTAACAGCTCCTTCACCGTGACTTTCAACAGAACCGTCACCAACCTCGGATCCCCTAACTCAACATACAAATCAAAGATTGTCTTAAATCACGGATCTAAACTCAGCATTAAGGTCTCCCCTAGTGTTCTATCTATGAAGTCAGTGAATGAGAAGCAGTCTTTTGTGGTGACTGTTTCAGGCAGCGATCTCGACCCAAAACTGCCTTCATCTGCAAATCTGGTTTGGTCAGATGGCACACATAACGTGAGAAGCCCCATCGTTGTTTATACTAGTCACTGATGAGGCCATTCACATCTTTCTACCATCATCATCATCATCATCACCGCCGTCATAATAAATCAGCATTGTTGTTATGTCTTCTTCTTTTTTTGTTAAAAGATGTTCCATGTCTAGCTAAGTTGTCTCGGGACCCTATGTATGCTAATGTCTGAGAATATCTAATCTTAATAAGATAATTCAACTGTTTTCTTCGCTATATTAACCTGATTATTGATGCCGACCCATTTAAACTCGAGTGTAATATTCCAAAATTATGTTATATCACTTTTGAGTTTTAGAAAGAGTAAAAGTCTTCTTAAAAGGATTAAAGGCTTTAAAGCTTTTTTATTAATTTAGATTAGATTGATATCATATGTAGAGTAGTATGAAGGGAGTTTAACTGTAGACTAGATGGAAACCAATTTATAACTTTTTGGCTCCGAAAAGCCAAGGTTTATATTTGGTTGATCGCAACCATGAGCAGCTATCCACAATTGTTTGGTGTTATTTTTTTTTATTTTTTTCCATTTATTCTCATATTTGTTTAGAACTTCAATGGTATGTGGTTTATTAACGTTTTTATGTTTCACAATAATAACATGAAATGATTAAAAAATGAAAATTAACGAGTTATTTTCCAATCTATCTAATAAATAGTAGTTTTTTTGGCATTTTAAGTTTATTATGTGTTAAATTTTCTCGTCAAAATTCTGCTATTCAACGAGCATACTAGTCAAGCTCTTGTATTTCAAAAACAGAGAACAAAATCAGTTGTAATTTATATTTTTCCTTAAATGAAATTGGATTCAAAGTAAATGTAACAAAATAAAATCAGAGATATGTTTCCTTAAAATGTAAACACTGTGATAACACTACATAAAAATATAACTGAATATATGATTATACTAGGGTTTCTTTTTTTGTAATGAACAAGAATTATTTTTGGGTCCACATACAATGATACCATTGGATACAAGTATCATCAAATTATAGAGATGATAATACGTTTTTTGTTATTATTACCAAGTAAAGAAACCGAATCAAATGACTTGATTAGGATTTCTTTCTTGACACGTTTTAGGCATGGATACTACTATTTATACATCATATCAAGTTAATCGCCACAGACTTTGTGAAATTACAGTAAACTTTAGTTGATTATATCATAAAAAGATGGCCAACCGAGCAGCTTCCTTTTCTCTCCTCTCATGTATCCTTCACTTGTTATTGAGTTCGGTCTCAGCAGTCACAGATGATTCTCAAGACAAACAAGTATAGTTTTAGTCTATATATAATAATTAGCAAGATATATATTGTTTCTCCCTATTACGTTATATCATACATGATGATGATAATAATCTATGCAGGTATATGTTGTCTACATGGGTTCACTTCCGTCTCGAGCGGACTACACACCAATGTCCAATCACATAAGTATTCTTCAAGAAGTCACCGGAGAAAGGTATGATTCTAGTCATTGATTATACATATAATTAGTTGATGACTTATGAGCATTCTAACAAGTGTTTTATAATATATGTATGTATGTATATACAATAGTTCGATCGAAGGTCGTTTGGTGAGAAGTTACAAGAGGAGTTTTAACGGGTTTGCGGCCCGACTCACTGAGTCAGAACGAGAACGAGTAGCTGGTGAGTGTCGTTCGATCGAGACACTTTTTATGTTGAAATGATTTTAGAGAAAAGTTCCATAATCAAAAACCATAACATGTTTTGCTTAGAAATGGAGGGAGTTGTGTCTGTGTTCCCAAACAAGAAGTTAAAACTCCAAACGACTGCGTCTTGGGACTTCATGGGTTTAAAGGAAGGAAAGAATACGAAGAGGAACCCGACCGTGGAAAGCAATACTATTATTGGAGTCATCGACACTGGAATTTGGCCGGAATCCGAGAGCTTTTCCGACAAAGGCTTTGGTCCTCCTCCTAAGAAATGGAAAGGAGTTTGCTCCGGCGGCCAAAATTTCACATGCAACAAGTAATCCTCTTAGATTAAATTTCTTGTTCTAAAGATTAGTACTGTTTTAGAAAGAGATTGATGTGTGTTTACAATGTTTCAGCAAGTTGATCGGAGCAAGAGACTACACACGCGAAGGCACTAGGGACATCGATGGCCACGGTACACACACTGCGTCCACTGCAGCTGGAAACGCAGTCGCAGGCGCAAGCTTCTTAGGAATCGGCAATGGAACAGCAAGAGGTGGTGTTCCAGCCTCTAGAATTGCAGCTTACAAAGTCTGCTCTGAGACAGAGTGTAGCACGGAAGCTGTACTGTCTGCGTTCGATGACGCAATCGCAGACGGTGTTGATCTCATCAGCATCTCCCTCGGGAGAGACGACAAGGCTCCCAAGTACGAAGAGGATACGGTTGCGATCGGGGCTTTTCACGCTATGGCCAAAGGGATTCTCACTGTGCAATCAGCCGGTAACAACGGTCCTAATCCGAACACAGTTGGGAGTGTAGCCCCATGGATCTTAACCGTTGCAGCCAGCACCACGAACCGTGAGTTTATCACCAAAGTCGTTCTCAGTAATGGCAAAACACTTAACGTGAGTATCAAGTAACAATGTCATTCCTATCATCATAGTATCTTTGTCCCTCTAAATTACCAATGACTCTTTTGTTTTTGCCTTAACAGGGAAAATCAGTGAATACTTTTGATCTGAAAGGAAAGAATTATCCACTTGTGGACGACGAAAATTTTATAGAACCTCAGATGAAGGGAAAGATCTTGGTGAGCGGATATTCATTAGATTCGGAAGTAGCTGTTGCATCCATAATGGTAGACTCTCTAGACTATGCATCCGTTAAGCATAGGCCCTTCTCTGCTCTGTCACAAGATGACTTCGACTATCTCGTCTCTTATATTAACTCCACAAAGTAACAAACGATCTTCTCTCTGTTTCATACTCTTTCCAGGTGCTCTAGATTTATCCTTCTTTGTCCTAATATCTCTGTGTTTGCTTTCTCAGGTCTCCGCAAGGAACTGTTCTAAAAACTGAGGCAATCTTTAGTCAGAAAGCTCCTCGAGTTGTTTCCTTCTCTTCTCGTGGTCCAAACCCCATTGCAGTTGATCTTCTAAAGGTAACATTTTTATGATCTTGATTCTTTTCTTGTTCTTTTTCTTTTTTCTTTTCTGAGAGACAATGGTGGATGGATTGCAGCCAGATGTAACAGCACCAGGAGTAGAGATCCTCGCTGCCTATTCACCTTTGGCTTCACCATCAGAAGATATCAGGGACACAAGACATGTGAAGTACTCTGTTCTGTCCGGAACTTCAATGTCTTGTCCACACGTTGCAGGCGTGGCTGCGTACATCAAGACTTTTCATCCTGAATGGTCTCCTTCCGCTATCCAATCTGCCATCATGACAACCGGTGAACAAAATTTTATATCCAGCTTTTACTTTCTTGTAACCTTTTTGCTGATAACTCTGATTCTTATACGGCCACTTAATAATTCTCGCAGCTTGGCCAATGAATGCATCTGAAACTGAGGTTGCATCGACCGAGTTTGCTTACGGAGCTGGCCATGTCGACCCAATAGCCGCTCTAAATCCTGGACTTGTCTATGAACTGGACAAAGCAGACCACATCGCCTTTCTCTGCGGCTTGAACTACACTTCCCAAACCCTTAAACTCATTTCTGGTGAAGCCGTCACTTGCACCGGAAATACCCTACCAAGAAACCTCAACTATCCTTCAATGTCGGCTAAACTTTCAAGATCTAATAGCTCCTTCACCGTGACTTTCAACAGAACCGTCACAAACCTCGGTACCCCTAACTCAACATACTTATCAAAGATTTTCTTGAATCACGGATCTAAACTAAGTGTTAAGGTATCCCCTAGTGTTCTATCAATGAAGTCTGTGAACGAGAAGCAGTCTTTCACCGTGGCTGTTTCCGGCAACAATCTCGACCCAAAGCTGCCTTTGTCAGCGAATCTGATTTGGTCAGATGGTACACATAACGTGAGAAGTCCCATTGTTGTCTATACTGATGGTAACTAATGAGGCATTATCATTTCACCATAATTGTTGTGAAACGTAATTCTAGATTTGTGTTTAAATCTCCATTAACAGTTATCAAGGAGCTTTTGCATCTATTTGAATTAAACTCAGCCAAATATCCTAGAAGAAAAAATTGAATTCAAGCATTCTCGTCTCAACTATCATCTCAATTCTCAAGGATCCAATTCAAATTTTGATAAAAGCTCCAGAAACAAAAAGCAGAGGAATGTTACCTCAGAGAATTCGATTTTCACTCTCAGATTCCCTGATAAAATCTGCAACGCAATACAATTGATACAGTAAATACACAAAAATCTGCAATGTGAGTTGCAAAAACAGGGAAAAAAAAGGTAACAAAACAGATATAAGAGAAATGAAGTTACCGGCGGGATTTTGAATTTCTCTAAGATTTGGCCCCAAAGAAGCAAGCGACGATGTGAAATACGTCAGACGAGGAAGATGAAGAACTAAAGACGGCGAAAACGGAGATCCTTACAGTCCGGCGTGCCGCGTACTAGAGACGCGTGTCGCGGGTCCATGGTGAGATTTCGACAACGTCGGCACCGGCAATTTTACTTCCCACGCCTTTCTAATCAGCGTTTTGGGTCAGAAATGGGCCTGGGTCCAAAACTATAACTATTAACTGGGCTCTATTTGATTCTATATCAAATTTTTTTTTTTTTTTAGGGGTCAATTTCTATATCAAATGTTCCGAGTTTCAAACAGTCAAGATTTTTACAATTATAAATACCGTGTTGTATTTGATTATGGTCATTAATTAATTTTTACTTATTTTTTATATTGGTTTTCAGCAAGAAAGGTGAAAAATCAAATTGAGTTCAAAATAGATGTGAAAAATTAAAGTTAAACCATAGAGATATGTTTCCTAAAAACGTAAATACAATGATACAAAAAAGAGTTTTGGTCAACATAATACAATGATATCATTTACTAGCATTAGAAATTATGGTATTATAATTACGAAACAGAGTCAAAGAAATTTGATTAAGATTCTTTTTTTTTTCTTGGCATAATTTAGGCATGATTTTAACTATATAAACATTTGATCATGTTGATCTCCATAAAAATTAGGATAGCCTTTGATCATTCATCTAAAAGAAAAAGATGGCGAACCGAGCAGCTTCCTTTTGTTTCCTCTCATGTGTGATTGTCTTGTGCTTGAGTTCAGTGTCAGCAGTCACAGATGATCGTCAAGATAAACAAGTATATATGTTATTATAATTACAGATTATCAAGTTTTTTTTTTGTTTACTCCTATTATGCTATGATGATTAATGATCGATGATGATGATAACGATGATAATATATATTATCCATGAAGGTGTATGTCGTCTACATGGGTTCACTACCGTCTCGAGTGGAATACACACCAATGTCGCATCACATGAGCATTCTTCAAGAGGTCACAGGAGAAAGGTGAAATTTTTATTGATTCATTCTCTAATCATTGACTATTTTACGTTATGAAGGCTCTAACAAGTTACATATACATATGTATATACGCTAGTTCGAACGATGGTCGTTTGGTGAGAAGTTACAAGAGAAGTTTCAACGGGTTCGCGGCCCGACTTACTCCGACAGAACGAGAAAGAATGGCCAGTGAGTGCTCTTATGCGCAATTTTGTTGACATGGTTAGATAATTAATTAAAACCGTTTTATGTTTCTCTTAGAAATCGAAGGAGTTGTTTCTGTGTTCCCGAGCAAGAAGTTACAAATCCATACGACTACGTCTTGGGATTTCATGGGGCTAAAGGAAGGAAAGAATACAAAACGAAACTTGGCCGTAGAAAGTGATACTATTATTGGTGTCCTAGACACTGGGATTTGGCCGGAATCAGAGAGCTTCTCCGACAAAGGCTTTGGTCCTCCTCCTAAGAAATGGAAAGGTGTTTGTTCCGGCGGCGCAAATTTCACATGCAACAAGTAATGCTCTCTTTATTTATGTTTTAGAAGAGTATCGTTTTAGGAAGAGATTAATGTGTTTTACAATGTTTCAGCAAGTTGATTGGAGCAAGAGACTACACACGCGAAGGAGCTAGAGACAGCCAAGGCCACGGTACACACACAGCGTCCACTGTGGCTGGAAACGCAGTCGCAGGCGCAAGCTTCTTTGGAATAGGTAATGGAACGGCGAGAGGAGGCGTTCCAGCATCTAGAATCGCCGCTTACAAAGTCTGCGACTCCACAGGGTGTACCTCGGAAGCTATACTGTCTGCTTTCGATGACGCAATAGCAGACGGTGTCGACCTCATCAGCATCTCCCTCGGGGGAGACGACGACGAGGCCTCTAAGTACGAAAAGGACACGATTGCGATCGGGGCTTTTCACGCTATGGCCAAAGGGATTCTCACTGTGCACTCTGGCGGTAACAGTGGTCCGAATCCGGCTTCTGTCTTGAGCGTAGCTCCGTGGATGTTAACCGTTGCAGCCAGCACCACGAACCGCGGGTTTGTCAGCAAAGTTGTTCTTGGAAACGGCAAGACACTTGTCGTAAGTGTCAAGTAACACTCATTACTATCATCATATAGTAGTATCTTCTTTGTTCCTTTTAATTACGAGCGACTCTTTGTTTCTGAAAACAGGGGAAATCAGTGAATACTTTTGATCTAAAAGGAAAGAATTATCCACTTGTGTACGGAGAATTTGTTGAAGAACCTGAGGTCAAGGGAAAAATCTTGGTGAGCGGATATTCAGTTAGTTCAGAAATAGCCGTTGCATCCATAATTAAAGACTATCTAGACTATGCATCCGTCAAGCCTAGGCCACTCTCTGCTCTATCACAAGATGACTTCGACTATCTTGTCTCTTACGTTAACTCCACAAAGTAACAAAGCGATCTTCTCTCTAATCTTAGACGTACGTTTGCCCAAAGATTCTCCTTCTTTGTCCTGATCTCTGTGTGTTTGTTTCCTCAGGTCTCCGCAAGGCACTGTTTTAAAAACTGAGTCAATTTATAATCAGATAGCTAATAAAGTTATTTCCTTCTCTTCTCGCGGTCCAAATACCGTCGCTGTTGATCTTCTAAAGGTAACATTTATTTTTTGATCTTTGTTCTCTTTAGTTTACCGGTGTGAGACACAAAGGTTGATTGTAATGCAGCCGGATATAACAGCACCAGGAGTAGAGATCCTCGCTGCTTATTCACCTTTGGCTCCACCATCTACAGATAACAGCGACCAGAGACATGTGAAGTATTCTGTTCTGTCCGGAACTTCAATGTCTTGTCCACACGTTGCAGGCGTGGCTGCGTACGTCAAGACTTTTCATCCTCAATGGTCTCCTTCCGCTATCCAATCTGCCATCATGACAACCGGTAAACAAAATTTCGTATCCAGCTTTTACTTTCTTGTATCACAAGTAACCATCTTGTTAATAAATCTGATTCTTATACGGCCTTTTTAATCAATCTCGCAGCTTGGCCAATGAATGCTTCTGGAACTGGGGTTGCATCGACCGAGTTTGCCTATGGAGCTGGACATGTCGACCCAATAGCCGCTCTAAATCCTGGTCTTGTCTATGAACTGGACAAAGCAGACCACATCGCCTTTCTCTGCGGCTTGAACTACACTTCGCAAACCCTTAAACTCATTTCTGGTGAAGCCGTCACTTGCACTGGAAAGACCCTACCAAGAAACCTTAACTATCCTTCAATGTCGGCTAAACTTCCAGGATCTGATAGCTCCTTCACCGTGACTTTCAATAGAACCGTCACAAACCTCGGTACCCCCAACTCTACATACAAATCAAAGATTGTCCTGAATCACGGATCTAAACTCAGCGTTAAGGTGTCCCCTAGTGTCTTGTCTATGAAGTCGGTGAACGAAAAACAGGCTTTCACGGTGACTGTTACTGGCAGCGGTCTCGACCCAAATCTGCCTTCGTCTGCAAATTTAATCTGGTCTGATGGAACACATAACGTGAGAAGCCCCATTGTTGTCTATACTGATGGTTACTGATGAGGCATTATCAGTTCACCATATTCATATATCATCATAATAAATCATTTTGTTTGTTCTAGCTGCCTCAACATTGATGTTCTTTTTTAGTATGGTAAGAACATATTGTCTGTCTCAAACACAATCTAACCTGTAATTCAACACCTTATAAATTATGGTTGTTGTCTTGTTGACAGAAATTTTATTAAAACGGATGGTTATTACCATTTGTAATGATTATATGTTTATGGTCCTGCCTATATACTATTAACTAGAATTCGTTTTTTTTTTCTAAAGACATTGGTGATGTTGCTTGTTTGAATGATTTAGACACAACGATCTCTGCTACAAATCGTCTTATGAAATGAAAGTAAAAAAGAGTAAAATCATGAGTTTTATTGCGAACAAGTTTTCTTACATAATAGATATCGTTCAATAAATCCATTTTTCAGCTTATTGTATAGAACGATATCAGTATATTATATATGTAGATATCAATATATTATAGTTATCAAAATTTCTAGTCTTTTCAGCTTATTGTTTTAAACTTCTCTCGTAGCTTAATGAGCAAACATCAATGAAAAGGTATCAATTTTTGGGATTACAAGGTATAGTTTAAAACTTATAAGCAACAGATAAAATTTTCAATAATAGGTTATACCTCAATAATTAAATGCTGTTGGATGGACTTAGACTACTCCTAAATTTATCCTTTGAAATAATTGCAGTCAACTAATAATTAATTTATATTGCATAGCTATATTACCATGTTTTCTGCTTGGCACCAAATAAATTATCATTGATGGTCTCTCCATTTACCACTTCGTCAGTTACAAAGTTACAACAAAAAATTATACTTGGACAATTTCATAAACTAACCTTTATTTACATTCTAGGTTAGCTTATCCCACGCCACGAGGATATGATCGTCTTTTAAATCTGAATAATTTAATTAAAAGTACAACTAGCTAAAGATGAACTCGGTACTCTTTCTCTCTTAACTTCCATATTCGTTACTGTCGGAGAGAGATGAAGCTCAAAAGCTACAAAATTATAGCTTATTTTTATCAGCCGTCCGATCTGTTAGTTAGCCTTTAGATTCTCTCAGTTTACACTTGGCATATTACCCGGTCTTGACTAGCTCACCATATTATTATTAGCCTTAGCTATTAAGGATATTATTATCTATTAGAAAATATTTTACTTATACTGCAAAATGAAAATAAAAAAGACTAACTTCATGATTTTTGTTGCCAAACCTGCGGTCTTTACAAAAATATTGGATATTGTTCTATAATCGACTTATATTATTTTGGTCGCTCGTAGATATTGTCTTTTCAATAATAATAGCATCATATATAGTATATATAATTATGAGAAATGAGAGAAGCTTTTGGAGAAATATCAATTTTAAAATTTAGTGACTAATAGGTCGAGATCCATATGGTAATCAATTGAATATCAATATTTTTTTCGTTATCAGATTCTGGAAGTCGTCTTAGCTTATAGCTTTAACATCAAAGGCAAATATTGTTTTTTTGTTTCATTATTTTTTTTGTATAAACTAAAAAACAAAAACTCGAGAGCTAGAAGGTTAGTTTTATATTTTAAAGAAATTATCAGAATTAATGGAATTTAATGGGTCATTCATTACTTTGAATTTATATAGCAACTCATTAAGTTCTCTCATACTACTGTTACGAGCTAAACTCTCTCCGTCTTTGTACTCCTCTCCATTCTACTAAGTTTTTTTTTGTTTTTCCATGGAACACCGACGCCTTGTCCATGGAGCTGCGCCTCCGTTAACCGCCGTGGAGAGATTCTTATATGGCCAAAAGAATGATGCCTTGTTTTCCAAGAAACAAGAGTGTTCTAGAGACCGATCGATCCTGAAGAAGACAACGGCGATGGAGATTAAAAACGACAACAAAGAGAACATGACGTTTGGCCCGAGGAAGGAGAAACACTTGGTCGTTAATGGCCGAAGCCCTACAGGGGACATGGTCATTAAAGATGCAACCAGAGATTATCAAAACAGTACTAAGAAGCGACCATACAAGAATCTTATCAAAGGGCAATGGACGGCGGAAGAAGATAGGTATTTAACTATATATATATATATATATATATATATATATATATGTCTATGTAAATTGATTCATGCGTCGATATATATGAGAGTCTGAAAATATATTTATGCGTTTGTAAATATGAACATATATATAGGAAGCTGATAAGGTTGGTGAGGCAACATGGGGAGAGAAAATGGGCAATGATCTCGGAAAAACTTGAAGGAAGAGCAGGCAAACAATGCCGTGAGAGATGGCATAATCATCTCCGTCCTGATATCAAGGTTTTTTTTTCTAGATCTACCTATGTTTGTATAAACATCTTTTCTTTATAACATATATAGTGTTGTCTTGATCTAGGGTTCAACATAAGTATCTCTTTACCCTTTTGTCGATTTTTTTTTTTTCAGAAAGATGGATGGAGCGAAGAAGAAGAGAGGATTCTTGTAGAAGCACACACGAGAATTGGGAACAAATGGGCAGAAATCGCTAAACTCATACCTGGGCGCACCGAGAACTCTATCAAGAACCATTGGAATGCGACTAAACGACGCCAAAACTCAAAACGCAAACAAAAACGCCAAACAAACGCGGATAACAATGATAGCGATCTCTCTCCATCAGCTAAAAGGCCATGCATTCTCCAAGACTACATCAAAAGCATCGACAATAATGATACTAACAAGGGCAATGGCGAGAACAAGACTGAGAATACCATCAGTGTTCTTTCTACACCGAATCTTGATCAGATATATTCTGATGGAGATTCTTCATCGTCTGTCCTTGGCGATCCATATGACGAAGAGCTGGTTTACCTACAAAATATCTTTGCAAACCACCCGATTTCTCTTGAGAACATTGGTTTGAGCCAAACTTCTGATGAGGTAAACCATTCTTCATCATCTGGATTCATGATCAAGAACCCTAAATCTCACAGCAATGTTGAAACGCATCATCATGATCAGGCAATGGTCGCAGTTCCTGCTAATACACCGCACCTTGCGTCTGATATCTACTTGTCTTATTTGTTGAATGGTACGACGTCGTCCTACTCCAACCCTCATTTTCCGTCTTCCTCATCGTCTGCGTCATCCGCCACCGTAGAGTTCGGAGGCCACAGCGAGTTGCTTGTGCCTCAAGCTAACTCTACAAGTGAAAGAAAAGAGATGGATCTGATAGAGATGCTTTCTGGTTATATTCAAGGTAGCAACACCTGCTTCCCACTGTTCTAGCTACTCATTATGCTCATGTGATGTCATATGATCATCCTTACCATTATGATCATTCTCTATCTTTCTCTTCCTTTGTTTAATAATTGATTTTCTTAGAACTTTCTTTATGATCATCCTTAATTTCTTCAATTTCGGGTTTAAGCTTTCGGTATTTTTATTTACTTTTCATTTTATTAAGTTATGTTGTTCAAGTAATTAAGTGGTTGTTTTAGCTAGAGATGAGTTCGATATTGATTCCCACTTACGTTACGAAGTTGGTATTAATCTAAATTGAAGTCCACTAATTCAATAAAATTCATACTCAAGGTTCATGCGTAACCACTAGACTTTTATTCAAAAAGAGTTGAACAAACTTGAACAAACAAAGGCATAAAACGTATTCTTTAGGTGGAGAAAACATAGGAAAAGTAAGTAAATTGCTTATAAATATAAATTCAAATGACAAACATATCCCCCAACCTCAAACATATTTACCACAATGCCCTTAGTTTTAATCATGCAATCACGTCACCACGAGGTTGCAAGTAGACACGTAGCCCGTTCTTCATGAAGAGCGTCAGAGACATCTTCTGCTCGACGCGATGACCGGGAACAGGAAACAGCCGGTAACGGAGGAGAACGGCTGAAGCTACCGACTTCATCTGGAGATAAGCCAAGTCTTTGCCCAAACAAGTTCTTGGTCCGGCGTTAAACGCTACGAACTTGTAACCATCCTTCGGAGTCTCGAACTGGTCACCTTTGGCCGTGAGCCACCGTTCTGGACGGAACTCGAGACAATTTTGGCCCCAAATCGTTTTCATCCGTCCGATCGCATAAATCGAGTAGGTTACCGTCGAGCCTCTTGGCACGAATGTCCCGTCGGGCAAAACATCGTCGTCTACGACGTACTTGAAATCCTGCTCATTTGGAACATTACTAGGCGTTACATGGATTATTTATTACCAACTATGAGGAGTAACAAGATATATAGAAAAAAATAAAATGGTTGTTTTGCGTTAATTCTGCCATGTTCTTTTTGGTAAACAATTATTCAATAAATTAAAAGTTAAATGTGATTGTAACAGTCATTTGATACTACCTAGCTGCCTAGGTCTTACGAAAAAACAAAATCTGTGATATTCAGCTTAAAAGGATAAATTTATGGAATTAGTTAGTCAACTAGCTAGTTATATTCAGAGATTTATTTCAGGAACTTTTATGAAACCTAGTATATATATTTGGACATCATCAATATTTATGTAGTAAATTTACGTCTCGTATGCAAATTTCTCCTCCCCCTATGCGGCTATGCGTTATGTATGAATTATTATGTATCCATGAACGGAATAAATGGTTTTTTAAATAAATGATTATATATGTATTCACCTGAGGCACAGAAGGGTATAAACGCAGCGTTTCAGCCAAAGCAGCCTTGAGGTAAACGAGCCTATCTGCCTCGTCGAACTCTAACGGCTCCTCTGTCCACTTTCCTTGATCATCACCACGTGTCTCCTTCAGAACCTTTGATAACTCATCAACGATCTTCTTCTCGACCTCAGAGTTATTCATTACGAGCCAAAAGAACCAGCTCAAGGCCACAGAAGAAGTGTCTCGACCCGCAAGAACAAAGTTAAGCGCGATACGCTGAAGAACATCTGTCTGAAGAACGTTACCGTTAGCGTCACGTTTCTTCAGAAAACGCGATAAAAGATCATCGGAAGGGGAGTTTTTCCGGGCGTCGATTGCGTCGTTCATGTAAGTCTCAACGATTTCAAGGCTCTTCTTGAGCTTATCCTCCGATCCAATCCCCATCGCTTTCTGAATACGCCACAAGAAACCGGTATAGAGAAGCCTCTTTAGAGTAGCTTCGGTAGCCGTGTCAAAAGCCACCGAGAACGGATTCTCCGGAAGATCAGGAGATAGCGTCTCCGGGTCTTTCCCAAAAGTCAAACCACAAATGTTGTCAAAAGTCAACCTCAAAAACAAATCTTGGAGGTCAACCGGTTTGTTGTCCTGAACGGCACGGTCTAATATAAGCCATAACCGGTTCTTGATCGTCCCGTTAACCCACCGAGCCATGGCTTGTCTAAGAGTCCTAGTTGTGAACTCAAGCGCTGCGGTCTTACGTTGCATAAGCCACGTGTCACCGTCGCTGTTGAAGATTCCTTGTCCCAACAGATCGTGGAAAGCAGCTCGCCACATCGGACCTTTTGGGTAGTTATCAAATCGTGTCTTCAGAATATGCTCGACGTTTTTTGGGTGACACGTCACGGTGTAAAACCCTTGCGTCTTGGCCACGAAAGGTATCACCATGGTGCTTGTTTGGTACGTACCGCCAGTTGCTCGGAGGTTATCGGCAATCCAATCATGGACTCTGTTCCGGTTCGCGATTAGAAACGGCATGCTTCCGACGATAGGTAAGACTTTGGGACCAGTTAGTCTCCGGGAGAGGAAGTAGAACCAAAGAGCGTAAACCGATAGAGCGGCCACGGCGTAGCCGGTTAAGGTAGGGCTTAAGGCTTCCATTTTTCGGTTTATGATTTTTGTTTTTGTTGTATGGAGAGATAAGAGATTGGTGAGAGACATATATGGTGAAGGAGAGGGATGTGTTTATATATATGTTAAAAAGGAGAAATATTTTTACCATAGGCTATAACAAGAAAGGTTTGATTTTGTATCAATTAGGAGAAAGTAGCTGGGAAATTTTAATTTGGGTCGATAAGAATATTGCGTTTGTATAGTTTGGGATAAAACAACACGAAAGCATATAATAGTTGAGTTTAAGATTTTTTTTTTTATTTTTTCCAGCGTCAAGATATTTTATTATTTTTCGTCTTTTAAGTAATGTGCACCAAATACTTATGTATATTTTACATGCTTATATCAAAAAACTGAGACTAAAAAAAAAGATTTATAGAATTAATTAGACCAATGATTTTAGGACACTGACGAACTCAAGTACTCTGATGGTCAGAACTTCCATGCAATGTGTAATCAAAATGAAATAAGCATTCCAATTTCACATGATATCTCTTTAATGATTTATTTTTTTAAATAGTAGCACGAATTTAGCTGTGGATAAATACTTTATTTATATGAAACAATACTAGCCTAGCAACGGGATCTTTTCTTCGAGAATAAAGATTTGGTCAATGGCAGTTAGCCCATTCTAATAAACGGGGTTTGACTCGAGTCGAACACTTAACTAACACACGCATGAGAAAGATTTTGACAACAGCATTAAGAAAATGAACGTAAAAGCACAAAAACAAAAATACTAAAACATCTATACTATTAACAAAAGACTAAGAAAACGCAACGGAAAAAAATAATCAAAAATGGAAAAGTTCATATGTGGTTGAATTCGGGCGTTACTATAGTGGCATATGACTCAAAATTCATTTGCTTTTATTTTTCGCGTTATAGGTAAGGTTTTAGTCTAACAAAAACAAATTATTTACGAAACATATTCAATTCATCAATTGATTGATATAAAATTAGATAATCGCTTTTTTAGCTTAATCAATAATCATACAATAAGATATTATGTACAAGAAGTATACAAATACATTGACCTATTACAAAGCCCATTATCCATAACAAAGCCCAAAACCTGCTCTCATCGAAATGCCACATTCATCATATCAACATACATAATCTCATCACCATCATCAACATAATCAACGGTTACATAAACGGTAGAAAAAGAAAGAGAAATAAAGGATAAGACACTTGTGGAGACCTCGTGTCAGAACGATCCCACGGCTCAGATTCACCCAAAAATCCAATCCCTTTGTTGACTTGTAGTAACATTAGCCACAAGAAATTAAACACAGATTACAGTGTCAAAGAAAAAGAAGAAGAAGAAGAAGAGAGTTACAGAGCAGAAGACAAAAAGAATGGTTTCTTCATTACTAATGTCCTTTGCTCCGGCCACCGTGAGGTGCTTTGCCACGGGTGCGAAAGGAACCAGCAGCAACAGCACCGCCACGAAAGAAGAGAAAAGTATCATCGACTTTGTTCTTGGCAGTTTAACGAAGCAAGATCAGTTTTACGAGACCAATCCTCTCCTCAAAAAGGTGGACGAGAAAGAAGGAGGCACCGGAGGTAACGGTGGCCGGAAAACAGTTTCCGGCGGAAAGAACTCGGTGGCAGTGCCACAGAAGAAGAACGGTGGCGGCTTTGGTGGTCTCTTTGCCAAGAAATGAGAAAAAACAAAACTAGTAAATGTGTTATCTATGTACTATGAATTTCGAAAGTTTCATTATTGATTTTTCGTACATTGACATATAAAAAGCTTCATGTTGTTGAAATTTCATGTTCTTAGCTGATCATACTAATTCGACCCAAAAAAAAAAAAAGCTGATCATACTGAAAATTTTATTATATTTTTGTTAGCTTAATTCAATTAAAGATTGAGGAATTTCTGAGGACAACATCTATTGAGAAAAAATTATTTCTCTCGGTTAACAAACGAACTTTGTTTTCTGTTTTGTCGTTTCAATTCCTCTCTCTTTCTATCAAACAAAACATGGAAAGAAGGAAACCAAAATTTAGAAAACTTTAACGTCCTGAAACAGAGGATCTCCAGACAATGCATGCTGTCTAAATTTGGAAACCCCATTTATCATTTTTTTTTTCTTTGATGCCAAATTCTTTGCTAGCTCTTGGAAGAGAAACAAGAATTAAACCTTCCAGATATTGATCTTGTATCAAAATTGATCTCTTATCGATTTCCTCTGTTGGAATTTGATCGTATGGAAAATGGGTATTGACGCAAAGGAATCATGCGCAATAATATGGAAAATCATTGGGTTCTCGATGAACACGAGCATCAAATTCATGAGAAACCACCCGGTTTTGACAGGGGTTTCCATTTTCTTACTCGCGCTATACATTCTCCTCCCTTCCTTGTTGTTCTTCTTGATATACTCGTCTCCGGTTCTTGCTTGTGCCGTAGTGTACGCTCGAGAGAAGCTGGGATTGAGATTCTCTACCTCGCATAAGCCGTTTCCCTCTCCGGGGCCAAAGAGCACTTGTGGAGGAGGAGATAAGAAATGTCACTTGAGACAGCAGCGAAGTGTTCGACGAAATGCTCGAATGAAAGTCGAAGAATGGGATTCGCAGACAAGCGAGGAAGAGAAGGACAAAGTCATCTTGACTTCTCTTTACAATGACCTCCTTGGCCGTACACCGCATTTCGAGGAGTCTCCAAAAGCAGAAGTAGAGACCCCTGTAGCAGAAGAAGACAATGATGATAAGTCTTTTGCTGAGCAAGATTCAGGGACGTCTTCTCTAGATTCCGGTGATTTAAAACCAAGGGTTTGCAACTGTGAGATCAATGAAGACGGTGAATTTGATGGTAAAGAAGAGATGATGAGCAATGTTAATGAACATGGGATTTCAGAGATTGAGAGAAACAGGAGACTAGAGAGTCTAATCGCTAGAAGAAGAACAAGAAGACTCTTTAAACTAGCTTTAGATCAACGGAATAAGCTTCAGGGTGAAGAAACAACTACCCCGACGCAGAGCAACAGCCTTCAAGTTACGGTTCCAAGGAACAATAACAATAACCCTTTTGAAAAACGTCGTAATTATCCATGGGATACTACTGTTACGGGATTGCAGGTTCCTGGCTCAGCGCCTTCTGTGATGTTACAAGGGAGAAACCCTTTTGATATTCCTTATGATCCTCAAGAGGAAAGACCTAATCTTACTGGAGACAGCTTTGATCAAGAGTTTTCATTGTTTAACCATAAAGATATCTTCTTTTGTCGTCATGAGAGCTTCTGTCGCTTTGCTCTTTTCTCTCCAGAACATGCTCAGTGCATGAACAGCCCAGTTGCTGCTTCAGACATTTCAGCTACTAGGAAACGTTTAGGTTATATGTCAAATATTTTCTCATTACTAAAGTCGCTGTTTGCATTTCTCTGTGAATAAAGTTTTTTTCTTTTTTTCGGTCTACAGATTTGGACAATGAATATATGGATCATACTGAACAGAACCTGCCCTGTAATGGCAAAGAAGCTTCAATAGAGGTCGACGATAATAGCGTTGAGAGTGGGAAATACGGAGAAAGAGAGGTGGAAATGAATGATGAGACAGATTCAAACAAAGAAGAAGGTGCTAATTCAAGTTGTTCAGAAGAGAGTGAGTCGGAACTCAGCCGTTTCAACAACGCAGAGCTCAGGGAAGCTATATGCCACTCGATGGATAATTATCCTGGTTTTCTTGTGAACCAAACAAGAAACACTATTCCAAGCACATTGCCTAGAGGGTTAGTAGCGCCTAGACTCGATGATAACAATGTGTTTTATGCTCGTAGATGCGCAAATTCGCACAGTCGAACATTTTCCGTTGCCTCAGATATGCAAGTTGAGGTTTCAGAGGTTGGTTCACCTCCTACGACAGTTGATTGGCTTGATGACTGGTCTAATGGAGGGGAATCTTACACTTATGATACAGATATTGACAGAGAAATCATCCGCGGTGAAGAATCGCGCAAGAGGGTCTCTAGCCAATGTGAATCAAGAAGTGGAATTGGATCAAAAGGAGAGAATAGTGAGCCAGGGACTAAACCAGATCAGAAGGGTGTTGCAGATGAACCCCTTAGAACGATTGATGATATGTCATTGTTAGATAGAAGAAACCAAACTGAAGAAAATCTTGAGCCTAAGCCTTCTAGTTCTAATGATGTGTCCAACCCTACAAGCTCTGGGAAGTTTGAAGGTTTGTTGTTCCATACAAGTGCGTCATTGTCGTCTATAACAGAAGAACCTGAATCAATCTTGGACTCGATCATTGGGGCAAACTCAGATAACTGCTTGACTAAAGAATTAACTGACCATATATCTCTAACTTCTCTAGATTCATCCACGAAGAAGTCGATTGATGATGAAGTTGTTGATGTGCAACAATTGAAAAATGATGATCTTTGTGGATCTCCTAAGGTTATTGGTTCAAATATCATTGACCTTCAGCAGAAAGACCAAATATTGAATAGCATTCAAGAAAAAGATGATACAGAGATCAATATGAAGAAGTATGAGAGCTCAAAACCAAGGGAATATGAGTCAACTCAGAGCTTCTCGGGTGCTACTTTGGACACTCCCTGTATAGAATCATCTGAAAGGGAGATAGAAGAAGAAGAGGAACCAAACTTAGACAATTTTCCTGAGGAGTTAACAAAACAAACAGACAATGAGGTACGTCAAAGCGACTTGAAGAGTTCTCCAGGCCATGTTCTTACAAAATTACTAGAAAGTGAGGTCATGGAAGAGAATGGTCCGGAAATAGTCAAAAATATTGATAAGAATGCAAAGCCTATGGAGCAAGAGAAAACTCATGACGTCTTGGAAGCATCTTCGAGCCATTCTCATACACAATTAGTTGAAGACTACGGAAATGCAGAAAATGATAGTGATGTGATACTTCTGCAAGTTCAAGACGGTAATGACTCAATATTGGATGAGTCAACTGATCAGGAGTTCTCTAAGGAAGGAGACATTTCCGGGTTATTGAAAGAGTTTTATGCTGAAACGATACAAGATTGCAACAATAAAGCCAATGATGAGGAAGAATCAATAGTTTCAGAAGACAATCATAACTCGCAAAGTTCACAACCATGTACTCAACAGGTTTGACCCTCTATTCTAGTCATCTTTCTCAGATATTATCTTCTTCCACTGTGGTTGGTTTTTGATTTGAAGTTTTGTATATCCAATGAATAGCGCGGTATAAACTCTTCCGAAGGAATATCACCAAGAACATTGGAGAACACCCAACAACCAGCGCATGATGATGATATTGCCCCAAACACCGTCTCTCAAGATATTGTTAAAGATACATTTTCTGCAGATGCCAATGACCCAACTGCTGCTGAAAGTCATGATGAAGAGAATCTGAAACCTGATGAGCAAGTTGGAGAAGCTATGGAAAAGGAATTAGAGCTTAATTTAGAATCAATGGACCATAAGACTAGTTTAATCGCTACTGAAGACGATGAAGAATCCAAGAAATTGATTGGGGCAGTGCACAAAGCAGACACCGAAACAACAAAAGACAGCAACAGAGTCTTAGGTTAGTCGTAAATTCAGAGTCTTTATACAAAAACTGTGAATATTACATAAATAATCAGACACTGTTTCATATTGATTATATTAATAACCAAATGCTTGTTATTTTGCAGAAGATTAACGTATTGATCAATACACAGAAGATATAATAAGTAACGCTGCACATAAGGTACACCAGATTGAAGAGTTACTAATCGTAGATAATTCTTGTCAAGAAATATGTTGAGAATTCTTTTTAGAAAATGGATTGATTTATAACAGAGGAAACAAATGAATGTTGTATCATTAATTAATGGATTTTGTAAATGTAATCTCTTTTTTGGTAATCTTTAGAGATAGTTATTTCCTATGAACATACTAAAAGAAGAACTACTAGCATGTTTATATGGTATAAAGAAACATGTCGGAAGAACAAGGGAAACGAAAAAAAAAACATTTGGTGTATCGCGCACACTTCCCAAAGTAAGATTTCAATATACTCATATCATATACAATTCTATTATGAAACGAATTCAATTTTCTATAATAAGAAATATATCAAATCATCTAACTAAAGAAGAAAAACTAAACAAAAATTAATTGTCTTTTAACTTTTTGTTTTCCTTGGTGGCATCTCGAGTTAGTACATTTTCCATTTTGGCAAACTAAATATTCCATGTTTAATAGTTCTTTCCTAAACTCTCAATCTTCATTTAATGGTCATATCTTGTGATTTTGACCTCCTTCCTTAAATACAAACTAAATCAAGCTCAATATAAAAATCTCACATATATATATTCACCATCATCCCGACAGAAGGTAAAAAAAGTGTTTTCCATAGTCACTCGTTGAAAGTTCGCTTTGGTTACCAAGTAAGAATACTATCTACCTATATCAATCCTTTAATTTGCATAAGTAATTTATGAAGATGTTCATTGATTAAGCTAAAGGGTTTTCATGCATGTACCGTTTGTCTATTTGTTCTGGCGTGGGATTTTCGTACGGCTTCTGTATAAGGTTTTGAGAAAATCAGTTAAATTTATTCAAATTATTTTGGACAGATTTGATTTGCTAAGTCTCATTTGGATTTTTTTTGCTACTGTGTGGGTTTCGGGAATTAGCTCCCACTTCTTGGATTCCGACTTTTGGATTTGCGTTTCCTGGATAAGCTGGGAATAAGTTTCAGTTTTCTTTTACAATATCATATATATGGTTTGTGATGTGGGAAAAAGTTTCAGTTTCATATCATATGACTCGAATTATTGTTTTATACGGTGATTTATATATTCTCAATAACTTGGGGTTAAAGTGGCTTAAAGAAATAAGATCTCTACAATCTGAATTTTAGAAAACATAAACTATTGTTCACAAACATATCAACTCAAAATATTTGTGTCTATTTATGATTTTTTTGGTAAGAAAGAGGTTGATTATATATGTTTTATATGTTTTTTGTAATGTCAATAATTAATCAGGTTAAAAAGAATGACTAGGGAAAAGATCATTGTGGACAGACAAAGGATAGCGAACGATAAGACAAGGATAACAACTTACAAGAAGAGGAAAGATTGTCTTTACAGGAAGGCAGGAGAGTTCTCAACTCTCTGCGGCGTCCAGACATGTCTCATCGTCTACGGTCCCACCAAAGCCACCGATGAGGTTGTTTCCGAGCCTGAGATATGGCCAGACGAGACCAAAGCCAGAGACATCATACGCAGGTACAGAGACTCAGTGTCTAACAGCTGCAGGAAAGAAGCCCACGTGGCGAATTTCGTTAACGATCTTGGAAAGGCAAAGGGGATGGAGAATAAAACTAATAAGAGAGTGAAGAGAAACCATCATAAGTTTTGTAGTTGGGATGAGAAACTAGACAAGTGCTCACAAGAGCAGCTACTTGGGGTTTTCGATGCCGTAACTAACAAGTTACAAGAAGCTATATTGAGACAGGATCGTATGATTAGGGCTCATCATCAAGCCATGGAGACACCATTCCCTCAGATTTTGATGGATCCACATTACATGTCACAATACTTTGCTGAGCAGCAGCAACAGCTGATGTTGGCCAATTATAATAATCTAGGTTTCCCAGTGTTCTCATCTCAAGATGATCAGATTCAAACGGACCCGAACCTCTTGGAGAATTTGACCGACTTAGGGTTAAATCAAGGCTTGATGATGTCAAAGGGAAACGATGGTACTCAGTTTATGCAGAGGCAAGCACCTTATTATAATCTTGAACCGGTTGTACCGAGGTCAGCAACTTTTAATGCTAACCCGTTTCCGGGTTATCAGGGCTCGTTTAATATTCCTTGGAGGTTACCCGGTAATCAAGTTGGTGCATGGGACTTTTTGGAGAAGAAATCGCTTTGAGTGATGGAGCTTAATTAGTTTTTAGGGTTTTTATATTATAATTTTGTTTCTGCTGGTTTTATTTGTGCATGATGACTTTTGTCAAGCGTTTTTTTGACATAATCATCATTTTTCTTTTACATTCTAAAAAGGCTTCGGTTTTAGGTATTATGTACGTTTATTCAAAACAATAAACAGAAGAATAAAGTATACAATTAGTTTTGATGTGCATGCCAGAAATTTGAGTTGAAATTCCATAAAATTTAAGAAAAAAATACCACTTATTTCAAACTGATTTACGATTCAGAAAAATGTGAACTATACAATCCAAGAAAAACAAAAAAAAAAAATCATTCAGAGAAAACGGAAAACTATCATACGTGAGCCAATACAGTTGAGTCGTCTTAGTGATAGAATGAGTTCGGCGAATCCACAGGGTTTGTATGTGATGTGACCGTACGTAATAGTGTCTCATCAAAAATTATGTCGTCACATATGGATGATTCCATCATCGACGATTCTTCGACAAATCTGCTGTAGATATGCATGTGATCGCCGTATATGACAGCCAATACACATCTCCTAAGAAATATATATATTTTTTTTTTTGCTAAAATCTCCTAAGAAAGTTGTTATCAATTATAAGAACAGATTAAATATGAATTTGATTTCATCTCTTAATTAACCACCATTCAGTTAGAGTGTTAATGATATATTTAAGGTTAATGGTTACTAAAGATATGTAGCTTCATGCTCTATACAAAAAAAAAAGCTTCATAAGAATAAATATCTACAACTTCATTTTCATTCTAAATTTAAAAAAAAAAAATCATTTTCTTATCTATTAGTCAGTTATGTAGCTTTCATTCTTATATGATTAAAGAGTGGTTCTTTTTTAGCCAAGCAACACGCTGAATAAATATCTGCAATGTTTATTGAAAGTGGTCACACAATTCATGGATTCAATTCCAAATTTCTTTGGTTATACGAAAAAAGAAAGACAACAAGATATTAGTGTCTATAACTAGCATATCTATCGCTTTCTTTAATCAGTTCTTTGAAAAAAATGTGTATATATGACAGCCCATACACATTGTTTTTAAACATTGTCCGTTGTTATAACATCAAGTGGTTGTTGAAAGCATAGTTGGTTGATTAAGACGAACAATGAATAATTCCATATTGTGATGTATAAGTTATTCAACATTAAACGACAAAATTTGGATATTAGAGATGACCAAGCTTGTGTCTTTTTGAGCCTTTTTGCTGCAACTTGTATAACATAAATATTTTTATTTCTATTTTTTCTATCAACAACTAACCTAGCGGATTTTAATTTTCTTTGTGCATAATATCACATATATATGATCGAGTATTGTTTCTCATTTATGTAAATATTTTTTATGTAGAAAAAATGATTGTTAGTTATACCAAATATAGTCTGTTATATGAACACATCCTAAATAAAAGAATATATTTGTGTTGACATCAAAAATTAAAAATATATGGTAGTATGCACAATAAATATAAGTTATTTTGTCAATACCATAATCATCTATCTACCGATTCGACTGCAAACCAATTCGATAGAACTGTGGTTTCTGACCTGGACCACCTGGTCCAATATGAAACCAAGCCCTTATATCCAATTTTTAAACCAAACCTACATCCGACCATGATTCGACCCAGGGTAAGAAAAAGGTTAAAACCTGACTCAAATCAACGGCAAAATCATCTGGATTTGGGGCTGGTTTAACGTGATTAAGGATCGAGCAAAAAGAGAAAAAAGAGTTATGTTCGTCGAAGGAGAGGTTAATATTAATACCTTTCAGTTGTTAACCACTGATAATATATTATTAACTGCTTAACGCTGTAGCTGAGTCAAAACATAGGGGACAAAAACATTTAACAATTTAACTCAGAAAATTTAGGCACTGTCACGAAATTTTATTAATCAACTATTTTAAATTTGGAATCAATTAAAGCAATGGACGTTTATTATACAATTTTCAAATACGATTGTTTCGTCCATATGAAAAATTAAGAATTTAACTTACACCCTTTAATTAGAGATCGATCACCACTCGCGCTATAGCTGAAACATTGTGTTCTGCGCGTCGTAGCAAGAATCTGCGTTGTTAAACGCTCCAAGCAGAGCCTGTCCGTACGAGTGAACGCCACTAATAGCGTTTCCAATCGTTATGTTGAAGGCATCCGCATGCGTTCCATTGTTGTCCGTTTGGCTCCAAGGAAACGCGGTTAGCCTTGAACGCTGTTCTTGTCCGACGATGGAGCTCTTGTTGGTCTCCAAAGAAGCTTCATCTTCGAGATTCACGGTGGTTATGTCGTGAATGCTTGCTCGTCTCTTGTCCTTGCCGCCGGAATGCTGCCGGATAAAGTATTTTTGGGCGTGACTAGCCACTTGCGTTGGCGTTCGAGTTATCACAAAGTTCCGAGATATGTTCCTCCAATCTCCTTTCCCGTATTTCTTCAAACCCATTAGAAATAGCCTGAATATGCGACAAATATCGAACCAAAGATAAACTATATTCATTACAAAATACTATCAAAATGTAAATAGAATCTTTATCCATAATGGTAATAATTAATGAGTTACGTATGTTAACGTCATATATATGGTTAGGACATATTTATTAAGCTATATATTTAGCATAGTCGCAACTTTGTTAAACCAAACTACGATTATGCTTTGTGCATGTATTTCTTCATGAATATATATAGACTGTTTGTGACAAATATCGAATCAAGATATTTTCATAAAGTTATATACACTATAATTAAATTGAAAGTGTCATTCTGAAGCTATAAACAACGCGAAACTTGGATACTTTTCTATAAATTGTTCAATTTATAATAATGCATGATTAGTGACCAAAATTTATGACAATGACACAATATTCCGGTTTAGTTTCAATTTCTAATCAACCGGAAACAGAACAGAGGCTTACTTGTGTTCTTCCTCTGTCCAAGGAACGCCTTTCTTCCGCTCCAGCTCCGGCGATCTACCGGCCGGCGAACGTTTATTACCTACCTGGTGACCGAGTTTGAACCCGTTACATCCGCCGCCGCCGCCACTGGCCCAGTCCAGAGTGAAAGGCGAGGTGATGTAGCCAGGAACCGGGATTAAACCGGCCTCAATGCTACTGACGTCAGCTTCCAGCTCATTATACTGTTTGATGACGTCACTCACGGTCTTTCCCGGAATCACCGCCGCTACTTTCTGCCACCGATCGGGAGTGTTGTCGTCGTAAACCGCCAGAGCATTTTCGAATGCCTTGTTCTCCGCCGCCGTCCACGTAGCAACCTCGCCAGAAGCTGCGACGGCGACGTTGCTCTTCGTCTCTTCCATGAGCCAGTTCCCACCGGACACGTGCGACGTCGTCGGTCTCAGAATCTCCATGTCCAGAAAAACAAAAATAACTAGCTCTGTTTTTTTTGTTTCTTTTGGTTGTTTTACGATTTGCAAGAACAAGTCATACCGACATGGTTCAACGGATTTACGGGATTAGGCTCAATAAGATCCCAAAATGTTTTAAAAAAAAATTGGGTTTATTGAAGAGCTAAGACTAAGAGAATCAAAGGAAGAACACAACAATCACTGTCAAATAATACTTCATTTTTATTTTGATTAGAGAAATCATCGGAATTTCTTTGAAGCATTGCTAAGACCCACTTCAAGGAATCTTAAAAAGTTTGAAACTTTTGGAAAAGAAATGAGAAAATCAAGGGAATCAATAGTAAAAATCTAGGCAAGATCTGGGTAGTGAGTCTTAAAAAGAGAATTTTATTTGGGTATTTCTGAGATTTTGCAGAAGAAGGAAAACAAATCTATTGGTTTTCCAGAATTGGTGGAACTAAAGCATGAGTGGGTTTATTAAGTATCAGAGACTCCGAGTTGAGATTTAAAGATCTGGGTGTGGATAAAATTTCTCGGGAAAATAAACATATGGCTACAGAAAATGAAAAAAAAAAAAAATTTAATATCGAAGAAGCTACCTTGGAGCTTACCCAATTTGGAAAACTATAACGTGCAAGAAGAAGCAAATTAACCCATAAATGGAAAGAAAATGAAAACCAGAAACCAGATTCTAATATCTATCTCGTGTTAAGAAAAAGAGAGACAGAGAAGTAGGCAGAGAAAGGGAGACGATGATTTGGGCTCTTATAGTTCTGTTCTTGAGGAATTCAATTTTAGGTGATGCTAGTATTTTTTTTTTTTTCCTTTTTACGGAAAATAAAGATTGGATCGGTTTTACTCCTCTTTTACTTTTTTCTATGTCACCTTACATTGTAATATTCCTGCTTAATACGCAGTTAATATATGTTTCCACTTACATTGGTCTTGAGTTAACTCAAAGTTATATAAATCTGATATAGTTTTTCCCTTTTTAATGTAATTATTATTTATTTTTTTCTTAATCATTAGCTAGATTTAGTAGTCAAATTGTTTGTCACCGTTATAACCATCGTTTAATAGTCAGTGCCATCAAACAACATATTGTTTTACCGTTATCTTTAAAGGCTTTCTTTTTAACTGTTATCTTTCTAATTGGCAAATTATGTGATCCGTTTATTAAAACTATAGCTACTAATCGGACCCTAAAAAATTATCGCTTTATTTTTTAATGAAAATTTCATTAAGATGGAGTGTGTTTAACTGTTTATACTATTTAAATGTCCACGATAAAAGTATAAATGGCATTACAAGTTGAGAATTCGAACTAAATGTATAGCGATTGAATTGACAAAAAAAAAGTGTGCAGTCTTATAAATTTGAATTGTAAATACTGCCAAGTAAAGTTTAGTTTGGTCATTCTAAGACATGAAAAAGAAAATATAAAATTGGAAGAAAAATTCCGTGACTGTTATGATTACAAACACTCTGATATGTTGTGAAATACACAAATAATTGTCATTGAGAAAAAAAAGGAAAAAACTATTTTATAAAAAAAAATTAAATCACGCGAAGTTGACATTTTCTGGGAGTATACGATGCCTCTCGGAGAACATTAACAAATTTTCAACATCCTCATAAAATAATACTATACAACTACTATACACACAAAAAAAAACATTTACTTTACTGATACTGCTGCATACTTTTATAATTTTTTAATTTCACTGATTACGTACAGACAGTTGATATATTTTTATTCTATTTTCGCAATTTTGGGATTTTCTGTGTCAGATCGGGAAAAAAAAAAAGCAGCCGCCAAATGAACGGTCGAGATCAGCGGTAAATTACATGGCCAAGTTGTACAAAGGGGTCCACGTGAGATGCGCGTTTTGCATTATCATTGGTCGGTCTCCCACTTTAATTGTTTTTTTTTTGGCTTTTAAGATCTCGAGGAATCTGTTTTCTCCATTGTGATTTGTTCACGTGGTAGATTTATGTACGTTAGATCTATCTTATGTGATTTAATGAAAGAGTAGACACGTACGATCTTCGATGGGGCTCTCAAGTGGTTTGGTAACGTTCACAGTGCCGTTTTTGGAGTCGAAATTGTAAAACCAGTGAAACAGATGTAACACACACTTGGGAATGTAAGAACCTTTTGCTCTTTTATTAGAAATCACTTAGACAATTTCTTAAAGACTTGTCTAATCAGAATTACACGATCTTGCACACTGCAATTCGACACTGACCAATTCCTAATCTACCCAAGTCCCACACAATAACAGTTGTGTCACACTAGCCTAGTTCGCTCACCAAGAACCCTAACCTTTCTCTCGTAGTTTCTTGTAAGCTCTCAATACAATCTGTGAACGGCCAACCTTCTTCTAGGTTTCCTTCACGTATATATATCCCCTTCATCTCCTGAGTTGGCGAATATACTCTTTCCTTTTGTTGAGATCTTCAACGATCCTCCGTATCTTCTTTCTTGTGATTTGGTTTGCTCCTCACGTACTCTTTTTCTTCACCTCCACTCAGCTGCTGCCACGTGGTTATTCATGTTCTTCCTCTTTCCCGCGTCTTCATGTTGTGTTACACATCTCGCCTTGATGTGCCACACAACCTCCAGAATCCTGATCTTACATTCTCCCCCTTTTTGTCTGAATGTGTCACGTCAAGCCTCCTGCATCAACACGGCTATAGAAACTCAATTACTCTCCTCACTCTCTGTCTCATCTCCCTGCTGCTCCCCCTCAGTGTCTGACTCTTTGTCCTTTGCAGTATTGTCTCGCGAGCCATATTCTCCCCCTGCTTGAGTGCACATTTAGAACAAAAAAAACAGTAAAAAAAAAAACAGCATTGTCCGTTGCACCAAGTTAGACTACTTACCTTTGAGACGCAGTTGAATGCGCTTAACCCAGCGTGCAAGCTGATCCAAATCTGCTGTCAGAGTAGGGAGAGCTTCGGATTCGTCACCATCTGAACCTTTTCCAGCTTTCTTGTCCAGTGTGATCTTCAGAGGAAACCCTTGGAGTGGCTGATCACCACGATGACCTGGGATCATCTTCTGAAATTTCAGCATCTGAAAGATCAGATTTGGAAACATCAGCTTGAGATTGACTTGCTCAGGCGTTCGGGCAATGGCAAGGATCTGTTCATACACCAGAAGACCAAAGTTGAACCGTCGGCCTTGGATGAGAGAAGCCACAAACTTGACTCTGTCTTTCACCATGGTGGTGTAATTCGTCGTGGGCATCCAATTACGACAGCAAAGCTTGTACAGGACTCCATACGTGGGTTGAAGATGTTTGGAACCAAAATCCTCCCAACGATTCTTTCGGCCTCCGGACACAACCCGAACCGCCTCTTCGATGTTCATCTTATCCCATTCACCAGACGGCAGATCTTCTTTGATCAGGAACATGCGATTGATGATGTCAGGTGTGAACTCGTACATCTTTCCCGAGCCGCAGCAGACGCAAAGTTGTCTCGCGAATAACGCAACGGACGAGTCAGCTCAGGATGCATGCGCTCATGAGTGACAGTAGCGGCTCGAATTGCGCGGTACCGGGTATCTTGATCCTCATACAGCGCGCACACTCGTGCTCGGTCATCATCGGAGCCACCAAGCATCTCCTCATCACTGGATTCCACGAATGGATTGGAGAACAGATCTCGCGGGTCTTCAAAGTACGCCGGAGGGTGTGAGGAACCACCGGTGTTTTGACTCTCCCCATCGCTGCTATTTTCTTCATCGGAGATGACCACTTGTTCCTTTCTGGAACGATGAGCAGTTTTCTTCTTCGCAGAGAGACGTCGAAGAGCAGTGGCAAGTGTCTCCGAGTCCGCAGGTTCGCGACGAGAGGCTTCAATGGCAGAGGCCATGAGCTTGGAGGATTGAAGTCTGGTGGTTCGCGGCATCGTCGGGCAGAGTGAAATCGGCGAGGTGAGCAGAGACTCTCCAATGCGTCGCACACAATTAGGGTTTTGTGGCACACCAAACGTCAGCAGCCCCTAATAAACCAGCGGGAAACTAGAAGCACAGCTAAACACATACATTAGCCCAACACCAAATGGGCTTTAGGCCCGAAAAAAATCATCATAGATTTCTCACACAATTATGAGCTACATTACACACACAAAGCAATTTAACACACCGGCAAAGCAAACACAGGCAACACAAGGAGAATCCCATTAAGTGACCCATGACAAAATTGAGCACGCAACTCTAGGCACGACGGACGAATAACGGACAAGACATTTCACCTATGTACAAAAAGATCGAGATGAATACCAATGTAAAATTAGATGGGAAGAGAAGTCTACCTGCGAGCACAATGATGCAGCCAATCCTTCAGCCGAAGTGCTTTCACATCATTAGTTATTCTCAGACATTCTTTGTGCTTCAACCCGTGAGAAGACTCAGACATCCTTAACTTAAATCACCCGAGAGTTCGGACCAAATGTCTACTCCTCCGCCAGACCATGAGACACTACACTTTGATGGATACACAGGAGTAACACACTCCACTCTGAGTCCCCTGTATTTTCTTTGTGCTGCATTCCCTCATCTGAGGAGCATTCACACATTTCTTTCAGGAGATTATGTTATCCTGTTTCTTTTCACACTTCATTTTGGGGTCCTCAGAGTGTGTTGTTAAGCCGTGTTGTTATGGCCTTTGCCTGATTGTGCTGCATTCCCTCAGCTGAGGAGCATTCACACACTTCCAACACCCATACATTCAGACTGGTATAGTGAATAATTTCTCATAGCTCGGTCCGTACTCAGAGATGATTTTGGCCAATCCTGTCAGTGATCAGTGCCAGATATGAAATGTTTCAGCATCCCAATCCCGCATGAGTGACAATCATCTTGGCAGGACATCACAACTCTCCATCACTAGACATTCACACACAAGATTCCCTGAGACAACTTGCTCAGCAGAAGGTGTCAATAGCATATACATAAAACCCGATTATTTACACTTCTACATTGGCTATCACCTCGACTAGAGAATTATTGCTCACACACACCCAACGCCTTTCGCAGATAGAGAAAGGTGTTGAGATCGAGCGGTTTGGTGAATATGTCTGCAAGTTGGTGCTCAGATGCTACATGCTTGATAATGACAAGTTTCTCCTCAACTAAGTCTCTCACAAAGTGATGCCTAATGTCTACATGCTTAGTGCGTGAGTGTTGGACTGGATTTTTAGTGAGATCTATGGCACTTTTATTGTCACAATGCACAAGAAAAGGATCATTATGGATACCGTAATCGGCGAGCATTTGACGCATCCACAACAGCTGTGTGCAACAACTTCCAAGAGCTATGTATTCTGCCTCAGCTGTGGAGAGTGATACACAGTTCTGCTTCTTGCTGTGCCACGAAATCAAGTTGTTTCCCAGGAAGAAACAACCTCCAGATGTGCTTTTCCGGTCATCAAGACACCCTGCCCAATTTGCATCACAGAACCCTGCAAGATTTGTGTTAGTCTCAGTAGAGTAAAAAATACCATAGTCAAGTGTACCTCGCACGTATTTGATGATACGTTTGACTGCGGACAAATGAGATTGTCGAGGGCTTGCTTGATATCGAGCGCACAAGCCGACACTCAGACACAGATCAGGTCTACTGCGGTCAGATACAACAGGCTCCCTATCATGGCACGGTACAACTTTTCACTCACCTTTTGACCTTCCTCATCTCTCGACAACTTGCTAGTTGTGCTCATGGGTGTTTTAGAA